CGAAGAGCCACCAACGTGGTGGGAGCAGCGAAGGGCTCGTCGGGTAAGTTTTTGCGTCGACCCCGTCATCTTGCAGTATTAACCATTTCCTAGGCGCAACTCAACCAAGATAAGCTGGAAAGCAAGCATCCCGGCCTCAGGACAATGTGGGATGACCTGAAAAACAAGCCTGCCGTCACCGCCAAAAAGGCCGAGCAGCCCGCCTCCATCACTCGCAAATTGAAGCCGTTCCAGCTGGAGGGCCTGAGCTGGTTGATGGAACAGGAAAAGACAGAATACAAAGGTGGCCTGCTGGGTGACGAGATGGGCATGGGAAAGACCATTCAAGCTGTGTCTTTGATCATGTCCGACTTCCCTCAGAAGATTCCAACCCTTGTGATTGTCCCTCCCGTTGCTCTGATGCAGTGGGTGTCTGAGATCAAGGTTAGCCATATCCTCACATATACCTCGTCATTGACTAATGAGCTCCACAGGAATACACCGACGGCAAACTGAATGTGCTCGTCTACCATAACTCGGACTCCAAGGTCAAAAAGCTAACCGAGGCGGACCTTCGAAAGTACCATGTAATCATGATATCCTGTACGTGAAACTCTCGCGTTGCTTCTTCAGGGGCAGGACTGACTCTTTGTCTAGATTCGAGTCTGGAGTCTATGTATCGCAAGCAGGTGAAAGGGTGGACTCGAGCTGGAGGAACTGTCAAGGAAGACAGTAAGTCCTGAGATCCAGTCCGTAACGTCAATACTAACTTAACTCAAGGCGTCATTCATTCCATCGATTATCATCGACTCATCCTAGACGAAGCACACAGCATCAAGGTAAGTGTGTTCGCGTATGCTACTCCGAGTCCCACTGACCTATGTAGCAACGTACCACGGGCGTCGCCAAGGCTTGCTTCGCCTTAAATGCTAACTACAAATGGTGTCTATCGGGAACCCCTGTGCAAAATCGGATCGGAGAGTTCTTTTCACTTCTACGCTTCCTTCAGGTCCGGCCTTTCGCCTGCTATTTCTGCAAGGAATGTGACTGCGAGAAACTTCAGTGGGATTCAAATAAAGAGGGTCGCTGCACTCACTGCAAGCACACGGGTTTCAACCACGTGTCGATCTTCAACAAGGAGATTTTGAAGCCTATCACCGAGGGAAGAACTAAATCGGAACGGAAAGAAGGGTTGCAGAAGCTCCGTCTCATTACCGACCATATCATGCTTCGTCGATTGAAGCAAGAGCATACCTCATCGATGGAGCTGCCCCCCAAACGAGTCATCTTGCACAATGAGTTCTTTGGCGAGATGGAACATGACTTTTCGCGAAGTATCATGACAAACTCCAACCGACAGTTCGATACTTATGTTAGCCGAGGCGTGATGCTGAACAATTACGCCAACATCTTCGGCCTGATTATGCAGATGCGACAGGTGGCCAATCATCCAGATCTGATTCTCAAGAAGCATGTGCAGCCCGGATTCAATATTCTGGTGTGTCGCGTGTGTGATGAGCCCGCAGAAGATGCCATTCGGTCTCGCTGTCGTCACGAGTTCTGCCGCCAGTGCGCCAAGGACTACATTCGGTCGTTTGACGATGAGTCGATGGTGGATTGCCCGCAGTGCCACATTCCTCTGTCCATTGATCTTGAACAACCTACTATCGAACAGGCCCAGGAGTCCGTTAAGAAGAACTCGATCATCAATCGGATCCTCATGGAGGATTGGACGTCTTCCACCAAGATCGAGATGCTTGTCTACGATCTTTACCAGCAGCGGAGCAAGAAGCACAACCCGAAGTCGATTATCTTCTCTCAGTTCACGTCGATGCTGCAGCTGGTCGAGTGGCGGCTGCGCCATGCAGGTCTCACCACTGTCATGCTGGATGGCACGATGACGCCGGCGCAGCGACAGAGGTCTATCGAGCACTTCATGACCAATCCCGATGTCGAGGTGTTCCTCGTCTCGCTCAAAGCTGGTGGCGTGGCACTCAATCTGACGGAGGCATCCCGAGTTTTCATCGTTGACCCGTAAGTTCTTTACCTTATGTCCCCGACCCTTGGCTGACGCAGGATCCTATAGGTGGTGGAATCCCGCGGCAGAATGGCAGAGCGCCGACCGAAGCCATCGCATTGGCCAGCAGCGGCCGTGTGTGATTACGCGCCTCAGTATCGAAGATTCGGTGGAGTCGCGCATCGTGCAGCTCCAGGAGAAGAAGGCGAATTTGATCCAGGGCACGATCAACAAGGACCAGGACAAGGCGCTGGAGAAGTTAACCCCCGAGGACATGCAGTTCCTCTTCCGGGGTACCTAGATCATCACTATCCCCATCACGTCGACGGACTACGGCGAGCACCTTCTTGCTGATTCTTATGTTGTCACGAGCTCACGATATTTGCTGTTTTCTCCATATTCTGTTTTGTCTGTATTATTATGTCGTCCAAAGTTGATAGGCCATGCGTCCATAGACAAATCCCCCAATGAGGTCATCGTGTCCTATCTTGGCATCGCAATTTCCAAAGTGGGTAATTTAGGCTGCCAGGGCTGATCGCTTCCTTCCTCCGTAAGGCTGAGAACCAACCGGTCCACCCACTTCGGTCGTCGTTTTTGCCAAGCACGCATCGCTCCATCTCTCTCTCTATCCCTCTCTGTCTTTTCACTCCCTCGCCCTCTTTGTGTGTGTTTGCGCTGGTTGGACCTACTCAACGAACTGGTCTGACATCATTTGGCCCATGCGCCTTTCACTATACGCCTCCCCACATCATGGACAACGACATGCCGCGGTCGCTGCCTGTGCGCCCGATCGATAAGGTTGGCCCTAAACTCGTCGAACAGGCCGACAAGCTGCAACAACGAGTCTGCACAATGAAAGGAGACGACCACCACAAACCCGCGGGGGGTTTCGATGCGACCCCCATCCCGGCCGCCCCACCGGGTTACACCCTTAAGATCACCTTCCACCGCGCCGAACACCTACCTTTCGCCGACTTTGGCACCTTCTCCTCCGACCCCTACGTTCACGCACAGTTGCACGTTGACCTGCCCCGCCGCCATAAGCAAGATCCCACCGTCAGCTTCCGCTCTCATACTGTGCGGAGGAATACAAACCCCACGTGGGACAGCGAATGGATCGTCGCCAATGTCCCCGCGTCGGGTTTTCTGTTGAAGGCGTATGTTTACGACGAAGACCCGGCGGACCACGATGACAAGCTGGGGATTGCGTTCATAGAGGTGCCGTCCCTGCAGGAGGGCTGGAAGGGGATCAGCGAGCAGTCGTTCAAGGTCAAGAAACGTTACGGCAGCAAGCGCGTCTACGTTATCACCAATGTTTCTGCTTTCGCGACGGGTCATCACCCGGAATCATTCTTGGTGGTCAGTATTCAGTGCTTGGGACGGACCCCCGGCAACGAAGGGGGCCAGATGTACACTGTTGGGCCGAACCATTGGTTCAAACATTTCTCGCCTTTGATCGGGCGACTGGCTGGAACCAAGGTCCATATCGAGAGTAAGGATGGCAGTGGAAAGTCGACTACCCGCTACAAGTATGTTGTGTCTCTCTCGTCCATTATTACCAGTGATCTAACCATCCCCTAAAAGCTTTCAAGCAATTCAGATGCAGCTCACGGGCCCCGTGCCCTCCGAGCTCTACCATCGATATGTTGAATTCAGGCCATTTGTAGCCGGCATGTTCCAGGCGCAGAGCCTGCGAGGGCGAATCCTACACAAAGCCCTCCATCATCAGCATCAGCGAATTTACAACTTTGATCGCAGTACAGAGCACGGGCAGTTCGCCACGCCCTGCCAGGAGTTTGCACAGAAGTTCCTGGAGTTTGTACATTACGGCGAGGGCGGACGCATTTTCACCTACGTGTTGACGCTCGACGGACAGTTGCGCTTCACCGAGACCGGTAAAGAGTTTGGTATCGACTTGTTGAGCAAGCATACCATGCACAGCGATGTGTCTATCTATATTGCATATTCGGGGGAGTTCTTCGTCCGGCGGCGCAAGCATCAGAACCGACACCATTCTCCCTCACGCGCCGACGAGTTGCCCGTGGAAGAAGACGAATCTGCCGAGGAAGCACAGGAAGTTTCCACCAACCCCGCGGACTACGAGCTATTCATCGACAATGATAGCGGCACCTATCGCCCCAACCCGGAGAAGCTGCCGCTTCTCCAAGAGTTCATATCGTTTAACTTCCCAGGAATCCACGTCACGACGCTGGACTGCCAGAAGGATGCCGAGCGGCAGCAGCAGCTGAAGAACGAGCAGCGCGAGTGCAAGAAGACGCAGGGCAACCAGATCACGTTCCTGCAGCAGAGGAGCACGTCCTCGCTGTCTATCTCGAGCTCGGACGAGGAGCAGCTCAAGGAGCGGAGTGGCGAGACGACCAAGAATCGCAGCGACCTGGCGCAACGGGTCCATGAGATGCGGGACGTGAAGGGCCAGATGATGCGATGGGTCGAGGCCGACGGGCATGCGGATCGCCCCAAGCACAAGTATCACTCCGGGCGCGAGCGGGCCTCGTCGACTGGTGAGCTTAGGGATATCACGAGCAGCGCGGCGGGGAACCGTCGAGCCTGAGAGAGCATCCTGGAAAGTGTGCATCCTTTGTAGGGCTGGATATTTGAGGCAAAGCCGTCGTGATTGAGCTGTCTCACGATATGCGATACCATAATAATCTATTTCTGTTCTAATAGTTATAATAATCAGGAGACATGAATAAATCGACCCCAACCCATCCCGAATTCTTGCCGTCGTAGTCAGTCGATCGATCGCCCCGGGGGCCTTTGCCAGCGCCGCCCCATCATCCATCCATCCATCCATTCATTTGTTTCATTCCTGCCCCCCCACCCCACTCACCACTGTTTCTCTTCTTTCCCCCAGACAATAATCATCATCCATCACCACTCTCCTATGTCCTAAGCCTCCCCTAATGCTTGCCAACGCCTGCTTCGGTGCCCGGACTCCTGCTCCTGCCGTCACTTGATCCTCCCCTTCCTACCGTCTCCCACCATGGGCAATGTCGGCAGCCGTCTGGACGACGCGGGAAACCTGTTCTTTAAGGATCAGAATAGGTGTACGTTTCATCCGGTCCTCCACCCCCCAAGTGACCCATGCTGATGCACTCCCCGGATATCTAGTCTCGGTCGCGTCGATTACGATAAGCAACTCAAGCCGTCGACTGCTGACCCTCGCCCCCAACGCCTTCCCGGCTGCGAGATTCACTGCAAAGCGAGAGGCTGGCGACGACACCCCGATCGAGTATATCCAGGTGCGATCCACCCGTAACCCAAAGCCTCCTGGAGGCTGACTCTCACCATCGCAGGATCCTGACATCTCCCCCTCCGCCGCGGTTCCGACGTTCCTTCTCCGCCTGTCCAACGATGACGAGCTGATCTTCAACTTCACCTTCATCCTCCGGCAGACACAAACCGGTAATACTGCAGGCTCTACGGTAAATGGCGTCGCGACGTCCCTCCCCGAGGTGGCCGACACATCCCTCACAGGCCTCACCTTCGCCCACGCGTCAAACTCGAGGGAGCTGGACAACTTGATTACGCGAGAGTTCCACGCGAACCCGAACCTACAAAACAACTCGAATGTGCAACTGATCGGAGATTTCTCGACCGATGGCACGCCGTCGGTAGCGTTGGACTGGACCTGGACATGGAAGCCTCCCAAGCCAACTGAGGACAAAGGTGGCGGATGGCGGAATAGCTGCAGCTTCCTGGACTACGATCAACGGACGAACCGTCTCAATACCCTTGCGCATTTTTCCTTCTGGGTGCACAACGCTGGTCGCCTTGCCCCAAGCCCTCAGGCCTTGTCGCCGAATTTGGAACTGTCGGTCCCCCACCGCAGTCGCGTCCCTTCCACCCAATCCGTTCTCTCGCAGATCAGCGACGCTGAGCCTATCTCCAACCCGAATCTCCCTTCTCCCACTCCCCCCGACACAGCCGAGACCCTAGGACCTCCCCCGCCGACGTCCGTCGGGCCACCACCACCCGTCAAGGTGGACTTGCCACATTCTCGACCGGGGGACAATATAAGTGCCGTGGAGGATGGGCCTCTATTCCGTGCGACGATGAAGGCACTGGAGCAAAAGACGGGTAATATGCGAGCGAAGATCAAGAAGGTTCTTAAAAAGGCGGAGGCAGCTCAACAGGCCCAAGCGAACTGCAATGATGCCATGGAAGCCTTTCTGGGATCCTTGAACGATGCATCCACGTCCAATGCAAACGCTATCCAGCCGGCGTTAGACCACTACTTTGAGAAAATTGCCCGCCAGATCCTCACTTACGAGCAGCTCAACACGCTACAGCTTCAGAAGCTCGTTATCGAGCCGCTGATCAAGCTTTACAATAATGATATCAAACAAGCAGAGTCGAAAAAGAAGGATTTTGACGAGGAGAGTCGCGACTACTACGCCTACGTCAGTCGCTATCTGGGCCAGCGCCAGGACTCCTTGAAAGAGAAGAAACGTGTCGAGAGTGATTCGAAGTACCAAGCCAAGCGACGAAATTTCGAGCTCAGGCGCTTTGACTACTCGTCCTTTATGCAGGATCTGCATGGTGGCCGCAAGGAGCAAGAGGTCCTCTCTCATCTCACCAAGTACGCCGATTTCCAAGCGAAGAACTTTTTGGCGGCCGCAAAGAAGGTCGAGGATATGGTCCCTCAACTGGACGCCCTCATCCACGAAGTCAACCAGGCAGATAAGGAGTTCCAGTTTCAACGGACTGAACGTGAAGAGAAACGCCGGACCCTAGAGAAAAACAGCAACACGTACCTCGAGCCCGAGGTTGTGGCCGGTCCCACAGGAGTCGCGTCTTCCTCTTCCGGGTCTGCGAATGGAGGCTTCCCTCCTGCTGAGACTGAATTGGGCCGTGCCGACAGCACCTCATCTCAACTCCGTGGGGTGCCTAGCAACTCCTCATCGGTTTCATCCCAAGTAAATTCCTCGATTAGCTCCGCCACCGGAACATCTGCTCCTACAGCGAGCGCTCCTATCGGCGCCTCAGGCCAAAATCGGTTTAAGGGCATCCGAGACCTCGAAGAGGGGAGTTCCACCGGATCTGACCGAGCTGCGGGTCAACAGCGCAAAGAAGGTCTGCTGTGGGCACTCTCGCGTCCGGGTTCGCATATAGATCCAAAGGGCATCAACAAGCAAGCATGGCACAAGTAAGTTCTTTTGGTGTCATTTCATCGCATATGCCGTGCTAACTACAGCTACAGGTTTTGGATCGTGCTGGACCAAGGAAAGCTGTCTGAGTATAGCAATTGGAAACAGAAACTGGATCTGCACATGGAACCTATCGATCTTCGGATGGCTTCGGTGCGGGAAGCTCGAAATGCAGAGCGACGGTTCTGTTTTGAAGTGATTACCCCACAGTTCAAGCGTATCTACCAGGCGACTTCAGAGGAAGACATGGCGACCTGGATCAGGTCCATCAACAATGCGCTCCAGAGTGCGGTCGAAGGGCGAAGCGTGACACCTGTGCCTCCCGTGTCATCCAAGAATGATCCCGTCCGGGATATTGGCTCCGTTCTGACCGGCAAAAGCTCGTCGATGTCCGGCCAGCATTCCTATTCGAACAGTTCCAGCAACAGCACCGTGAACCGCCGTACAACGGTTGGAGCGCGGCCCAGCTACGTCCGCAATGATAGCAATAGCTTTGAGGAGAATCCATCACGGCTGCTACAAGTCGTCCGGGATGCTGACCAAGGCAACACTTGGTGCGCTGACTGCGGATCCTCGTCCAAGGTTGAATGGGTATCCATCAATCTGGGGATCATTTTATGCATCGAGTGCAGCGGGATCCACCGATCACTGGGGACGCACATCTCCAAAATCCGGTCGCTCACGCTGGACGTGCACTCCTTCTCGAACGACATTGTCGAGATCCTTTTGCAGATTGGCAACCGCGTCAGCAACATGATCTGGGAGGCGACTCTTGATCAGACCCTCAAGCCAAACGCAGGATCAACGCGCGAGCAGCGCCTGCGCTTCATCACCGCCAAATACGTTGATCGAGCCTACGTCGAACAACTCCCATCCCCACGGTCCCGCTTCGCGTCTCCCGACGAGACCCTCCTCGCTTCGATCAAGCGAAATGACATCCAAGGCATTTTGTACGGCATTGCCCTGCGCGCGAATGTGAACATTACCGACCGCTCCCGCAACACCCACGCCGTGTTTTTGGCCCTTGCCGCCGCCGATCCTGCTTCCCCCGGCTCCACGCCGTCAAGCCTAACCGCCCGGTCCACTACCAAAGCGATCCCTTTCCCCATTGCCGAACTGCTGGTCCAGAACGGCGCCGAAATCCCCCCGCAACCCCCCTCTATCCCGCTCTCCCCCGCCGCCCAACTTTACCTCAGCCAACGGACCACTCGGTCCGCAGGCTTCAATGCCCCGGCCGCGGCACCAATACCCGGCAAGTCTACCGCCAGCGACACCCTCGGCTCTCTGCCTACTATCCGTTCATCGAGCAAGGATTCCATTCCCAGCAGCTCGGGGTCCACGGCCCAGGCTCCTAGCTCCCTGGATAGCAAGGAGAGGGAGAAGCTGTCCAAGAGAGGTAGCGCCGGCGCCCGTTTTGCTGGGAAGGTGGCTTCCCTAGGCATCGACCGATAATTTCTTTCTTGAAATGCAGTCTGTGCACCGCAGTTCGCTAATCATAATTATATCCCCTCTAATGAGGTTTTGCATGAACGTCGCTTTTGTCTCACCCTGTTTCTTCTACCCAACTGGGTCTTGTGTGTGTCTCTGGTTGGACCAGCATTAGCTTCTGCCTTCTTATTCTCCTCCTCTTGTCTACTTCCTCTCCATTCACCACCCGTTCCTCCATATTGCATCCACTACTCGTTCTGCTTTGCGAGGCTGTATGGTGCTTGCTTTCTTCTTCTTCTTTTTTCTCTCTTTCCTGTTCTGTTCTGTTCTGTTCTGGCTACCACCTGAATGAACTCTGGGGCGGGACCAAGTCGTGTACGGATACCCAGTATACCAGCTTTTGTTTTCCACTGTCTTCAGTAAGACATAATCGCGGTGATAGGATCACTTGCCATGCATCATGCTCTCTTCTACGTGAAATACTATGTTTATATCGCGGCTATACTATAGCTCTCGGTAGCTGCTTAGCTAGGATCTTCCTTCCCCTCGAGTACTCTTGACGTTACTTAGCTGCCTTTTAGTGGCAACATGATCTTTGTCAGCTGCTCAGCCGACACGGCTTAGAGCGGAGCACATTGACTTGGACATGCAGGACCCGTGCCATCCGCCGTTGAGAAAGACTGTCGATGAGCCCCAAAAGGGCATCTCCGACAATTCCAAATCCCAAGTCGGGCGTACATTAGTGGCGCCCAAACTGGGTGATGATATCCACCGTTCAGAAGATACATGTGAGACATGGCGAGAGGATAGAAGGGAAGAGAAGCTCCGCCGATCAATGGCATTGATCCTTGCGGTATTGCTTGGCAGCTTCTATTTTTGCGCCGATCAGAGCACCACAGCCACCACCGATGGGTAATGGATCGTCAAGCTTTTGCCCGGCATATGCTTCCGGGGAGTTCGGTTCGTTCTCGTTCTCGCGCTCTGGTCCTTGTCAGAGGCCAGTGTCTGTATTGTACGCGCCAAGTTACCCACCGGTCAACGTCAATGGCTGTGGGTGGAGAATCCATGTTGAAGAAGGCATGCGAGGGTCTGATTGCGTGTGTGAGTTGCGCCTTGAAGTCATGGTGACAGGGCCAGCGAACAAAGCGGGCGTTCTCAGCGCGGCAAACTGGGCAGTGATGTCAGGAACGTGGAGAAGTACCGCGGGGGCCATGACGTCACCCGGCCAGGTGTCCCCCGTGTCGTCGATCTTCTAGAAGCAGAAACCCCCCAGATGCTTCGAGAAAATAGTTCCTGACCAGTCATCATGCGCAGATCTGCGCTTCCCTACCGGGTGATCGCTCTGCAGGGCCGTTTGCTATCTATAGTTGCCGGCAGGGAAGGGAAGGAAAGTGGCGACAGTTCCGTGTTGGCCAAGGTCACATGACCATATACTTGGATCATGCCTCTGATGGAAATATTATATATTGTAGATTCAGTAGCTAAGAACAGTAGGCTCAACTTGACTCAACTAAACTCGCCCAGTATAGTACGTGAGTCCGCATTGGCGATACCTGAGGTGTCTGTCAATCGACCATTGGCCTGAGGTGTATACTAAAACCGCAGGATTATACAGTCCCGTGCATGTCTTAGGGATCAACTGGGGTACCCACTGACCCAGAGCAGTAATACTTCATGTGATTGCCACATTCTCCTTGTAGGCCTGGCCTGCTGCTGGAATAGGCAGGAGAACAGAAGCGAAAAGAAAAGAATAAATAAACTGCTTACATAAGACATGTCGTCGACCAAGGCACGCTGTGAGTGGCTGGCATCTCATCCCGACCAACAACGGCCACTTCTACACTTCTCTTTCTGCTTCGACCATGACACAACGGGAGGATTCCACGAGCCGCACAGGCGCGGACAGTCGGTGTGAACTGATCAGCCAGTGACCGTATGCCGCCCCAGAGAGCCCTCGCCCATCATCTACTTGCCTGAACAAGTAGTTACAAGTCTGCCTATCCGGGAAGTCACTAAGAATGGCCGGACGCCACATCTCCACCACACTGGGCCGCTCGATGGGATCGTCCCGCCATCATTGGCGGATTCCGAATCGAAGACTAGTGGGAGTGTACCGCAGCTTTATCCGCTCATGGCGGCCTCGGCCCAAAGTCAATTGGCTCTCCCCGAACACTGCGGTTCCTTTACAAGCCTTTTACGCAAAATGGGGCTTGGATGACCGCGGTCATGGACCCCGATGGATATTGGTGTCTTTGATTCGTTGATCTGCCATTCCCTTGTGACTGCATTATTGTTTCCGACTCCCATTCTCGCTCCACCCCTGGCAGTGGCAAATTCCCGTCACTGGCACAGCCGGAGGCTCTCCAGGTGTAAAACACTGGCCAGTCATCCAATCCGGAAAAACCCCCAGCTGTCGGGCTCGAGTTTCTTCAGGAAAGATCTGTCAGTGGCTTGCTCTGTTGCCTTTTCCGCCACAGCAGTTATACAACCAACCTTTTTAAATACCTGGCGCAGTATCGATCGCCGGCAACCGACCTCATTTGAAATCGTTGGGACGCCTCTCCCTGCTCTAGACTCTTTACTGACCATACTAAATCGGCAAGATCGGTGGGCCCGTTAGTACGCCCCCATGGTACAGTACACCCGGTAGCCACCTACCCTAACTCTTCACGAAGTATTTCAACAGACTTCCTCCTTCCCAGACACGCACTTATCTTCGTCTGGGTGCTTGTTGCGGCTCGAGAAACTTCTGTTTCCATCCATTGACCTCAATCTTCTCTTGTCTACTATTCCCAAAGCAAGGCTTTACTGGAAGACTTTCCAATCCTGTCGCCTCGGAGACAGGCTAATCTGTCCCTCAGGGTTAAACAGGGTTGTCAATCTCTCACGGACCATCCAGTATGTTGGTTCAGATCTCCTCCACATGTCAAACCCAAAAAACTTCTCAACTTAGAAGGTAGAAATAGCAACTGACCCACCAACCCTACAGGAAAACAGTTGAACCATTGCCACTCAAGATCTGCGAAAGGCTTGTCCCTGACAATCTTATTCCCAGTCGGCCCAAGGCCGCGCCACAGTGGAAACACTCGTTCTATTGTAAGTCACCCTGTCTACCAGGCCGTCTTGCCTGCTGAGGCTGATGGTCCGATCACTAACGCCCCCGGTTCTCAGCCACAGACTTGGGGGTGATTCTTCCTTTCGCTTCTTTGCGCTAGCGGGTTTAGCCACTCTTGCTGTCACCCACAGGCTTTCTTCTTCTTAAGCTTGGCCTGCCTTCCCCTCGGTAAAAGGGTACGAACTATTTTGGGAATCCCGTCCTTTTCCTGCCCCCCGAATCTTTATTTCCCTGTCACGGACGCTCCCCACAGAGGCACTAGGCATATCTTAGTTGGCGCCACCTAACGTCTCACGCCGGAAAGGACCCGAATCCTTAGCTTGTGGCTTCTGCGTGTGTGTTTCCCTACAACTGCAGTCAGCCCAGGCCCCGGCTTTGCTTTTGTCCTCTTCGGCTTGGTCGCATCGTGTCAAGCCTGTTCAGTAGCAGTGTTGTTCTCTGGGTCTCGGAGTTTGGTTGCAATACTTACTGGAGCTTTAATTGACCCTATCTCGGGCTACGGACACGTCAACCCGTACATAACTCATTTGGTATGTACCAATTCTTTTCCTCTGTTGTTTCTTCACGCAAGACTGTGTGAATTTCCCCTGTCGGACACTTGCCCTATGACCGCACGGTCCAATCCCTCTTATTAGCGGCATTGTGCCCTGTAAGTGGGCAATTCCCTTCACGGGCTTTGCCGCTACTACCCTTGTTTGCCTTTCCGAACCCATGCGTGCTATCGACTGTATGCCCCCACCGTATATCGTCTTTTTCCCTGTTTTTCCTGCCAGCCCACTGGCTGTTAGAGCGGATTTCCCTGCAGAGATGCCGCACAATCCAGTTTTGGAAGATTCTGGGCCCTGAGCACAAAAGAAAAGTGTCCGCAGCGCCTCTTTTTTCCTGAACTGTTTTGTCTCCCTCATTCACTCTGCCGATTTCCCCGTGGCTTCAGCATACTCCGTTCCTCGTCGCTTTGGTTCTTTTTCTTACGACCTACCTTCTCGGTCACCCCTTTTGACGAGACTGCGATTATGGATTTTTATTGACAAACTGTGATTTCCAGCAGCACTCTCTCGGGGTCTCTTCTCTTCGTCCGTGTCCGATTTCGTTCAAACTCGTGCGCATCGCAACAAAATCTGCCGTTTGAACATAGAGGTCCCGGGTAGTCCCCAGCCAAGCAGTGATAAAGACAGGGAGTGCGTTCCGCAGCGTCATCCCAGTGTCTGTTTTTCACTGAGAAGAGCCGGTCCCCATGGGAGATGTACCTCCAGGGACGGTCGATACATCTCCAAGGGTTGCAGATACGACAGCCCCTGTATCCAACCCGCCAAATGCGTCAACGAGGCCAACTCACGCGCCTGGTAAGTCTCCTTGCCCAAATGGTGAGATATTCAATACTGACTTGACTGCTTTACTATAGGTTCAACCAGTGCCAGTCAACCCTCCCGGCCGGCCAATGTCGGCCGTCACTCCAGTCCCAAGGGAGGGAGGGGACATGGACAATACGGACACTCGCCGACACCTTTGAACATGAACCATATGGGCTACACCCTACCAAGCCCTCCGTCGCAGGCATCACCATTCGAACAGCAACATTCGCCACACCATTACATCCCCTCGATCCACCCCCGAGGCGCCATATACCCCATGCAGCCGATGGGGCCCTATCCTGGGCCGAATACCGGTGGTAGTGTACCGTATGCCGTTCCTTATGCGCCATCGTACCCGCCATACGGCGTTCCTCAGCACCCAGGCTCGCCTATTCAGCATGGTAGTGCAAACTATCAACCCTATGGGCCAGTACAGCCTGGCCCTGGTCCGGGGCCGATGCCCGTTTATGGTTCTGGATATTACCCACAAACGCCATACACAGCGCCGTTCGGACAGGGGGGTCATGTTGCCGGTGTTCCCATGCAGTCGCAGTCTGGGCTTCCACCTTACCAAGTTGGCCCAAGCAGTTCTCCAGTGACTGACCCGACTGTACGAAAGGACGCTGGGAAAACACCTGCGGACTTGGAGTACGATGTCGCCAAAACAATTGTCGACGGCTCGAACCCTAAGAAGTCGGTGCAGGCTCAATCTCATCTTACAGGTACGTGGAGACGTCAGAAGGCTTTGGGACGATATTTTGTGCTGACCAAATCTTATAGCAGGGATTCTCTCCTCTCCTACCTCGACACCTAACCGTCCCGGCACCCCCCGAGGACCACCCCGCAAACCCAAACAGTCCGGTCATGCCCTTTGGGTGGGCAATCTCCCGACGGGCACCAGCGTGATCGACCTCAAGGACCACTTCGCGCAGGATGCTACCGAAGACATTGAGAGCGTGTTCCTGATCTCCAAGAGCAACTGCGCGTTTGTAAACTACAAATCTGCGACTGCCTGTGCTATGGCGTTACAGCGATTCCACGACTCCCGGTTTCAGGGCGTTCGCCTTGTCTGTCGGTTGCGCAAGGGTTTCACTGTTCCTGGTTCCGCTGCCCCAGTGCATGCAGACGATGTTCTGACGACGACTTTGCCCGGCCCTGAAAATCGGGGCGCGTCCGAAGCTGTTTCCACAGGGCCGCAGGACCCACCGACCCGCATGCCCGAGCGATACTTTGTTGTCAAGAGTCTAACGGTGGAAGACCTCGAAATGAGCAAGCAGAGTGGTATCTGGGCCACGCAGAACCATAACGAGGCGAGCTTGAACCGGGCCTACGAGGTGCGTTTAATTCTTTTCTTGCTATCAACCCCTCCACTAACCCACTATAGACCAGCGACAACGTCTACCTGATCTTCTCCGCCAACAAGTCCGGCGAGTATTTCGGATATGCGCGGATGATGTCGCCCATCAACGACGACGAAGCGTCAGCATTGGAGGTGCCCACCCGCCCAGAACCACTACCCAGCAGCGCACCCGACGAGATGGACGTGACCCTGACGGCCGCGACAGCCACGGCGCCCAAGGGTCGAATCATCGACGACTCGGCGCGGGGCACGATCTTCTGGGAGGTCGAGTCGTCGGGCGATGAGCTAGATACGCGCAGTGAGCCCAGCGTGGTGGCCGAGGCCGAGGAGGAGGGCCAGTCGTTTGGCAAGCCCTTCCGTATCCAGTGGCTATCGACGGAACGGGTGCCGTTCCATCGTACGCGCGGGCTGCGCAATCCCTGGAACGCCAACCGGGAGGTGAAGATCGCGCGCGACGGGACCGAGATCGAACCGGCGATCGGCCGTAAGCTGGCGCAGCTGTTCCACCTGCCGCCGAGGCCATAATCCGTATAGTGTTAGTGTTCTAGAGTTATGTTGAGGGCAGCCATAAAAATATACTATTCCTGCTGCTGTTATAATAATCATGTGTAAGCCATACTAGTAGTAGCTCACTAATGTCGGCGGGGAACCCAGTCGTAGATAGTGGAGAACAATCCGGGGTGAGCATCATCGACTCCATCCAATCAATAATCAATCATCTTCTGCTCCCGCACTTTCCTTCTCTCTCTTCCTTCACTCCCTCCCTCCTTCACATGTGCTTAGCTGTAAGTCCCTTGTCTCTTCCTCCTTCCATCGCTCTCTTTCTCTTTCTTTTTTCTTCGATTCACACATACACTCACTCTCTCTGTATACCCCTGTTGATACTTCTGCCTACCCACCACCTCCCTTCAGTGGCACCACCTCCCTTCCCCTGCTTTTCCCTTCCCAAACACTCCTTCCATCCATCCCAACTTACCGTTTCTCTCTAGATTCCATCATCCCACTACCTCCCAATCTCCTCTTCTCCAAATCTCCATTGATTGGACTATCCAGACCCGAGCGACTCTTGACGTCACCCACACACGACCGTCCGCGTAAGACAAGCGACACATTGCAGCTTCATTGTGCTGCTTTTGGCCTTTGTCCAGAACATACGGCCTTTCTCTCCATCGGCTTCAGCTCCATGCGAAGGGCGGCGAGTCCGTCCGAGCTCAGCCTCCTCTGCCTGAACCCCCCACACGCCTGCCTCTCATAACTGAATTTCACCGATCCACCACCATGTCCGACGATCGCTCGACCTCCCCCATCTCCGTCCCCAATTCCCAGTCTCGCCAGCGGCGAGGCTCCCTGGGCGCCACCTTCACCGACCTCTTTGCGAAGCAGAGCAACCCACCCCCCGCGAGCGGCCCCCAGGCGACCGGATCCAACGGCCAGGCCAACCATCAGCGCCGGCTGTCGATTTCAACCCTTGGCCTGTCCGGCTCGCCGACCCAGACCTCCGCTTTTGGAAATGCCTTCCGCCGGGGCAGCCTGTCGAGCTCCATGGGCTCCAACGCCCCCAACGGCGAGGATGCCGTGGGCGAAGATGCAGAGAGTGCATCCCCCGGCGCGACGCCCAGCTCACCGTTCGCACGACGGGTCTCCTTCGGCGCCCAGGCGCTGCGGGAGGCTCGCACAGGAAGCATTGGCAATGGTAGATATCCCCCACCACCCGGGCAGCCGGCCAAAGCAGCCCGAGCCAGCGGGTCCTCGCCCGGCTCGGCGTCGGTCCGCAGCCCACCCCGCTCCCCTGCCGCTGCTGCAAGTACAAACACAGTTGCTTTCCAGGATGAGAGATCTAACGCATCGCGCCGGCCTACAGGCGAAGGCTTCAACTGGACTGAGGCGCTCCGCTCGCGTGCCGAGCGCGCCCCGTCCATCGGTGGCCCCATCTCCCCGCCGGGTCCGCAGGGTCAGTCGGCGATCCGTCAGCCGGGCCAGCATCAGCGAGCGGCTTCTGTCGCCACTATGGAGCAGCCCGTTCGGGAAATGCCCAAGCAGCCTAAGCAGAATAAGCCGGATTTCTTCCAGGAGAAGATCCTTCGCGGTGACTTTATGGATTAACCCAGGATGACCGAACTGGTCATTCCTTGTCGGTGTGTGCCAAAAGTTCTACTACGATTACAACATTGATGATTGTACTCTATCCACATCCATAGTTGTTTCTGTCTGCTTTGCCCCGTCGATTTCTTGCTGGTCTTTCTTTCGCGTTTGAGGAGAATATTGGGACAGGGAATCAGAATGAGTCTATTTGGGTCGGTTGATTGAATTGCAACCGATGATCCGGCGCCGTTTCTTTTGTTTCTGTTGGTTCTCATTGCGGTCGTGTTTCCTTTCATCAGTTCCATCCTGGAGATGCGTCATTGCTGTTTCTTTGCCTGTACTTCCTGATATATGAATAGCCAAATTGACATGACAGATATCTACTACTTCCATAGTTATCACGATCGCTCGAGATCTGATCTCTGTGCAGGGATAGGTATATATACACATGCACTTGCCAACGTTATATACCACCACCACCACTCTCCTCGTCCTTTTCATAAATCAGGTCGCCGTTGATGGACCTGTCCCGGGATTCTCCGCATGGTCATGCACCGGTGCGCCGCCCTCCGTACTCTTCTTGGCTGCCGCCTCCGTTTCGTCCTTGTCATATTGTTTTGCGACGCGACGATCCATAAGCTGATCCGTCGTGAGCCGCTCCTCCGGCGCCGGCGGCGTCCAGTTACTGCTCTTCCACGGCGGCACGTGCATGACATACATCATATCCATCTCCTCAAGGGTCTTATCCTTACCCTCAATAACGAAGAAATAAACCACCAGCACAGCGATGAACAAGCACCCGGCAAACACATACCCATAGGCAAAGTCGATATCGCCCGTGATAAACGGCGTGAAGAACCCAATCAGGAAATTCCACAGCCAGTTCGACGCCGTCGCCATCGCCATCGCCCGCGCGCGATAGCGAGAGGGATACAACTCCGCCACAATCGCCCACACCATGGGACCCCAGGTCATTGCGAATCCTGTGATAAACAGACAGGCAAACACGACGAGTGCCTTTCCCGCGCCGGGTGTTCTCTGCGGGTTTTGCACATCTAGGGAGAAGTGGCCCACCGATGCGAAGACCATGAAGCAGATGAACATCCAGATGCCGCCGCAGATTAGAGACTTGCGGCGGCCGAAATGCTCAATTATGTACAGCCCGCCGAAGGTCGTGCCGAAGTTCACTCCGCCGAGAATCATCTGCGTCACGTATGAGTTGTTGATGCCGGCACCTTTGAAGATCACCGTTCCCTACATAGGAAATGGGTCAGTTAGAGGAACCTAGCCTAATATTCAGAGAGAGGGAGAGAGAGAGACATACATAGTAGAAGAAGTAGTTGGCACCGGTCAGCTGCTGCAGCATTTGAAGCACAACACCAAGCGCAATGCGATAGGGCATGCGGGGCGCCTGGAACATCTCGACCCAGCCATATATGCCACCGCGGGTGCCCTTCTCGGCCTCAAGCTGCTCCTCGATTTCAAGCACTTCGTGCACAATAACCCGGTGGTGCTCGGAGACACCGTATAGCTTCGACATGGTACTCTTCGCCCGTTCGATGCGGCCATGCCGATAATCGTACCGAGGGCTCTCTGGGAAAAAGATGATTCCCAGACCGAGTAGATTAGCCCAGAAGAAGGTGATACCCAGCGTAATCCGCCAGGAGGCCGTGCTATCCATCTTCTCCGTGCCGAAGTTAATGCAGTAGGCGACGAAGATGCCCAGTGTGACGAATAGTTGGTACGAGCTGGATCCGTCAGTGGTCACCCCTGATGGCAATTCCTCAATAAAATATATTTCTTGACTTACCACACCATGGCGCCACGGATGTGTCGCGGCGAAACCTCACCCTGGTACATGGGGACTAGCAGCGAGCAGGCGCCCACGCCAAACCCCGTCACAAAGCGGCCCATCATGAACTGGTACCATTTCCCAGACGGCGACGAGATCTGGATAATGAGGCCAACGTCCAGAATAATGCACCAGAAGGCAATGGACCACTTGCGGCCAATGCGATCTGCCAATGGGCCGGCAATGAGAGCACCGATTAGGGTTCCAATCGACAACTAATCAGACAATGTGAGCCCAGAAAGAGACCAAAACGAAGTCGACGTCCAATTAAATGCATATACATACCAAGGAAACAATCAGCCCCGAGCGAACATTGCTAAACGTATACGAACCATCACTCTGCAATTGGCCGAAGCGATGCTTGAAGTTCTTCATATCGAGAAACCCTGAGATCTGACCCGTGTCGTAGCCGAAGATGATACCACCAATCGACACGAACGCGCCCAGGACCACAGAGCGCCATGTGACGAAGGGGACTTTTGACTCGTCGAACGAGCTGCTGCGTCGTTTCTCATTGTCGACCGAGTTCCCCGATAGATCGGTCAAGGGCGGGGAGTCATTGTTCTGCTTGTGTCTATTGAAGAACGACGCCATGGTAACTTTGGCCTTGACTAACTGGACTGGACTGGACTGGACGAATGGGACTGAAAAAAGAAGAGTCGAATCTGGAAATCTCCGGTAATGCAATTGATGCCAATTGAGGTGTGAAGCAAAGCATTTGTCTACGAGATCCACCCCCCAACTGGCCCCGGGCTCTCGTTATATGGAACCCAAGACGCGATCTTGAAATCATAGGTCATAGGTCGCCACAATGCCATCAGCTCTAATTCCACGGGTGAAATTGAACCCGTCATTGACCGCGGTACCGTCATGGCTCGCGATGTTGTTTAGGCCTGGGCATAGTCGACTAACTATAGGTACCTCAAACACCCCCTTTCCCGCGCGGCCAGGCCCGGTAAGCCACAATTTAATTTCCCCTAATGAGCTATTTCCGATCTTTCTGTCCATCCTTTGGTGGCTTACAATTGCATTTTCGAGCTCAGTGGCTTCAATCCAGGGTGTTGGAGTGAATCCGGCAGTGCGCGGGAGTCGTTTACGTCAATCAGCATGAGCGACAGATCTTCCGATCCTCCCGGGGGGTTTCCACTCGGGATTCCACTCGGGATTCCACTCGGGATTCCACTCGGGAGTTCTCTCGGGATTTCAGTCGGCCGAAGAAAAGGGCTTGGGGGTACAATAGACATTATATGCGGCGTGGTAGTGTAGTAGTCGGGCGGGTGGTGGGTGTGCGGTGGAACAGTAGGTGAGGCAACGACGAAGTCATACTCAATTATTGAACTATGGCATGGTAAAAGAAAAAAAACAATAAGAAAACAATAAATAACGAAGTGACCAAAAAGAAAAAGGTAAGAACAGATTAGTACGGGATACCGTTGGTCATCAACTGGAACTGATCGTATCCCTTAGTCGAGACGCTCATGTACGACTTCTTGACGAGTTCGCGCATGTACTCAGCGGCCTCCCTCTCGCTCTTATCCAGGACGAACCGGTCACGGAAGTTCTTCAGAGTTTCCGGCTTGAAACACGGCAGACCGCTATCTAGCATCAGAGCCACAATGTGCGACAACTTGGTGCTGTATGGCCGCGAGGCCAGGAACGCCTTGACAGCCAAGGATTCAAACCACTTGTAGGCCTGTGTGTTCGTTGGGTCCTTCGAGTGGCCGCCTCTGGGCAGGCTGCCGCCGGCGTGGTGCGCCGGGTTCTGCGTGCCGCTCATGACGGCCACCATCTCCGAGGTCAGTTTGAAGGGTGCGCGCTCAAACCGCACGCCACCGGGCGCAATGTCGAAGCAGAAGCCGAAGTCAATGTGGATGATGTGGCCTGCATCGTCGACCATGATGTTTCCGTTGTGGCGGTCCTTGAACTGCAGGAGGTAGGTAATGACGGAATACGCCGCCATACTCTTGACGAAGTTGGTGCGGGCCTCCTGGAATCGTATGGAGTCCTCTCCGCCGTACTTGGACACGAAGTAGTCGTAGAGCCCGTTCACAGCCTCGCGTCCAAGCATGTCTCGAGAGATGGAATTGGGCAACACGTCGATGACACCACAGCCCGGTGCCGTGGAGGTCACTCGGTACGGGAAGACCCAGACATCCAAGCCAACGCTAGAGAAGATGCTCCGGAAGGCCGCGATCATCTGCAGGGCGAGCATGTCTTGACGACAGTCATCACCCACTTTGAAAATGGCCGATTGCCAGATTTCGTAGGTCTCCTGGTTCGACTCCGAGGATTTGGCGGTCAACTGTCGGTCCTCCGGTCCATGAGCACCGGCGGTGGAATCGGTCGAGGCATCCAGGACCGGCCGTGTTTTCTGGATTCGGAAAGTTGCCATGTATGGCGCCTTTGCGTGACTCTGGAGCGGCTTGCCCGATTTGCGATCAATGCCAACAACGACGCCGTCAGGGTTGCTAGGAAGATAGACCCCGACCTCCACCTTGATCTTGCGCAGTTCTTCCTCAATCTTTTCCTTCTTCTCGGGCTTACTCTTCTTAATGTATGGGCGGAGCTTGCCAGAGATATCTGTGATCTCGTTGAAGAACGAGAACTCTCTTTCATAGAACTCACGCTCTTCGAGGGAGAAGCTGCCAATCAGGGTCTCAATGAATCGATCCAGTGTCGGTTTGAGAGGATCTGGCACTTGGGATTCCTCATCCTTGTAGGAGTTGGCCTTCATATTCCAGATCACCTGGTGTGCGAACAATTGAGACAGTTTGGCCGTTTCAAGGATATAGCGCTCGACATAACCCAAAGCATCATATCGGAGGGCCTGGACCAGCTGTGGAACAAAGTAGAAGCGAACATCGATGGAATGATGTTCCAAAGCTCGCATGGCATACTGCAAAATGAATGGGTGATTTCCGTAAGCAGGCAGGAAGTAAGTCAGCGCTTCGGTGGGGTTGACTGGCGCCCAGAACAACAGGTACTGTTTATGATTAGCTGGAGCTAGCACTACACGAAGGACGAAAACAAACCTTCAGTTGGAAATTAACGTCCGAAGACAATGACGAGTCGAACATGATCTCAAGAGCACTCGGCTCGCCAATGACCTTTTCGGGGAAATTGAGGATCAACCACCGAATTTCAGTCTGCAACTTTGCGGAGGGGAAACGAGCAGCAAGCTGGATTGCCAACCCTGGACTCTCTGCCCAAGCAAGGCGGATAAAAGATGCGAGCCCTTCTGCATTCTTGCTTCCGCTGCTATGCTTCTTTTCAGGCTCTAGAGGAGCGAGCCAGACTCGAAGGCGTGATCGTTCATTCTCGATGAAAATCTGAACAAGCTCTTGCTTCGCCTGCAAGGACTTGTACGACCCGCGACCACTCACGGCGATGTTTGCCACGCCGCGCAACAGAGACAAAACATCTCCGAGAATTTTATCCTCGGATTTGATCTGCAGTCGATTGCCTCCAAAAGACCATCGTGGCGGGTGCTTGAACCAACCGAGAGCAGCTGAGAGAATCTGGTCTTTGAGCTTCCAGGCCGCACCGCTGTTTCGAGGAGTGAGGTGCCTCAATATTCTCAATCCGAAGAGAACGATACGGAAATGCACTTCCCTGGCCAGAGGGTGGCCCTTGCTCTTCGAAAGACCCGCAGCGGTGCTGCTGACTAGGCGAATGGCCAGCTGCTGATCCTGCAGGTTGCCCAGGCGGATAGCACTGAAGTGGCTTTCAAAGAATTGAAGAACACGCAAGTGTGGCGAAAGCGTACTCTGAGCCTTCTCCTGCTTCCGCAACATCAGAGCCTTATCTGTTGGCAAAAGCTCAATATTGGTATACAGCGGGTCCATGTATCTGCAATAATCAGCAATTCCGAATCAAACCCTACCAGAAGAGAGACTTACCCAAACGATGGATCAAACAACCCTTTCCGGCGCTGTATGCTCCTTTCCCATGCCTCAATCACTTCTGTCAGGATGCGTGGCTCCGTGCTTGGGTTCTCATGAATGACTCCAAGCCAAAGGGAGACTCCCAGCTTGATCGTATCTTTTGTAAAAATCTGGAATGGCAAAGCTACCAGATAGTGAATGACAGAGAGCCGAGGCTTGCTGGTACCGCAAATGAGGCCGGCGGCTTGTCGTAGGGTATCTCTGACTTCAGCGAGAGGAATTTCAATCCCCTCGATGCTTCGTTCATAGAGACGGGAGAGCTTGTACTCCAAATCTCCGACAGACGGCGCGAGAAGCTGCATCCCAGGTTTACGGCCAAAGTTCATAGAGAGGCCCCCATCCCCTGGGGACATATCTGGACGTCTATACTTTTGGCGCGTTGTATACAGCGCCATAAAATCAGATGCGACATTAACGTTAATGCTCTCGTGGTCGATAGATCCGAGTCGGGGGTCACTTTGCGGGATGAGGGATCCCATTTCCAGTGCAAACGAACGACCCAGTGCAACATGGCCGTATCCGCCATCATCATCGTACTCGCTGAGATATGTCTGGAGCAACCCCTTGATATCCAACGGGGCAATGTTCAAGACGCTTGTGACCCATGCCCTGGCTCGTTCCAGGAATCGGTTCAAAGTTGTCTTTCTCAGCGCGTAGTTATCAGACAAGTCCACCCTGACTATGCCCATAGGCGAAACCAGTGAAGGCTGCCACTCAAACTCGTCAAGTTCTCCTTGGAGGCATGATGACCACATCACGGTCAAGATTTCAAGCAAAGCGAAGAGGGATTGCTTCTCACACAGCGCAGAAGGGCATTCCCGGATGATCTTGTCAGCACATAGCACTGCGATGCTCTGAACTCGTTCAATGCGATGGCAGCATGCCACCAGGAACTCAGCCAGTTGATTCGATAAGTACGAGGCCGAAAAATCGTCATGTTCTCCGGAAAGGGTGAGGAACAAGTAGGACTTGACCCCTTTTTCTGCAATAGCGTTCATACACATGACCATCTCCGGGGTAACTAGGGCTGGGTCAAGGAAATAGCTCAGGATTCTAGTGCAGTTCCCAGATACTGCACGAAGACTCTCAACGAGCAGCACGGCATTGAGAAAGATGGCTCGCGGATAGTCGAGACGCTTGATGTCCGATTCACGACCAGGCAGTTCAGAAATAAGAGTCTTTTTTAGCTCCGTCATTCGCTGGGGCCCCGAGCCCCGTCTGAGCACCGTGTTAAGTTCCACGTCACTCTCTAAAGACTCCATACGGTCTTCAGCAAGCAACGATGGAGAGTATTTCGCCAGCAGCCGGAGCTCCTTCCAATGGGCCTCGGCAATTTTCGAATTGAGAGAAATTCCGTGGATGGCGATGTTGAACCATGCATCGCGGAATAACGATGTGATAGATTCGTCGTAATCGCCTGCAGACTCGGACAGTCCTGAGGACACAAGCAATGCCAACGGTTTCAACAGGGGAGTAATGTCGCTAGGCGCGAAAATAATTTCCTTGTGGCGTTCAGTCTCCAGATCGGGAACATCGCCCTTGTTGACAATGCTCTCCAGCAGATGAATCAGGTAAAGCCTGCGGAGAGGTGAATGGCGCTCCAGGTTCACAGAGAGGGACGACATAGCACATTGGACGGCGTGGAGAATCACGTCCAAGCTTTTGCTAACCCCATCATCATAGATTCGAGTATAGAATTTGAGCAGAAGCTGAAACTCAGCCTGTCCGCTGCTTAAAGCAAGCACGGCAGTTTCTTGGATGATGTAGGCATCCACAGCCATATTGATCTTACCCACTTTTTGCAGAAGCATGGACTGCGCTAGGGCACTGATCTTGTCGTCTTCACAACTATTTGCAATTGTCACGATGGCATGAACGACGTTCCTGTGAGTGATCGTGTCTTCGTCACCATCGACATGGAGAGAGATCAGGCTCTCATTCTTCTGTCCGTGAGCGAGTTGATCCCTGTCTACATTGGGACTGGGGCTCAGCGCATTGCCCAGAGAGTAAAGCGTGGTGATCACGGCGTCCTCGGAGAGAATTCCTACCACCTGAGCCAAGCACCGGGCGGCTACGGCGACGACAGACCCGGTCGATACGCCACTCTGAATCAAGAACCGCAGAAGACTCTTTCTCCCCAGGGACGCGCCATTGGAAGACATCCTTGCCAGGATTGCGGTGCATTTCAGAGTGATCACGGCCAGCTCCGTGCATGCCATCTGGTTGGCATCGACCATGGTATCCTCAAGCCAGGACAGGAGAGTGTCATTGTTGGCTGCGTCTTCACCAAGGACCACGCAGTTCAAAAAGCCAATCAACGCGCATCCTTTCACCGAGAAAGCAAGCCGCTGCTGCCACGGCGAGCCTACTTTGAGGTAATCCGAACCATCCTCGAGCAAGTGAATCTCTTCGCTGATAATGTCGGTGATCCGCTCAACCAAAGCTCTGTCTGTCTCGTCGTAGCTCTTGGCAATGCCGACACCGTTCATGTAATCGTCGAGGAGCTGGTCATCCGACAGGGTTTGCAGACCGATCAGAGATGCCGCGCAAGACTTGACAAACCGCATGAAGCCCTCTTGTACGAGCATCGCGCTCAGCGGGCGGCCGTGGGCGGCATATCGTCTGGTGTACTTTCTCCAGTTCTTGAATGCGTTGTCAGCGGAACTCGTGTTCCGGATGGTGGAGGAAGCCGTCTCGATTGCAATCATGAACGACTCCGACAACATGGCCCGCATGTGATCGACGATTTGGAGCTTCTCAATGGCATTCCAGACACTGGTGAACTTTGACGCGGCGTCCAAAAAGCCAACCAAAGAGACTGCAACCGACAAGATTGTCATAGACTCGTGCACAACACCCTTTGAACCAGACTCGGATTTCGAATACGAGAAGGGCGTGGCGACCTTGACCGCCGCAGCGCAATTGTTCAGGTACGCATTGGCCGCATCCACGGCTATCTTCCGCAGAGACTGGTGTCTAGTGGCCAACGACAGAAGACCGAGAGTCAGGTTGTAGGTGAGAGCCTCCGAAGGGGACGGCTTTACGCTCTGAAGGAAGGGGGACGGCCGAAATAGCTGGCTGTGGGATTCAGGCAAGTATTTCGAGAGCTGAAAAGCCAGTCGCGAGGCGTGTTCAGGCTCGTTCACCGACGAGGCGGCCTTGCTGAGGGCGAGAAGGACATCGAGTTCACGAATTCCCTATTGATGTCAGTTTCACTGGTGAGAGTTCCAGTCTGGCACACACACCATTGGCACTCGGGATGCTGGAGCCTTGTCGCGCAAGACTCCATTGAGAGCTCCATCCTGGCGGGTCGGGCGCGACTGCTGGGCGAGGCGCTCCAGTTCGGAACCATCGCGGGCAGGCGACTTGACGGCCAAGGTCGCGAGTTTCTCCAGGGCAGAGCGCCTGATACCTGCAGCAACCCTGATTTGGTCAGTCAGCAGCAAACAACCGAAGGAACAAGAGAAGCATACCCGTCCATTATGAGTGAGGCTGGTGGGGGGGCGGTTGGTGTTTGGAAGAAGAAAAAAGTCCGGGGAAGGAGGGAACGATTTCAGGGGATTGCACGTGTCGGACGAAGCCTAGGTCCGACAGCTGCTGTGTACCGAGCATACGGTTTATCGGAGCATTGGATGTTATATGATATTATATGATAATATTATTATTATTATTGGATTAGCCCATACTATTCTTCAAGTCTGGATAGCTTAAGTTAGTTGACTAGGTGGTGTGCTAGCTTACTTAGCTGAGCTCTATGTGATGGATTGTTGTCTCAGTTTTGTTTGTTGAGCCTCATTGCGTCCTTCCTCTCCAGACCCTCTTTCTTTCGCTCTCATTTGTCCCTTCCAGCCACACACTCTTCGATCTCGCATCCCCACTGTGCAGTGGTCGGACTGGTCTGATTTTTTTGGTCATTCATGCAGCTGCGCCGCAGCGCTTGCCGTGACTGCGCCGCTAGGTAGCCGACCCCCCCCAGACAGCCTCGTTGCCTGCGCCGCTTCCATCACCTCTCCAGGAATCATGGGCCCTCGCAACGAGAAAAGCTCGCACAAGCGGGGTAGGGTGAGTACTACGACCAACCCCTCGTCGCTTCGATTCATCCTGCTGACTCCCTCCAAACGTCCCAGGCAAGCGCGGACTTGGATTCGGACCAAAAGAAACCCCGGCGCTCCCAGAGGATCTCTAGCCAAACTCATCCCCACGAGACCCCGATTGACCATCAATACCTGCCGACACCGTTGACGAATCGAAAGGAAGTGACGGCCACTCCCCCCGCGAGCGCGAAGACCGCTCGTCAACGAACGCCCAACATAGAGCTGCCGCATTCCACTTCCTCGCCGCCCGGAGATACGCAGGCGTTTTCACAATACGTATATCCGCCAAGGGCCTTTGCGGATGAAGTGGACGACGAGAATGCGGAGGGAGTCTGGGGTTACCTGCTTCCCCTCGATGACACGGTCGAGAATTCGCTTGTTTTGAAGAAGCGTACCAATTGCGAGAACAGGGAGACCAACGCTACAAAAGACAAGTCCGGCAAGCCGTCCCAACGCTTGGGAAGAGAGCCGTCTCGCAGGCAAAAGAATGGCCATCCGCCGAGCGGCTACTTGGTCGGCCGTCACCCCGAATGTGGTAGGTACATGTCTTTTGCTATTTATGCTCTGGAAAACCGACAGCCAACCGTTTTTAGATTTGGTCATCAATATTTCCACAATCTCCAATCGTCACTTTCTCCTCTTTCTGGAAAAGAAGGATGGCGACATAGTGGCTGTTGTGGAGGATCTCTCCAGCAACGGGACATATGTCAACGACGCCCTTGTCGGGCGTAACCAGCACCGTGAGCTCGAAGACGGGGACGAGGTTTCTATCAGGGGCGAGTCGCGATTTGTCTTCCGTTATCCTCGCTCACGAGGTACGAATGGCTTCCATCAGCAGTATCGGAAGGACAAAAAGCTCGGAAAAGGCCACTTCGCGACCGTGTACATCTGCTACGAACAAGTCAGCGGCAAAAAGTACGCGGTCAAAATCTTTGAAAAACGTATGGGAGATTCGCAGAAAGCACGGGATGAATCTTTTCAGAAAGAGATTGGCCTATTGATGAGCGTGAACCACCCGAATCTGCTCTGTCTAAAGGATACCTTTGATGAAGCCGATGGAGCCTATTTGGTGCTGGAGCTGGCCAACGAAGGCGAATTGTTCAATTTGATTATGACCAAGCAGAAACTCAGCGAGGCCGAAACCCGTCGGATCTTCCGACAGCTGTTTGACGGGCTCAAGTATCTGGTTTGCATACCACTCTGTCGGTTCATCCATACGTATGGCTAACGAACATCATTAGCATGATCGAGGAATTGTTCACCGCGACATCAAGCCCGAAAATATCCTTCTTTCGTCCTCGGCTGACAACAAGGAAATGATTGCGAAGCTGGGCGACTTTGGTCTTGCCAAAATCATCGGCGAGGACTCATTCACCACGACGTTGTGCGGTACACCATCTTGTAAGTTGTTCTGGTGAGTCTATGTCGCGCGGATCTCTCGTGCTTACTGCTTCTAGATGTGGCCCCAGAAATCTTGCGGCCGGGCGATCACCGCCGATATACGAAAGGAGTGGACGTCTGGTCCCTCGGCGTCGTTCTCTACATCTGTCTCTGCGGGTTCCCGCCTTTCTCGGATGAGCTATACACCAAGGAGAACCCATATAACCTCGCGCAGCAGATCAAGATGGGCCGATTCGATTATCCCTCGCCGTATTGGGATTCCGTGGGCGACCCGGCGCTGGATCTCATCGACCGCATGCTCACCGTGGACGCCGATAAACGAATTACGGTGGACGAGTGTCTCGAGCACCCATGGCTCATTGGGGACAATCTCAGTCTGACTGACAGTACGGACGGACTGACTGGCGCCTTGGGCAAGTTGGACTTTTCGAAGCGCAAAGTCCAACGGGAGCGAACCATGCTCAGCAGCGTGAATGATGTGAACTACAGCGAACATGCTGAGGGCGGCAGCACCCCCGTCAAGGTCTTCCACAAGAACGAGGCCGTCAAGCGAGTGCACAACCGACCAGCCAAGAAGCGCGAGGCCTCCCCGAGTGGCACTCGAGCGCCGCAAAACTTCATCAACCTGGGTCAGCACGGCGACCCGGCGTTATACGATGATGAGCCCAGCAGTCGTTACCGGTGATTTATTTTTTGTGTGTGTTTTGTCTGTGTTTTGGCCGAGTATGATAGGTACATAGTGTTGGTGGCTCGGCCATATTCTTCTATTTTGTGGTTCTGACGGAAAAACCAGTTTCAGTTTGGCGCCGGCTCTTGTTGTTCCCATGTGGCGTGACTGTGGTCAAGGCAGTCCCGATAATAATAATGAAAAGTATTATTAGGTGCAATAGGAGACTCCAGCGTAGTACTAGACTTTTAATAAATAATTATGCTAGAGTCCCGCACATAGTAAGTAGCATCACATAGAACGTGACCAACCCCTGGCGGCGAATGGCGGTGCAGATAATTCCACTTTTTTCCCCTTGGCCATCTTTCCTTCTTCACCCACCCATTGTCTTTCTTCTCCTTCTCCTCCCCTCCCTCCCGCGCGAACATGGGTCTCTTCTCTAGTTTCCTCGACTCGTTCTGCGAGCACTGCTCCTCCCAGTCCATCTATACCCTGGTGGCCGTCGGCGCCTTGTCCTTCATCGCTCTCTCCGTCGTGGTTAACGTTCTGCGCCAGCTGCTATTCAAGAGCCCTCACGAGCCCCCCGTTGTCTTCCACTGGTTCCCCTTCATTGGCAGCACCATCAGCTACGGCATCGACCCCTACAAGTTCTTCTTCAACGCCCGCGCAAAGTACGGCGATATCTTCACGTTCGTGCTCCTCGGCAAGAAAACCACCGTCTATCTGGGCACCAAGGGCAACGACTTTATTTTGAACGGCAAGCTGCGCGATGTCTGTGCGGAGGAAGTGTATTCTCCCCTAACGACCCCCGTGTTTGGTCGCCATGTGGTCTACGACTGCCCCAACTCCAAACTCATGGAGCAGAAGAAGGCAAGTCCGAAAGACGCGTCAAAAATGACCAATTGCTGACGGAGTTCCTCTCTAGTTTGTCAAATTCGGTCTCACCTCTGAGGCGCTTCGTTCCTACGTCCGTTTGATTACGTCCGAAGTGGACAATTTTGTCGAAACCTCCCACTGGTTCCAGGAGCCCAAAGGCACCTTCAACGTCTCCAAGGCAATTGGTGAGATCACCATCTACACCGCGTCGCGCTCGCTGCAAGGAAAGGAGGTTCGGGATAGGTTTGACTCGACCTTCGCGGATATGTACCACGACCTCGATAAGGGCTTTGCGCCAATCAACTTCATGCTGCCGTGGGCACCTCTCCCTCACAACCGCAAGCGCGATGCCGCGCAGAAGCGGATGACCGACACGTACATGGACATCATCAAGGAGCGCCGGGAGGCCGGTGTTCATAGGGAAGAGGATGATATGGTGTGGAATCTCATGTCCTGCGTTTACAAGAATGGCACTCCTGTCCCTGACGAAGAAGTTGCTCACATGATGATTGCGCTCTTGATGGCCGGCCAGCACTCTTCGTCCTCCACCGCTGCCTGGATCGTCTTGCGCATGGCCACCTGCCCCGAAATCATGGACGAACTGTATGAGGAGCAGAAGCGGGTCCTGGGCTCCGACCTCCCTCCTCTTACTTATGAGAGTCTGCAGAAGCTGGACCTGCACGCCAAGGTGATCAAGGAGACGCTTCGCATCCACGCACCTATCCATTCGATCATCCGCGCCGTCAAGAACCCCATGCCCATTGAAGGAACCCCCTATGTCATCCCCACCAGCCACAATGTCCTCTCCTCTCCCGGCGTCACGGCCCGGTCAGAGGAGTTCTTCCCCAACCCGCTCAAGTGGAGCCCTCACCGCTGGGACGAGACCACCGTGGCCGAGGATAAGGATGAAGAGAAGATCGATTACGGATACGGTCTGGTCACCAAGGGCGCGAACAGCCCGTATCTGCCCTTCGGCGCCGGTCGTCACCGCTGCATTGGCGAGCAATTTGCCTATGTGCAGCTGGGCACCATCCTGGCTGCCTTGGTCCGGCATTTCAAATTCTCCAACCCTCCTGACCGGTCTTCTATCCCGGACACGGACTACTCGGTAAGTCTTATACTCATACTCATGTGTGGAATGTCATCCGCTAACTAAACATTAGTCGCTGTTCTCCAAACCCCTCGGCACTTCCTATGTGCAGTATGAGAAGCGTGGGTATAAAGCATGATTGGAATGAGCTACCCTTTTACACTTAATGTCTCTTTTTTCCTCCCCCACCAGGGCCACCTGAGCGATTCCACCAGATGTATATGTTTGGATAGATTGCAACCGCTGTAGATTACACTGTTGTTACCCTTCGTGCCGGATGTTTATACTGTTTCAATGATAACCATTTAATATTGGTGAAGATGCCTTGGGCTAGATGATGTAGTAGGACAGTATAGTACAGTAGAAACAGGCCAAATGGCCCAGCTCACAGCTGAAGAGATATGCTTGACAAAAGAAAGATAGCCTTCATGATCCTCACGCGATCCCCTTCCTCCGCTCTTCGACTCGTCGCTTAGCCTGAATCTCAACCCGGCGCCTCTCACCCCCATCAACCTTGTGTCCCCGCTTATCTTCCCACATTCCCTCCTGGACTTTGATTGTTGCCACAGAGCCATTGCTCCCCCGTACGGGCTGCAGGAACGGCCCCTTGATCATCGAGCCCCGATGAATTTTGATATGTGCGAACTTCTTCGGCGGCGAATCCGGGTTGTGCTCATATTTCGTCGCATCCGGAGGCAGATTGACGACCGCCCGTCGCATGTCAGGGGACAGAGTCGCCGACGCAGACAGGTAGGCTTTGGGGTTATCCGGTTTCGCAGAGACATCGGGAACTTCAACGACCCGCAACTGCGCCACGCCGTCGACGACATGCTCCAGGTCCCCTCCGGGGCCATGCAGACCCTTGCGGAACTTCTCGCGCTTCCGCATCAGGTATCGGCGCTGGCGGGCGGGTTCAATGCCCGCTGCTCGAAGCTCGTTGGAATTGAGCGTGAAGAGTTTCTCCCATGAGGGCAGCTTGCTGGCGTGCTTGGACATGGAGCGGCCGATCAGGGTCAAGAATGTCTGCACGTCCGGAACGAAGGGAGTCGGCGAGGGCACAGATGCTGCTGGCCTGGCGGGTTTGTGGAATTGTCGGAGGCATTGTCTGGAGGTGTTGACGGTGTGGACTAGGCGTGATGAGAAGGTGCCCAGCGGCGTGCTGCGCATCGCCATGATGATGTGCTTGGTGCCGTAGAGCCTCCTTGCAAAACGACAGATAAATATCGGAAGTGGACGGGGGTATAAAGAGAGACTGGGAGTTCTCAGTCGCGCGTGTCGGACAGAAAAATCGGGGGAGCAGGCCGGGATCAACGATAGTCCGATGAGTCCTCCACGCCGACAACAACAGAATCCCCAGTGACGGGACTTTCTTTCATTCTCATTCCTCTCCTACTTCACTGTCCGGGATGGCAGCGTCTCCATTTGCCTCCCGCTCCCCTTCGCAGACCGTCTCATCGCCCAATACCCTCCGACTGAGAGCTTCGGCGGCCCAGAACGCATCTCAGACCTCGGTGGCCCGACGGCCGCAAAATGCAGACCAAGAGCTTACGGAACAGCTGAACGATGAGGTGAGGCAGAAATACGTAAAAGGTACGCTTCATTGATGGGGCAATGTTGCCAAGCTATACAGCTAACAAATAAAAAGACAAGAGGCTCGGAGAAGGTACCTACGCAGTTGTATATCTCGGCCACCTCAAGGATGATCCCAGCTCTCCTGTCGCCATCAAGAAGATCAAAGTCAATGCCGAATACAAAGATGGACTCGCCATGGATGCCATTCGGGAGGTCAAGTACCTCCAGGAGCTCTCTCACCCTAACATCATCGCGCTGCACGACGTGTTCTCGTCCAAGGACCAAAACCTCAGCCTGGTCCTGGAGTATCTTCCACGCGGAGATCTGGAAATGCTGATCAAGGATGTCAACATTCACTACGGTGTTGCCGACGTCAAGGCCTGGATGGGCATGCTGGCCCGGGGAGTGTGGTTCTGCCATGAGAATTTCGTGCTGCATCGGGATATCAAACCCAACAACTTGTTGATCGGCTCCGATGGAGAGGTCAAACTGGCCGATTTCGGTCTGGCCCGATCGTTTGCAGACCCAAATTATAACATGACCCACCAAGTGATCACGCGCTGGTACCGCCCTCCGGAGTTGCTGTACGGCGCGCGCCAGTATTCAGGCGCCGTGGATGTCTGGTCCATGGGCATGGTCTTTGCAGAACTTCTCATCCGGATCCCCTTTGTGGCCGGCAACACAGACCTGGATCAGATCTCGAAGATCTGCGAGGCGTTTGGTACGCCCACGGAGGAGAATTGGCCGGGAGTCACCCAGTTGCCCAACTACATCCCTTCGGACCGGAATGTACCATTACAAGGGCGCGAGTTCTTCCTGCGACAGTTCCCCATCGCGGGACCGGTGGGTGCTGAGCTCCTCATGTCGATGTGTGCACTGGACCCGAGGAAACGGACCACGGCTCTCCAGGCCCTACGGCACAGCTGGTGGACCACCGAACCCAAACCGACCAAGAAGGCCGATCTGCCTCGCAAAGCGGGTGGTGACAAGAAGATGGGCGATGACTTGACCCGACGGGGCGGCGAGCTGGACGACAGCACTTTCAAGAATGCAGCGCGCCAGTTGGATTTTGGAGCGAAGTAAGGACCGTCGGCTCAGACAACAATGGTTTCACCCCCACCGTGTAGAAGAGGGTTTTCGTCGGGGATATATGTATGCCTCATGCAGGGACGGGAGGACTATTCAATAATGTCCATGACAAATGCCCGTGACAAATCCGGGGGACCTTACATATTGCTTGATGCCTCGACGGGAGGACGGGACAGGGGGGCGGAACACGGGCCGCGATGAGATGTGACAGGTCGAGCTGTCAGCTCGCCACCCATGTGTCAATAACTCCTGCAAGCCCCGACCGTTTTCCCTCTATGGACTAGGGCGAGCTGTCCTGTCCCTTTTTCCCTTACAGTGTACTATCAATGGTCCCTGGCGTCGCTGGTCATTCCTATCCCCAGGAGGACGGTTAAGCTCATCCCCGCCGGTTCTCTGGGATCGAGATGATGCGATTGACAGGCGCGCACCGGCGTGGGTGGGGCGATGAACCAGAGCGCCGGCTGCACACGGGCATCTCTTGCCGATCGGGGTTCGGCATTTCGCCGGAGGAGTGAGCATGGGGGAGATTGCGAAGGAACATCGGTAGCAGGGACCAGACGAAGGAGCCAAGGGCAAAGACCCTCACGTGAGCCCGCCCGTATTCCTATCCTCCCGGATACACTCGAAGACAGGGACTATGTACTCGGTGGGAAGTCAATCGTACTTCGGTCGCGGTGTTCGTGCCAGACGGTTTCGCCCCCTTTTCCTAGATCCACCGATACCGGGTTCATTGGCCGATCCTCGACTTTAACGCCATCACATCCTTTTTTAGTCCGTAACCCCTTTTTTGGGGCTGTTCAATCACATCGCAGACCGGCAGGGGCAGGGACTACAGAAACCAGTGATGGGCATTATTAAACCGAATCGGAATCCCATCGTCGTCGTATCTCATAATGTAAAAGGCAAAAAGGCAAAGGTGCGGGGAGTACTAGAGTCGAGTAAACAAGCCACACCTCGTTGGTTTCCACTCTTCGTTGAACTCTTTTCTTCCTCTTTCTTCCCTTTCCCCATCACACTCTCCCATCTTCTCTCTCTCTTTCTTCTTCCCTCGACAGACCTCCCTCCAGGCCCGAATTCCAGTCAAGTCCCAAATTCTCGGCAGGCTGTTGCCGCCCGTCCGTCCGTTGTGATCGTTATCTCGCATGGTCGTTTGGATCTGTATGTGCCCGAAACCTACCCACTCTGCCCCTGGCGATTGTCCAGCGGTGGGCTTGATTCTCAGGCACCCATCTCTGATGGTCATTGTGGAACATCTTGCTCTCCCACACCCACTGGACAATGTCTCACTTGTCCGATCAGTTCGTTTGGGCTAATCAACATGTCGAACAACCGCAGATTCAATATCAGGCGCGCAAAGAGGGCCCGGCCCCTCCGTTCGCATGGCCATCACCCTACCTATTGACTGATTCAAGCCTTGACCATCGACCCATACCATGGCCTCAATGTCGGCTCTGCCGCAGCCGTCACGGCCGGCCACCAATCCGCCGACGGGGTCCCTCCCACCGCTCCCCAAACCCAGAAAGACCAGCACAGCTTCACCTACAGACGCGACACGGGCTGCATCTCCCGCCTCGAAACTCCGAGCACCCTCCAGCCCGAGACCGTCCCTGGTCAAATCCCCTTTATCCAACTCGAACTCAACTTCCAACCTCAACGCGGCCCGCTCAGTATCCACCGGACGTGGACCAAGCAGTCCCGACAAAACACTCCGCAGGACTATCAGCATTGCATCGTTCCCGCAACCACCTAAACCTGCTACGGGTGGAAGAAGCCCATCGACCGCGTCTGCGAGTTCTGTCTTTCAAGTCCCCACTCCCGCCGGAGGTGGGAAAGCAAAAAGAGGATCTCGATTGAGCACGGGCACTACTAGTAGCTTCCGGAGCTCGAAAACTCCCTCATTGCTCAACGGTAGTGGAGATGGGAAGTCAATCCTGAGCTCGGATGCGCGAGATCTCGATGCCTCGCCCGCCCACAGCAGAAGCTCCTCCGCCCAGGGCTCCTGCTCTACCAGTGCGACCACGTTTGAAGATGGAGATGATACGGCCACCGCGGGCAAGACGAATTCGAAACCGAAGGAAATCAAGGGCAATGTCCTTGTCAGTGTCCGTGTTCGCCCCGAGGCCAACACTGGCAGCGAAACCCCCAGAACCCACGGGGAATGGGCCGTGGATGGACGCCAGAGCCTCATTTCCTACCGAGGGAAAGAAGGCGGCGAATACTATTATGGTAAGACTCCTTGCGCAGATAGAAAAGTGTACGCATTGACTGACGAAATCAATCACCTCAGACAATGTGTTTACTGCCAACGAGAATAATGCAAAAGTGTACGATTCGGGTGCAAAGCGTCTTGTTCGGCGAGTTATGGAAGGTTACCATGGAACTGTCTTCGCATACGGTATGACGGGGACAGGAAAGACATTCTCCATGCAGGGTACTGCGACCTCACCCGGAGTGATTCCGCTGGCCATCACCGACATTTTCTCATTCATTCGAGAAACTCCACATAGGGAGTTTTTGCTGCGGGTCAGCTATCTCGAGATCTACAACGAGAAGATCCACGATCTGCTCTCCGCGTCCATGACCGCCAATGGGACACCAGCGCCCCAACAGGAAGAAATTAAACTGCGCGAAGACAGCAAACGCGGTGTCTACGCGTCGCCACTCAAGGAAGAGATTGTGCAAAGCCCCACGCAACTGCTCCGGGTAATCGCACGAGGAGACCATGCGAGACGGACGAGCAGCACGCAGTTCAACGCGCGCAGCTCCCGAAGTCACGCGGTGGTTCAGATCGTCGTCGAGAGTCGAGAGCGCGCTCCTACAGGCAACTCTCAAGACAAGCGAGCGGGGATCGCCCCCGGTGGTGTACGGGTGTCGACGCTGAGTCTGATCGATCTTGCTGGTTCAGAGCGAGCGGCCGATGACAAGGAGCGCCGCACCGAAGGTGCCCATATCAATAAGAGTTTGCTCACTCTAGGAAACATCATCTCCCGACTATCCGACAACAAGGACAAGCAGGGCAATCCAGCCGACCGAGAAGGCCGCCATCTCCCATACCGTGATAGCAAGTTGACTCGACTGCTGCAACCCGCCCTGTCCGGCAATTCCCTCGTCAGTATTCTGTGCACAATCCAATGTGCAACTGGCGTCAATGCGCACACGGGAGAGACTTTGAACACGCTCAAGTTCGCCGCGCGAGCGAAAAACAATATCGTCAGCCATGCCAAAAAGGCCGAGGAAGCGTACGGTGCCGGTGGCGGCGATGGGAGTCGCGTCTTGCTGGAACGGTACCGAATGGAAATCCAGGCTCTGCGTGGCCAGCTGGACACGCAATCCAAGGATCAAGCCGAGAAAGAGCTCAAGCTGGAGGCGGAACAATACGAAAAGGAAGCGCAGACTCGCCACGATGAACAGGTGTTGGAGATGCAGCTAGCACGAACGGCGCTTAAGGAACGGATCGAACACCTCAATCGTCTCATTCTGAGCTCCAAATCGACCGGCGTGAACAGCCACAATAGCCTTTCTGCATTTGGACGGCTGTCTGGTCTGTCCACAGGGACTCGGTCTCTGCGTTCTTCCGCCAGTCAGTCTACCTTGGGTGCCGGTCATTCGTCCATACGACCTATCTCTTTCATGTCGGTCAATAGCAATGATCCCTCCGTTTCTATGCCATATTCCGTCAATGAGGACGACGATGACATGGGCGAATTCGGCGATGGCAGGGCAAGCCTGCAGCGGCAGGTTTCTGCACTGCAAGCCGATCTGGGCGATAAGAATCGATACATCTCGACTTTGGAACGCCGGCTGCTCCAAGCCCGGCGGTCCAGCCACTCCCGCATATCGGTGGGCATGAAAGCCAACAACCCCAGCACCATCTCCGAGCACCCTGATATGACGGCCCTCCTCCGCGAGAAGGATATGGAGATCAACGAGCTTCGCCTGCAGCTCGATGACAAAGACCGGATGCTTACTGCTCTCCGGTCCGCAACGCGGCATCGAGATCTGGCCGTTGTGACCAACGAGTCTCAATCGCCAACGGAACTGAAGAGCAAAGTGAACTCACCCTCGGACGCCGATGGGTCCACCCCAGCAACGAATGGCATGATGGGTAAGGCTGTGAGTCCAAGTGCAGCTTCCCTGAAAGAGAAAGGACAAGAGAAGGAGAAAGAAAAAGAAAACGAGAAGGAAGGCGATAAGAAGAAAAACATGGACGAAGTCTCCCGAATGCTGGATGAAATGATCCAGGGTCGAGTTGTTAGCGGCCAATCGGACAGTGGCTCTCGTGGAAGCATCCACGTCACTGGCGGCGGCAGGCGAGAATCTGCGTCCGCGGAAGTTGCTGCGCTCAGGTCGTCGCCCTTTGAGAAGCCGGTCCCTGGAGCACAGGCCATTGGAGAGAAGGGTACGGGGGAGAAGAAGACCATTGAGGAGAAGACCACGGAGGAGAAGACCAATGGGGGGCAGGCCACAGGAGAGCAGGCCGCCGAGGAAAAGGCCGCTGCTTCTCCCTCGTCATGATGCGCACAAGCTCCCGTTTTTAATGGGTCTGAATGGACCAACCCTTTGTGTTTCTTTGCTTTTTTGAGAATGTACGATCTGATACCCGATCTATGCGCTGGATTTTTTATGGCTGTGTTGATAAGACCTTTTTTTGTGTGTAGTTGTTTGAGATCTCTGTGAATGGTTGGTTATTGGACATACAATTATCTACATAGACAGTGAAAGATATGAATGACCGTTTGACTTGAACATTCCATCATCATCATTATCATCAGGAGTTCCTCGAAACAAAATCACGCAACGATCTCCAGCTCGCCCTTCCTCTCGGTGGCGAAGACATCCTTCCACCGATCCCAGAGCCGCTGCAGCTCCTGTACGTACTGTGAATGAAGCTGGTCAATGTACTGATCACCGATCTTATCCCGGTTCGACTGCTGCATGACCTGGATAGGCCGGCCGATGACAATATTCATCGGCCGGCGATAAGGCATCAGGCCAACGTCGTAGTTGAAGACCCCGCGCGCATGGAAAAGGGGGATGGTGAACCCCATCGTCTGCTTAACCAGCATCTGGAACTTATGGATAATCGGATGCTGGTCTCCACGGACTTGCTCGTAGATATCGTTCTCGCCGAACGCCAGGACGGGTACCAGGTCGGCGCCCGTCCGAATCGCCAACTTGACGAACCCCTTGCGACCCTTCAGGACCAGGCGCATCGTATGCGGCTGCGCATGCAGAGACTCTCGCGCGCCCCCAACCACAATGGTAATAGCGCGGCCCATGCCCTCGCCGTCTTCGCCGCCTTTCGTCAGGATATTTTCGCAGGATTCGCGAGACACGCTGGCCAGCCCCATAGCCAGCGCATACTCTCTATAGAAGGGAATACGGAAGTTGGCGTCCAGGGTCAGCAGGGTATTCGTAATCCCAGGGAAAAGTTTCGAGAAGCCCAGCGCCTCGGTTCCGAAAGCGGCGAAGGCGCCGTGGGAGATGATGCCGTGGGGATGGTAGCCGAAGATATACTTCTTTGTTGGCGGGAGGGGTTCCTCGCGGTGCAGGCGGGCGGGAAAGTAGTTTGCATACAGGCGCCAGATCGGAAGAGAGCGGAGGAATGGACTGCGGCCTTTCAGGTCGCCTGATGTAGCTGCTGTGGAGAAGAGGGAGATGTAGACTAAATAGGGCACGAGGAGCGGCCAGAATAGCGGAATGGCGCAGGTGAAGAAGAAGGAGGTTAGGAAGATGGCGATAGTTAGGGTGTGGCAGAGCACGATCAGGGTCTGCAGGCGACGCTCCAGGCCGATGTTGAGCGGTGCCCAGTGGACGCTGGGAATGTGTCAGTTCAGTTCGGTCGGTGTTAAACCCTTGGACTTGTGGGCGATTCTCACCGACTTCTGGCCCGGTGCTCGACATGGTTGGACTGGGCGGAGTGGTTGGGTGCAGGCCGGCGCTGAGACGGCGTGGCCCCGTTCATCCTGTACTGTGAGGTTTGGAGGAAAGCGAGGGAAGAAGACGATGGGTGAACAACAGCAAGGGCGGATGACGTAGGGTGGGCTGAGGTAAGCACGATCTATTGTCTCTACAGTTACGGGGTTTGGAAGAGGTGATCATCATAAATTCCAATTGCGCCAGGTATTATTTAGAACTCCGAAATCTATACTCAAAAAGAAAAATGCGCTTCATATGCCATGTTATGCTTTCACCATGAAGATCTGCTGCGGATTAGTACGGGATGGTAGGGAAAAGGATGGCACAGCACGAACCTCGTTAAGGGATTTATCATCCAATAGTGCTCTCTTCTTCTGCGCGATATGTCGGCCTCGCAAAAACTGTCTTCCATTTGGCCTACGCTCCCGCGCACTCGACGGGTCTGAGGCCTTGCTGGGCTGCACGATGGTCTCGACGCTTGGCTGAGGTGTATCCTCCTCGCTTGAGGGATCACCTTCCTCAGCTGCGGCCCTCCTCTTTTTGGATTTCTTTTCTTTCTTATCCTTCTTCTCCTTTTTCTTCTCCTTCTTCGACTCCGACGTCGAGGCCGAGGCCGAGCTATCGGGCTCGTCGACGCGGGAAGAACGGGATTTCTTGGACTTGGAGGACTTGCGAGCGGCCTTGGCGTCATCGGATGGAGTATCACCATTCGATTGTTGTTTGACCGACTCGTTTGACTTCTTCGGGGTATCGTCCTTGGCCGGAAGCTCCTCGGGCTTCTCTTGGGTCAATAAGCCTGCGCTCACGAAGCGGACCTCGGGGAATTTCATGGCGGCATATCGAGCCAGTTTGACATCGTCCCGCTTCCTCTGCTCCTGCTTCAACACCACTTCGGACTTGCCATTCAGCCGACCGAGCAACCCCTTGAAAGCGTCCAGTCCCGTGGGTTCCCCCAACGGGTCCCGCCCAACACGAGCGCCCAGGCCCAGCGTATCGTCTTTGATGGAAACCTTGATGTGCGTTGAGCTGGCCGCGGTGAGAAAGTCGGCGTGAGCCGCATTTCGAGCTCCGAGAGTATTGCCGGGTGTCCACCCCTGGGCGCTCATGATCCGGTGCCCAAACCCGGACGTGGACCGGGCCCAGTTGGTGTTGTTGGGGTCATGGGAGATTTTCGTCTTTCTGGTTGTAGATGGTCAGAGACACAGAAATGGTTGTCAAGGGGGGTATGTCATACTTGCGCGGACCGGCTAACCCCATGGCGGCGACGGTGAGTTACTTGATCTGAGGAGTGAAAAGAAAGAAATTTAAGTTGCGGGAAAATATCAAAGATTGGGGGTTGCTGAGTCAGCCATCTTATCTGGCATTCATCGACCCGATTACGGGGACCGACTGATGGACAACATGACCCGATAAGACAGACCATGTTTAATCTACGCATTCTCTGTCGGGATCATCCTCAGCGTACCATTGCCTTAGTCACTGCCGACCATGTTCTGGTCTTCCACTACAGCCCCGCCGACACGCGCGAGAAGAGCGCCGCGCGCTGTCAGGTGGAATTCGCGGAGATCTCGTCCGTCGAGCTGGAAGGCTATCGTTCGCTGGGCGAAGGATATGGAACCCTCGGTCTAATTACTTTGAACGATGACATCTTTGTCTGTGTGGTGACGGGCTCATCACAAGCTGCCACCGTGCGGCCCGGGGAAGCGGTGTCGCGGATTGACAATGTCGACTTCTGTACGTAACCGTTCGACCCCCTCATGCGGGCGTATGCTAACGATGGTGGTAGACTGCCTCAATCGTACAGAATATGATTATGGCATGGAGTATGAGTCCAACTCTCAATTCGCCGCGGAGGGCGCAGGTCCCGAGGGCAGGGACGTGGTGACAGACCACCCTTTCCTAGCTTTGAAAAAGCTTCTCGGAGATGGGAGTTTCTACTACAGCCTGGACTTTAACCTGACAGATCGCCTACAGGACCGGTAAGATGGAAAAGCTACCCGGATTTGCACGATAGCTGATAGACATGCAGCGCGGATAAATCAGCGGCCTTCGACATCGACTCGCTCGATGAGGACATGCTTTGGAACTCATACATGATCAGCCCATTGCTACGCTTTCGAAGCAACTTGCCGCCTTTCGACCGAGCAAAATTGGATGCTTCTCAGATGCTGACATGCGTCATTCGAGGCCACGCCAGTACGCTCACAATCCCAGCATCGATCCCGATCCTTCCGCAGGTGCGGACTAAATTCCCTTCCCTGTTGACTATTATCTCGCGGCAATCTTCTCGGCGTGCAGGCACGCGATTCAATTCGCGAGGTATTGACGATGATGGACATGTGGCCAACTTTGTGGAGACGGAAACGATTCTCTGGGTTTCCCCGAGCATCACCTTTTCCTATGTCCAAGTCCGAGGCTCCGTGCCCATCTTTTGGGAGCAGACGCCTGGGTTCATCCCTGGCCAGCAGAAGATCGAAGTCACTCGATCAAGTGAAGCTACACAGCATGCGTTCGATGAACATTTCGAAGGACTTGAATTGGAATACGGAGCAGTGCATGTTATCAATCTCCTCAGTGAACAGAAGCCAGGGGAAGCCGAGCTGTCGGCCAAGTTCCGGAAACACATCTCCAAAAGCTCACTGAGGCGAAAAGAACAAACAGAGCAAGCCGCCAGTCATAGTCTTCTGCGAATGACGGACTACGATTTCCATGCTGAGACTCGAGGGCCTTCTGGGTACGCCGCGAGTAGCCAAATCAAATACGAGCTGGCAGACTCGTTGGAAGGGTTTTCATACTTTTTGTCGGAAGATGTTGCCCGCTCGAATTCATCCATGTATGGGGATGCAGCCAGCAGCTCTTCGGTAATATTGCAACAGGAGGGTGTCTTTCGGACCAATTGCTTGGATTGCTTGGACCGGACCAACCTCGTCCAGACCATAATCAGCGTGATGGTTTTGGAAACATTCCTCTCGCAACAAGGTACACCTCTCAGTTCGGATTTGGAAATGAGGCACTCAACCCTCTGGGCCGACAATGGTGATGCACTCTCCAAAATCTATGCTGGCACAGGAGCTCTCAAGTCCTCATTCACCCGGCATGGAAAGATGTCGCTCGCCGGAGCGCTTGCCGATGCGCGGAAAAGCGCAACTCGGCTGTATGTGAACAACTTCACTGATAAAGCCCGGCAGAAGACAATCGATTTGCTTCTGGGAAGGCTGGCGAATCAATTGTCAGTTCATCTGTACGATCCCATGAACGATCTGGTTTCCGAAGAACTGAGTCGGCGTGTGTCTGAATTCTCCTCGACGAAACAAATCCGGATCTGGGTCGGAACATTCAATGTTAATGGGCGCCTTCAAGGCCCTGAAACCGACCTCACTCCATGGCTTTTCGCAGATACCGCCGAATCTAACGAGGATCCGACCATTTTCGTGGTGGGATTCCAGGAAATTGTCGATTTGAGCCCTCAGCAGATCATGTCTACTGATCCTGGCACCCGTAAAGTGTGGGAGGGGTCCGTCAAGGCCTGCTTGAATCAGCGTGCCCAAGCCAAGGGAACGAGCAAGTACGTGCTCTTGAGAAGCGGCCAGCTTGTTGGGGCCGCCCTGATTATTTTTGTGAAAGAGGAGGCTCTGAAGGATATCAAGAATGTCGAGGGAAGTGTGAAAAAAGTGAGATTACTCTTTACCCCATTAAGCCTGAGTGAGTGGCTTGGCTAATCATTTGTGTAGACCGGTCTTTCAGGGATTGCTGGCAACAAAGGAGGCTGCGCTATCCGGTTCGAATTTTCAAACACCAGTATTTGCTTGGTCACTGCCCACCTAGCGGCTGGGTTCGCAAACTACGACGAACGAAACAAGGACTACGAGACCATCGACCGGGGTCTGCGATTCCAGAAGAATCGAGCAATCGAAGACCACGACACGATCATTTGGCTCGGGGACTTCAATTATCGCATTGGTCTGGGGAATCAGGAAGTGAGAGACCTTGTCTCCCACAAGAACTACCGAAAGCTCTATGAAAATGACCAGGTCCGCCCCTTTCCTTTTCCTCCTCGACGTGGACTACCGTTTGCTGACCATAATCCAGTTGAACCTGCAAATGATTGCTGGCCAATCCTTCCAATTCTACTCTGAGGGGCCGATTGATTTTGCTCCGACTTACAAGTACGACGTGGGGACCACTCAATATGACACCTCTGAGAAAGGTCGCATTCCGGCCTGGTGTGACCGGATCTTGTGGCGAGGGAACAATGTTCGCCAGACCAACTACCAGACTGCCGACCTGCGCATCTCGGATCATCGTCCCGTCTGGGCGACCTTTGACTGCGTGATTGACGTCGTGGATAGTGTTCTCAAAGATAAACTCAGGCGGTCATTGTACGAGGAGAAACAAAGGAGTCTTATGAACTCGATGTCCCTTTTAGACTTGGAAGACGAGGAAGAAGCCATGCTGCAGGTTCCCATCGCAACTGGCCTGCCACCACCGAGTTCGGATCGCAGCAGATGGTGGTTAGATCACGGTGCGAAATGCATTTCCCCCATCTAAGTATCATTGACAGACTGCTAATCCCCGCAGCAGGTATTCCCGTGAAATCAACGGTTCATCCACCCCAGAACGGACTTGTAGCAAATGTTAAACGCAAGTCAAATCCCTTTTCCTCGGATGTGGAGCCCGATTGGGTTCCATCGACTGGAGATCCAAGTATAATACGTGACGACAAGCCCCCACGCAAACCTGCTTTACCTCCGCGAACTGGATCGCGAGATCAGCTCCGGGACTCTTCCCCGACGGTGCAGACTATTCCTGCCCAGAAACAGCCGAACCGAATCCCTGAGAAATCGCCGCCGGCCGTTCCACGAAAGCCAATGTCGCTAAGCTCGCCAACAAACCATCGGTCCCCGTCCCATTCTGCGGGCGAGTCTCCATCACCTGGACCATCTACCGCAAAGACCACTGCCAGTCCGGCGAATCTCCTCGATGGCACTGGCGCCGAGCAGATTGAGTGGAAACCCGTTCTTCCCCAGTGATAATACCGCTTTGCCTACATGCGAGTGGAATCTCAAGGACGCAAAACAATAATAAAGTTTGGATAAAATCAAAGGAGCTAAACAAACATCTCTCATATCTCATAACATGATCGCCGAAGTGCTCCATTTTCAGGATTTGGGGGACGGCAAGTAAACCAAGATACAGCACATTTCAGCATAGATAGACAAAAACAAGATAGCAGAACTCCCAGCAATAATAAATACCAGCACGCCATTAAGCCAATGAAGGCCGCATCAAACCCGTGCTTTGATCCAAACTCTATACGCTCCAGACCCATCCCAGGAAAGCAAGATAGCCAAGCCAATCCAACAACAAAACGATGGTTAGGGAAATATAGAAAAAGTGCTGAGAACCGGACATGATCTGGTCCGTTACTGCGTCGCTTCAGGCTTTTTCTCCGCTTTGGGGGCTTTGGTGGTCCGCGTGGGGTTGCGACCACCCATCATCCACATGGCGATGGTCCCGGGGTCGGATTTCTTTTGCCGGCCTCCCTTCTCTTTCTTGCCTAGAGAAAACGTCAATCATAGTCATTTTTAAGACCAATGCGAAAGAATTAAGCGGACGTACCTGGATCTGCCTTCTTCTTCCCATCCGCACCACCACCACCGTCCTTTCCTCCCGCCTCATCTTTGGGCTTCTCGGGGACTGGCCACATGTGCATGGTGATGGTCCAGTCGGGCTCAATTACGGTTTCCCAGACCTGCGGAAGGATAATGTCACCGTTGGGGCCCACGAGGTCATAATGTCCCTCGGCAACATGAGGTCCAATAACTTCGATGTGAAGAAAAGCCTGGCGAATGAGATCCTCCATTCCCTGTCAGTCCGAAGAATGGTTAGCCACGATTCCAGCGCGGTTGGTTCTTGCATCGCAAGCAAGAGGTCCTTACCTGCCATGTGGCGCATAGCTCGAAGGGAAAACTGAACTTCCTTCCCACGGCATCCTTGAATTTGATGGGTTTCTTCTTCTCTGCAGGAGGCTTTTTAGCGGCAGTTGATGCTGCCGATGCTGCAGCTTTCTCTGCCTCTTCCTTGAGCTTGGCTGCATCTTCCGCGGCTCTCTTTTCGGCATCTGCTCTAGCCAAAAAAGCCGCTTGCTCAGCAATCTTTTGATCGTGTGCCAGTCGCTCTTCCTGGGCGGCTTTCTCCGCCTGCGCGCGGGCAATGGCCGCTTCACGGGCTTCCCGCTCCGTTCGATCATCCAAAATCAACTTCTCCAGTCGGGCGATCGCTTCGTCCTTGGATACATCGACGGGGTGCGGGGCGGGGGAGCTTAATTCGGCCTTAGTCGGGGTAGGAACTTGGGGGTACAGGGAGAAATACGATTGGTGAGGCACCATAGAGAACGGGTCTCGATAGTAGTGATTTGGGGCGCCGTACGGCATTAGGTCTTGGGGGTTGAACGGCGGGCCCCCAGGAGGAACCATCGATAGCGGGTTGTATGCATCGGCGCGCGGCAGCGGCGGCTGGCGGTGGTGTCGGGCGTGCTGGTGTTGATCTGAGGGGTAGAAGGGCTGCATCGAGGCCGAGTACGGTGGTTGGAACTGAGGCCCGTAGGCATACGCAGACGAGCCGTAGGGCGGCTGCTGGCCGAGTCTGAGAACCTCGTCAGACTGATGGCCGGGATGACCGTATAGGCCATGGCCATACGGATGTGCGCTGTAGGATGGGCCAGAAGAAGAGCTTTGGGCATACCCTGGAGCCTGTGGCACCCCTGGCCATATCCTTCTATCAGCCGCGCGGCCAAATTGGCCGGCGAAATCCTCACCCGAGTCCAAGCTCTCCGGGGATTCTGGGGAATGATGCCGTGCCCGGTTTCGGGAGGCAAACTCGCGCTCCGGAATCATCTGCTGTCGGCGCGCGGTACGCGACGTTTGGCGGCGGGCCGAAGCCGAGCGGGAACCGTGGAGCGAGTGACGGCTCCGGTGCGCGTTCCTTGGTCGAGAAGCTGGATCAGCCCCTTTCAATTCATCCGGATATGCCAGGTGCAAGTCTTCATAGTCCACAAACTCATGACCAACTGGATCAGTGGGCAAGTGGCCATGTACGCCCGACGACTCCTCTTCGTCTGACAGCGAGTGGTCCGGGTCGTCAATTGTGATGCTGAACCTAGTGGGGCGGGTTAGTGGCACGGATGGGGGGAAGTGAGGAAGGAAGGGGAGGAAGGGATCCGGGAGGAAGCGAGACTCTCTCGAAACATACGTCATAGAGACTGGCAGCCTCGCTGGGGGGAGCTGGCTAACTGGCGTTCTTATATGTGTGTGTGTGCGTATATGGGTGTGTTTGAGTGTTTGTTTGGGTGGATGTGCCGGGGTTGGTGGTCAGAGGAGCCCTCTCTCGCTCGAGGATATGCACGAAGCGAGGAGGGACGGACTGCGATGGCAGATGCGACAGAGATCACCGACAGGTGGGGTTGGCAGGAGAGGTTCGGCGACGAGATCGAGGAATGCGACGGGCGGAGGGGGACGAGCGCATGGACGCAAATCCTTCCAGAGCCCCGCGAGAGATGTGTAACAACCGAAGAGCCCCTTGCTTGAGCGGGTGTGTGTTGTTTCTGGAGGATGGATGGAAAGGGGCAGAAAGCAGAGGGAGAAAGGTAAAGACGAAGGAAGAAGTAAAAAAAGGAAAGGGAAAAAAAAAAAGTAAACTAAAAAGGGCGGGTTGTTTTTTGGCCTGACTGGGCTGGTTGGGCAGAGGGTGTAACAGACAGACATGCATTGGGCAGGACTGAATTAGACTACTTTACACTGACTAACAATTATTACGGTTGAGCAGCTCTTTGGCCGCAATCAGTTCACTTCGGCTGCTGGCCCAGTTCTGCTCATCCAGCGTCCGCGCCTGCACGATCGCCCCGAGTCGCTTCAGCCCAAATGCCTTCAATCGCCCAGCGTTGGCATCCTCGGGCACACTCTCAAGCACTTGTGACGCAGCCTGCAACGGAAAATCAGCGTCGGTTCCCGATCGGGCATCCGAGAGAAAGAACATACCAGAACCAGGCCGTACAAGCCCCGTAGATAGTCGTCGCAGAGCTCGATGCTCCGGCAGAAATGCTGCACGGACTTGCTCAGAAGCCGGGCGGATTTCCCATCCGATAAGGCGCTCACATAGAGCAGTTCACCCATTCTGGCGTGGATCTAGACAGGCACATCGAGCATTAGCAAGGGAATTCACCCCATGTTGCAGGACAACAATAAGACATACGTTCCACGCATTCGGGGCGATTAGCAGCGCCTCTTCAAGGCTGAAGATCGCCTGCGAACTCAGCCCCTGAGACTGGTAGAGATCAGAAAGCTCACACCAGGCTTCGGCATCGGTGGGGATCGCGTCGAGCAGCTGGATTAAGGCGGTGATCGCATCCGCGGGTCGCTTCAAGGACCGTAACAGGGCCACTCGGCGCTTCAGGATGGGCTACATAACCAATCAGCCAGTGAATTCTCCGCATTGGGGCCGTTAATACAGACCACATTGACGGGGTCATTGGCGAGGATCTGCTCGTATCCCGTCAGGCATTTCTCCAGCGCGACGTCGTCCCCGGCCACGGCCTCTTCGTATAATCCTCGAAGTCCGATGACGCGTTCGTTGGACGGGCCAAACCGTTGGCTGAGACGGGTGAGACAGGCCTGAGCGGATTTGTCGTCTCCGGTGCGCAGACAGGCTAGGAGTAGTTGCTCGAGTCGGGCGTACTCGTCGACGGATTCGGGGGTGGCGGAGTGGAGAAGGGACGGTGCTTGTTGGGAGAGTTTGAATGCTGTGATCAGGTCGGAGCCATTGATCTCCGATCGGGAGTCCACAGCCATGGTGGAATGTGATGGTGGGATGATATCGTTGAGGAAATACCCAAGGATGGATTGCCAGCTCACGGGGTCAACGGATGATAGCAGTCCCGTGACCGGGCCTTATCTAGTCCCTCCCCACGATCGTCATTCTTGTCTTCTCCAACTCACTGACGAACATGGTTCAGTCCAGTCGATACAGCATGATCTCCTCCTAAGAATGAAGCAGATACATTAATTGCCCTCCCGCCACCATGTCCGTCCAATGCCTCCCGAATCCATCCATCGTACCCCCACTAATCCAAGCAGGTTCGAGAAGTCCCTCTACGACCTCATCAAGGGTCTGCGCAATCACAAAGGCGGCGAAGATGAGTACATCCAAGCCTGCCTGCGGGAGTGCAAGGCGGAGATCAAAACACAGGACATGGGTAGGCCCTGCCTCTCGCGCATCAACATCGCCCGCTAACATTGGGTCCAGACAAAAAGGCTACGGCCCTCCTGAAGCTCATATACTTGGAAATGTTTGGGTATGACATGTCGTGGGCATCCTTCCACGTCCTAGAGGTCATGTCGTCGGCCAAATACCTTCCGAAGCGCGTCGGCTATCTTGGAGCTGTGCAGAGCTTTCGCCCAGATACAGAGGTGCTGATGCTGGCAACAAATTTGCTGAAGAAGGTGGGTGCTGTCCAACAACAGTTCGCGCGGCCTCGCCTGACAAACTGCAGGATATTGCCTCCGCCAGCGTCCCCAACATGTCTTTACCTTTGATCACATTGCCCCATTTCAGCACGTCCTCGTTGGCCATGTCTGTGCTGTCGGATGTCCTATCGCGCCTCTCCCATTCCAATCCTGTGGTGCGCAAGAAGAGCATTGTCTGTCTCTATCGGCTTGCTTTGGTCTACCCAGAGGCCCTGAAACTGGCATGGCCCAAGATCAAGGATCGCCTCATGGATGAAGAGGAAGATAGCAGTGTGACTTCGGCAGCCATCAATGTGGTCTGTGAGCTTGGCTGGCGGCGACCGCATGATTTCCTTCCCTTGGCTCCGAGGTTTTTCGAGCTGCTTGTGGACAGCGGCAACAATTGGATGGCAATCAAAATCATCAAACTGGTTGGTTCTCTCGGATCTCTATGAAAGAGTGTAGGTCCCTAACGCTCTTTCAGTTCGCAACGTTAACGCCACTCGAGCCGCGATTAACTCGCAAATTGTTGCGGCCGTTGACCAATATCATTCAGACCACGTCGGCCATGTCCCTCTTGTACGAATGCATCAATGGCATTATCCAGGGTGGGATCCTGGATGGGGAGGACGGTCTCCAAGAGCGCGACGATGTGGCCTCCCTGTGTGTAGGAAAATTGAGGGGCATGATCGTGATGGATGCCGATCCCAATCGTGAGACTCTTTATTGGTTCATTCGAATCCGTCTAGACTGACACACAGCAACAGTCAAGTACGTCGCACTGCTCGCATTAAACCGAATTGTCACTACACACCCCGAATTAGTTGCCATGCAACAGGATGTCATTATGCATTGCCTGGATGACGCGGATATCTCCATTCGACTGCAGGCATTGGATCTGGCGGCAGGAATGGTCACAAGCGATACTCTACAGCCGGTGGTCAACCGTCTCGTGGATCAGCTGCGGTTGCTTCCAAGCTCGACATCGAGACCTTCATCGAGCCACATGGCGGAAGATCCTGATGATGACAAGAGGCTATCAGACCAATACTCACCTGCAATGACGGCCGTCTTGCCCAGCGACTATCGGATCGAGGTTCTACATCGAGTTCTGGACATGTGTTCGCACAATAACTACTCGGAAATTGTCGACTTCGAGTGGTACGTCGGCATTTTGGTGCAGCTGGTTGGCCTTCTCCCACCTTCAGAACCCGCGGATCACTGGATGCAGACCCATCCCGACCTGGACGCGACCGCTCTCTCAAGGACAGATGTTGCTTTCCGCATCGGGTCGGAGATTCGTAACCTTGCGGTTCGTGTGCGGGGGTGCGGTTAGAAACCACCAGAGCTGCAGAGTCCCTCATTCTCATTGACAACCGATCAACGCTCTTCCCTGCTGGTTCAATCCTCGGTGACGGGGTTCTGGGCCCCGTTGCATGGGTGGTGGGCGAATTTGCAGACTACCTCTCTTCTCCCAGTCGATGCCTCCAGTCCTTGATTGACATTTCTCATGTCACGCTGCCTGCGAGAACCCTTTCCCTCTTCCTACAGGCCATACCAAAGGTCTTGGTACAAGTGAGCCGAAGTGGTCAGCAAGGAGCTCCATCCTGGAGAAGCGAGATATCGCTCTTGTTGGCCCGGGTGGTGGAATTTCTTGACGCATTAGCCGCTCATCCAGATCTAGATGTTCAGGAGCGCGCCATTGAATTCTTGGAAATCCTCCGCCTCGCCGCCGAGGCAATGCAATCAGGGGGCGAAGATATGCCGTTCCTTCTGGCCTCGGTTATCCCGAGCCTGTTCACGGGTCTCGAGCTCAACCCCGTTGCGAGCACCGCCCAGAAGAAGGTTGCCCTTCCCGACAGTCTTCGTCTGGATGAGGCATTCAATGACAATTTGCCGATTCTTCTCCACGACCGGGATTATATCTCTCTCGGATCCAGCGACCCCCATATCTTACAGGATTTCTACTATGTGCCAGATCGCACCCTACTCTCTCATAAACCATCTCACGATGTTGCCCCGGCTGATGCGCCCTTCAATCCATCCTATCAGAACTTCCCGGATATGGGCGAGGTGGAGAGACGACGAGTTGAGCGCCGGGAACGTTTCAGGGATGATCCCTTCTACATTGCTCCCTCTGATGCGTCGTCAGGCGGTTCAACGCCATTCCATGAGATTCTCAATACCTCGAACGGGGATGGTTTGGATATCGACTCCATCCCCATTGTTGACCTGAAGTTAGGGGACGAAGCTTCCGGCCCTCCGGGTCAAGCGCCACGCCGGGACCGGCGACCCCGCCCTCGGAAGATGGAAGTCGCCGGGGACGAAACATTTGGCGCGGAGGATTTGTCTGGCGGAGATGCTACATTCGGGACCGCTGGCAGGTCTACGGGGCAGAGTCGCTCTCTCCTCCAGGTGGACTCGAGTGGTCTCGGGCAACTTTCATTCGCGGGCGATGACCGAGCACAGCCCCAGCTGTCCGCAGACGAGGGAGAGACTGAGATGATCAAAGCCATGCAGCGCGTGGAGGAGGTACGTCTGCGGATGCAGCGAGCATCCGAGCGGATCCAGCTGGAGGGCACGCCCGCCGAGGGAACGCTGGTGAAGAGGAAGAAGAAAAAGAAGAAGAAGGATGGCGCAGAGTCCGTAGAGAAATCTGGCCCGAAGAAAAAGAAGAAGGGCTCGGCCATGTCTCCGACCGGTTGAAAGCCTGTGTTGTGATTATTTGGTACAAGGAATAATACATCTCGTAGACCCATCATCTTAAAGGCATCGACCCGCCATCCCGTCCGTGTTATCCCTTCCTTATCCTGTAATTCGCGAAAACATCGACGTCACGTATGACCAGATCTCGGGGACGACCCGCAGGAGCTCCAGGAGGAGTCCGCCGCAGACCACAAAGGCGAGGAGGACTAGCGGGTATCAATTCTTAGCACGTTGGTTGTTTCTGCTTCTGGCGGCGATAGGAAACACATACCAACCCAGGTGGTGGACACTGGGGCCTTGGAGTTCTGCTTGGGCTTGGTCTTGGTCACTGGCTTGCCGCGCTTTGCGGCCTCGTTCTTTGCGTAGCGCTCGTTTGCGCGCCGTTGTTGGGGTGTTTGCGCCTGTTAGTAGTTAGGGCATGGGGTCTGGAAGGAAGGGGAGCTTCGACGGACCATGTTTGCGGTGGATAGTGGGAGCTGAGGAGCGCGGACCGGGGATCCAGGTGGTTAGTTGGCTGTATACAAGTCCGTCCTAGTCGGGCGGGCGGTGTGAGCTAAGGCCACGTTGGGTTTCTTCACCCCATGCAGGGGAGTACCTAGGCTAGTACTTTGGCACTTAATAGATAAATAGATAATAATGAGGGTACCCTGCTTGGGTTATAGTGAGATCGTGGCTCTCAAATTGCGTCCTGGTATTCTTCAATGGGATGAATTGTGTGTTGTTTTGGAAGGAATGGAGCATAGATCATAGATAGACATCCGAAGTATATATATCTCCATGACAATTCGATCTTGAAGTCAAAACGAACAATGGTTTGAGCAGCCAGCCCAAAATAGGCTTGCCAGCCTATAGCGTATGGACAGAAATTCTACAACTTCCCCAGTGGTCTATCCTCACTATCGCCAGTGAGAGAACCCACGATACGGCTCTGCTACATTACGACGCCGGTTGATTCATTTTTGCTTTTTAGACAAGATTTATACCGAAGAAATATTTTGATGCCTAATATGATAGTTAGTATTCAAGCAATTATACATAAAAAGAGAAGATTAAAAATTAAAGTAAAGAGTAAGGAGTATATTCTATTATACTACAGTATCGCCTGATTAATCTGATTTGGTCTATTATGGCCCGCTCTATTAGTCGATATATTGGTCTATATAGCGAAGAAACTGCTTCGGTGGCGCAGTGGTAACGCGTTGCACTTGTAGTTAACTCTTGTAGTTAATAATGAGGTATGCAAAGATTCCGCGGTTCAAATCCGCGTCGAAGCATGTTTTTTTTAAATTGGAGCAACTTTTTTTTTGGGAAAATCGGGTTGAAGTCATCTTGCCAAATAGAGGTTCCTGGGATCTTGTATCTCAGTACATTTTTCAATTACCACGGGCGCCACCATTTCATACTGGTTTCGACGGGTAAAAAAGATAGCTGCAACCGTGGTTGCGCGCCTAGGAGGCGATTTCGTCCACCCCGAGGGCCAACGCTAAGACCAGGCGTCTAGCGTCCCATTAACAATGATAAGAATACCATAAACACGTGACCGTAAATTGCTTTTTACCGCCCGCTTCATGCCTCTTCATTCTCACTTCAGCCACCACATGCCGCGATCAACACCGTGACAATGCCAGAAGACGACCCCTCCAACGTTGATATTACCCAAGTGAGTCAATATCCCATCTCGGCGAAAGGAAATACACAACTAAACGGGTCCAAAGGCGCTTGCAGACCTTGCCAGGTATATCTATCGATGTCTATTATTTCGATCTATTATTTGCATTTCCTGACCTCGAACTTGACAGGGGCGAAATGACCGCGTCCGCACTCGAGAACCACCTCAACGAACTAGAAGGCAAGGTCGAGGAACTCCTCGCCGGATTCGAAGCGCACGGCCAGAGCACGGCCAACGCCGAATCCAATGCAGGAGACCACAGCACCAACCAAGAACCCCAAAATGACTCAACGAGTGCCAAATAGCCCGTCCATATGATACTGCCCGTCCGAACCCTTCTCTACCACCCCCACCTCGGTGATGATACCGTCGATCAGAGCCGCCGGAGTCATATCGAAGGCCGGGTTCCAGACATCAATCCCCGGCGCAGCGATGCGGATCGTCTCCAGCGCGCCGCTTGTCCCGAAATCCTCGCGGGGCCCCCGGATGCTAGTCACCTCTGCCCCGGGACGTTGTTCAATAATGATATCGTTGCCGGATTTTGTGGCCAGATCGATGGTTGTCCGCGGTGCGGCGACCAGGAACTTGACCCCATGGTGCTTTGCTAAAACCGCCAAGCCATAGGTGCCAATCTTATTTGCCGTGTCTCCGTTGGCCGCCACGCGGTCTGCGCCGACTACGATAGCGTTCACACCAGCATCGCCTGCCAGTAAAGCTGCTGCCATCGAATCCGTAACCAGCGTAGCGGGGATCTTATCGTGGACCAACTCGAAGGCTGTCAAGCGAGATCCCTGGTTGTAAGGTCGCGTCTCTGTGCAATAGGCCCGGCGTAGGACGTTTTTCGACGCCAATGAACGGATCACGCCCAATGCGGTTCCATAGCCCGACGTGGCGAGAGAACTGCCTCTTCGTTAGCCTGTGTTCCGGGACATCCATGAATCAGTGCTTACCCGGTGTTGCAATGGGTCAGAATGGAAACCGTCGAACTACCTGCACTCGCATGGGCCATGATCCAAGCCGCTCCATGCTCTCCAATCCGTTGGTTATCCTCCAGATCTTTCCCGAGCATTTCCTCCGCCGCCCGAATAAACGTTGTCGCAACACCTTGGCCGGTCGAACCAGGCTGCTGAGCCTGGTCTGTGATCAACGTCTCCAGCTTGCGAACAGCGTCGCTCAAGTTGACTGCCGTAGGCCGGCTGGTGACCAGATAGTGCAATTTCTTCGAGATGAAATGCCGGGCCTCCTGGGCCTCTGCTGGAACGTCACCTGTGGCCATGAGGGTGGTCAGCTCCGAGGCGAGGGCGAGCATGGCTACGATGGCAATGGCGGGCGCGCCGCGCACTTGCATCTTCTTGATGGCGTGCCAGCCATCCTCGGCCGTCCGGACGGGGAAGTATTTCTCGACGAAGGGAAGTTGTAGCTGGTCGAGGATCTCGAGGCGACCCTCGCTGTACTTGATGGCCTGCAACATGGTGTGGGATGGGAGTGGGAAACTTTTCTCTGGAGAAGAAGTTTGCCCCTCCGAATATCTAGATTACGATGACTAACCATGTACAACGTGAAGGAAGCAAGGATTATAATTCGTAACTCTGTCTCTCTTTCTTAGAACAACCAATTCCCTCTTCAACTGGCAGAGATGTAAAGCACTGCAATCCAGTAGTCAGCACAGCACCATTTCCAGGCCAGTCGCAACACATACCGTTGTTCCCCCGGACAAAGGCGTCACCGTATTTGCGCCGCAGCTTGCCATTCACGAATTCCTCTGTTTTCTCCAAGGCGATATTCATGTAGCCATCGACAGATTGCAACTCGCCTGCCAAATCTCATTAGTATCACATGCAGAGAGTAAGAGGAGCCATTCTGCGCTACCTTTGTAGACCACGCCCGAGTTCAATTTCACAATCACTGGCGCGCCGATGATTTCGCCCAGGAATGCCGACGGGTCTTTCCCCTCGGAGGAAGGGCCATTCTCCATGATGGTGAGCAGGCAAAGTAGAGGTGATGAGTGGGATTTGCCTGGGGAAGGAAGGAGACCAGCGTGGGAGAGCAGAACGAGAGATGGGAAGAAGACGAGCGGTGGAGAGGGCGGTGAAGGCGGGCCATTGTAGATGGGCCCCTTAGTCATGAACAGCCATTGCGATTGTCTTCCTCTCACCACAGTAATTGCAATGCCCTCATTCTTCAACAGACCCTCCTGGGCATCGAAGCAGACAGGCGGTGCCAACCCGGAGTTTTATCGCCGATCGGGCCAGACTTATTCGGACATCGTCGCGGCGAATCGAGAAGCGCACGAGAAGCATCATGAATCATCTGTAGATGACGGGCGCGGGCACAAACGGCTTCGTCTCTCAGATGCCGCGGAAGAAGAGCGCAGTCCAGAAGACTCCGGCGCTGATGGAGCTGACAGTGCACAGCATGAATCAGGAGATCTCCCTGAACCCTCCTCACGCTCGCCATCGCATCCTCAGAACAAACGCCGTACCGCGTCGCCGGAAATTATTGACTCCGATGGGGAGCGCGCGCCACCAGACTCGCCTGAAAGCGACCTCCGTGCAGCCGATGCACCACAGGTGGACCGCCTGAGGGCTTTACAATCTCACGATGATTCGCCTGCCCGCTCTACTACAAGTCTTGAATCAGCGAGCGACGCGCATGACACAATGAATAAAGATGTCCAACGCCCCTTGGATACGACAATAACATCGCCACATCCTCCTCCACCATTAATAAAACCAGAACCAGCGGCAAAGCCCGAACCAAATGTGCAAATCCTGATTTCATCAGACATCATCAACACGAAGCCGCTGCTTGTTCACCGTAAGATGTCCCAGGGGCTGCGGGAAGTGCGACTGGCCTGGTGTAAGCGCCAGAACTTCACTGAAGATATGCAGTCGTCCGTGTATTTGACCTGGAAGGGCCGGAGACTCTTCGACGTAACTACCTGCAAGAGCCTGGGGCTCAATATGGACAGCAGCACGATTCCTGAGATGGACGACGAACTATCGTCCAGTCCAGCTGAACTAAAGATCCATATGAAGGCGGTTTCTGATACTCTTCCAACGGCCTCTCCATCCGCGTCTTCTCCCGATGCTGGCACGGGCAAGAAGTCTCCGCCCGGCGATGAGGCGGATGAGCAGGCGCAACCGATCCGGATCGTCCTGCGAAGTCCCGGGATGAACGACTTCCGGATCAAAGCGAGGCTGAAGACGCCAGTATCACGCTTGATTTCGGCTTTCCGAGACAAACACGACATTCCCAGCGACGCAGATGTGGCGCTGGTCTTCGATGGGGACAGGCTGGATCCTGATACCTGTCTCCAAGACTATGATATTGACGACCTGGATTTGGTAGATGTGCAGATAAAAACCCAGTGATAATGTATAATAGCCCAGTATGCTCTTCCTAGCTTTCTAGTTACCACATATACTTCAATTAGGGTAGTCAGACTAGATTGAACCCTTTATCGATAAGCTAAGATAACACCCATCACATGACCATCCCTCTATTTTTTTCTGCCCGAACAACTCCCCAGACGCAAACTGGGACATGTCATTCATCATTCGCACCGCTTGACCACAGGAGCTTCTGCTGAGCGGAAGCCCGCCCCTACAAGCAATGAAAGTCATCACGGCCAACTTCGTGACATGCGCGGTGAAGGAGTGCAAGACCGCGCAGACGTCGTTTCCGCTACACTTTCACGACGCCGAGCTGGAGCAGCAGGAGCTGGATTTCCAGCCGGAGTTTATTCGCAATATCCTTCCTCGCGTTGACTGGGAAGCGCTGCGGGTTACTGCTAATGAGGTATCTCTCCCCTATCCCTTCTGTCTACCATGATCCACACATCCATTACCAACGAAAGAGTGCTGACCCGTCCTTGTTGGGTGGTCTTTAGCTCGGATTCCCCAGTATTCCCGAATCCAAACCCGAAGGCGAGGCACTCGACAATGAACAGACTCTGAGAGACTTGCATCGTTTGCTCCTGGAGACGCATGTCGCCGAGGGTAAATTGGTTTGCGGGAATTGCGGACACCAGTATATGATCAAGGAGGGCATCGCCAACTTTCTCCTCCCCAGCCATCTGGGTAAGATCGATTCCACCCCACTACATACTGCAGTGGAGAAAAGAAAAGGAACTTGCTAACGCGCCCCGTTGTAGTCTAAGGACATGGTTATTGATATTTATATCGGCGTGCTGGTCGGCGAGACTATCACATCATGGATGCGCATCTTTAGGAAGCACGGGGACTGGGGGACGCCTTGTGAATTTGAGAAGGCTAGAACTACAGATCTTCTTTAGGGTCCCCATTCGGAATACACGCCAGGGCATTGGGTTCGCGGACTCTTGATCCCGGGAGATTTACAATCGATTGTTGTTTTGTCTGGCGAAAGAAACAAGTCCTCTAATAGGAATTCACACCACATCGAATGACGACTGAAATTTCTAATATTGGTAGTTATTGTACACGAGGGGTTGGTAGTAGTAATTCGAGGAGATATGCCGAGTCAAAAACAAGAAAACCATACAAGGCCGCCATAAAAACGCCAGCCAGCCAGGCCGATCAAACGCCATGCACCGGATGTGCTGAATGCGAACTGAAGATAATCGCTTAATTGAGAAAGCCCTTGCAGCCCGTGGAACCGCAGAGGCAGGGGATTCGGTCGTCGCTGTCCCATTCTCGCTCGAATTTGTAGTCGTAGGTGAGTTCCTCATCTATTGCCACTGTTAGTGAGATCGTCCAAAGCTTGTCAACAGGAGGGCAGCTGCGCTTACCTCGTTCGATGTCCCGGAGCGCATAAATGACGATACGCTTGCTGCCATCCGCCTTGATGATCTTGGCGGTGCAGTTCGGCGTGCAGCTGTGGTTGATAAACCGGGCAATGCCTCCTCGCTTGGTCGCGTCGATGACGGTGTTTTCGTCGATGCGGAAGAGATAGCTGCTGCCAATCCCACTCTTCAGGTACCGGCGTTCTCGCATATCGGCGACCTGCTGGCGCACCTTTTCTCCCACATACTCGATGATCATGTCGTTGGCAGTGATGTTCTCTTCAGCATACAAACCCCAGTTGTGAATGGCAGACCGGGCAAAACGAACGGGCTTCTTTCGTTTCTTCAGCTGGTTGAAACGAAGGACGTCACCTTCGCCGCTAGACGTTGGAAGAGCCTGCTTTTGTGCATTGATGTCGGCGATGAGTCGGCGGTTGTTAACACGCGTCGACCTTGACGAGGATTTGGAGATGGTCTTGGCAGCAGCAATTCTCGCCGCCTCGGCTGCGGCGGTCTGGGGATCCGCCTTTGCCTTTTCCTCGCGCTCTTCGCGTGCTTTCTGGACCTTGATCCGATGCGGCAAGTACTTCGACTTCTCAGAATTGAGAATCCTCTTGCGCCCTTCAGTCCGAGCAGCGCCAGAGGCATTTGGAACGTAGTAGCCCAAGATGCCGAGTGTGTCATATGTCGGGCCTTTCTCCTCGAGTCGATTGAGCGCTTTGATCTCCTTCTGCCTCCACGCCCATCCAGCAAGGTTCCCAACACTAGATTGCCATTGCTCCGGCATAATCTCACGAAGGAATCGTAGATCTTCATCATCCTTGATCAAATGCTGCCATCCATCGAGATCCATCACAATGCGTTCATCATCTTCCACTGTGGCGCGCGGCTTCTCCTTGAACACACCCCAGTGGATTTCGGCTCTCGGTTCGTCAACGAATTCTTCCTCGACAGGCAGATCGATCTCCTTTTCAGGCAACAAATCAGAATACCCTTCCTCTGATTGCTTGTCGTGAATAGCCAGCTTAGCCCCAGGACCTTCAGCGTCCGCAGCTGTTTCGGAGATCTTGTCTGTGTATTTGCGGTCCGCCACTTCCGAAGAATCGACGCCGAAGAGTTCATCATCTTGTCTCTGCCGTTTCCGTGTTGCGTGCTCTCCAGTCAAGCGTTTCCTCTTCCTAGACTGGGGGAGAGACTCTTGTCCACCTCATTTTCAATTGCCTGAGACGGCTCGAACACATCCGAGTGATATTCCTCATCCTGTTCAGATTCAGACGAGACTGAACTTGCACGGCTCAATGGCCGACTATCTTGTTCCTCCGTGTCCCGAGCCCGAGGGGTCCGTTGCTCGTCATCCGAATCCTCATCGTCATGCAACTGCGCAAGGCGGTGGTACAGAGGCCGAACCTCTCGTCTTCGCAAGGGCTGGCGGCGCCGTTCATCGAGGAAGGCCGCCCCTGCGTGATCAAGGCCTTGGGCTTTCCGGATACGAGGGAGTGCAAGGACATTGAGGCCCGATGTCCCCAGTGGGTTTCGTCCTGCGGATAGTTCAGACCTAGTATCCGGAGTCCCAACGCTACTATCGATATCAATGCGGAACATGGACCTTTTCGGGCCTTCTGGGTCTGCGATGCCCAGTTTCTCCCTTTTCGCCGCATGCCTGCTCGGATCGAGATAGTCGTACAATGTAGGGCCCGCGATGCGTGACTTGACATCTTCCAAAAGCTTGTCTCGAAGATCGCGAACGATGATTGAAAGCACTTCTCGACAAGGATCCAGGTCAATGGCACGTATCTTCTTCTCTTCTTCCAGGTCCAATTCGTTTTCTTTGCGCGCTCGTTCCTTTTCGGCTTTTTCACGCTGCTCAGCTCGAAGCCGTTCGGGGCTAGGACTGCGCTCGTAGTTCGGGTTCCCATATGGCTGGCTCTCCATATTCATGATATAGGTGAACAGAGGTTTCATGTGGCTTAACCGAAAGCACCGCTCCGTCTCCTGCTCACCTCGTCGTGAATTCTCGAAGATAATATAGTATCCGGTCATATCGCATCGAATATCCTTGTATCCAAAGAGCTTGAGTCGCTTCTTGAGGTGTGGGATCGTGGTACTGAGGACTGGCACATAGCAATGCGCAATGAAAATGTAAGGTTCACGCTTGATCTGGTTCAAGATGGGTACATCCTCTACCAGTGATAGCGGTGCAGGGGATCGAACGCTAGCCCTGGGCCCCTCGGGGATCGTGATTCCAGGCCGCATGGCCGATCGACCGGAAGGACCTTTGGGCGCGGTTGGTGGCGGCTCATTATTCTTGGTCTGAAGATCTGGTTTTGGGTCCGGGGTTGGTGTAGAGACATTTTTGGAGGCCTGTCGTTGAGATTCAACAGCCTTGGAAGCCATTCGCTCCGAAACCGCGCCTTCTCGATCCAACTCCACACGAATTCGACGGGTCCCAATGCGTTGCTCTTTCTTGCACTCGTAATAAGCACGTCGCGCGGCGCTGGAGGCCGACACTGGACCAGAACCCCGGAAGGAGGCGGCGTCTTTGTATTTGATAGAACAAATTCCCAGAAACCGACCGGTGATGGGATCTGTGCGATTATTCATTTCCGAAATGTCACCGAAGCTCGAGAACAGGGCGCTGATGGGGGCGATTGGGGTCAGGGGATCGAAGCCGGTCACCACCACTTGGACCGGGGGCCCAGGACCGATACTCGTCGCGGCATCGTAGGGCCATAGTTTTAGGGTGTAGGGAGTCGGTCGGTATTTTGTCTTTTGCTTGCAACCTGATCCGCGTGTATAGTTGGGGATGGCCAGGCGCGGGTCCAGCGGAGGGCTGTCTTGACCGCTCGCAAGGATATCCACGTATTCTGGCTTCCTGCGCCTCTCCTTGGATGATGACCGTTTATCTAGATCTGGGTCATAGACAGCCTTGCAACCCTTGACAACGGTCTCATTAGGACGGGTCTGCGACTGGGGTGTGGGAGGAGTGTGAACGGGGGTAATGGAGGATTTTGAGATTTCAGGATTCGATCCCCGCCCCAAGTCAGGTGAGCGCTCGCCGGATCCCTTCACTTGAGATGGACTGGTACCCTTGCGAGGGGGTGACGACTCGGCATTGGTGAGTGGTGTCAGGGTATCGATATGCGATGGATGAAGATTCGACGTGGGCGCCGTGGGCGGTGCGGAAACCCCCTCGGAAGCTTTTTGAGAGGAAGAAAAGCTCACTGCGTCCATTTCCGGCGCGACGGTCGACGTTTGAGACGGCTCCCCGTCTCCCGAGATGGCCTCGTCGGTGCTGGTGCCGCTGGTGCCGGGGATGTCGGATGCCGGGAGGTTGGCGGTGGCCTCGGAGATCTGGTCGCCATCGCCAGGCACTTTCTCGCGACGATCCTGGGATCGGAAGCGCTTCCGCTGCAGCACGGAAGGAGCGGTTGGAAAAAAGTCCGCAAAGCCAGCCGAGGCGCGTGACATCGTTTCGAGATGGCTACACGCCAGAGACGACCGTGGCGCGACCACAAGGCAGCATCCTTGGTGGAACGGCGAACAGACCGACCGGAGGAAAAGATGACGGTCTGGGTCTGGATGGGCTGAGCGCAAGGTCGGAGGGGGAGAGGGTGAAAGGGACCAGAAAGGAGACAAAGACGCGATCTGGGAGTGGAATTGGTGGGGACGCGGACAATCGTGAAGAAGGGAGAATTTTCGATGACTAACCATGGCAGTAACTGGGTTAACTAACTAACTACAGGGATGAGAGATGCACCACCACTACTAGTCCTACTAGTACGATTCCTCTCGTACGAAATTGTATAAGTCTCATCGTCCCGATAAGGACTAATCTGTACATACCAGCCACACAATCCTGCATACATACTCCTACTTTTCATCATTCCCAGGCACCGGGGCTATTTTTATCGCTGCTGAAACTAGGATCCAGGGCAAGTGAGACACACGCCAGTCACCTGATTGGATGAGCCGGGCAGCTGTGGTGGATCGGGACTAATAATAATAATCTCCCTCCCTTTCTCGCTTTCCTTCCCCCCCCACTATAAAGCCCACCTGCTTTCCTTCCTTCTTCTGCTTCTTCATCCCTTCACTCGCTATTCATCATGTGGTCGGTTTTGCTCTTTAGTCCCAATTTGGCTCTCCTAACTCGGATCTAGTGGAATTTTCGGCTACATCAACTATCTCGTCGAGAGGGACCGTCGGTTTATCATCGATACCCTGCTCAATGGTATGTGATCGCCTCTCCCCCACCCTCGGTCGCTCTCTAACCTCATCCACAGGCCTCTCACGACTGGAGTATCGGGGCTACGACTCCGCGGGCATGGCCGTCGATGGCAACAAGAAGAATGAAGTCTGTGCTTTCAAGGAGGTGGGCAAGGTCGCCAAACTGAAGGAGCTCATTGCGGAGTCGGATGTGGACATGTCCAAGATCTTCGAGTCTCACGCGGGCATCTCTCACACTCGCTGGGCCACTCACGGTACGCCCTCGCGCACAAACTGCCACCCACACCGGTAAGTCAGTCCCAAAAAAACAAAGTGGGCGGGGTTGCTCACCATCTCGGGTTCCTCAGGTCGGACCCCTCGTGGGAATTCGCGGTCGTCCACAACGGCATTATCACCAACTACAAGGAGCTGAAGGCCCTCCTCGAGACCAAGGGGTTCCGCTTCGAGACGGAGACCGACACAGAGTGCATTGCCAAGTTGGCCAAGTACCTGTACGACCAACACCCGGACATTGAGTTCACTGTTCTGGCCAAGGCCGTCATTAAGGAGCTGGAGGGTGCATTCGGGCTGCTGATGAAGTCCGTGCATTACCCTCATGAGGTGATCGCGGCCCGCAAGGGTTCCCCGCTGGTGATCGGTGTGCGCACATCCAAGAAGATGAAGGTGGACTTTGTGGACGTGGAGTTTTCCGAGGATGGCGCTCTCCCGGCCGAACAGGCCTCCCAGAACGTAGCCGCCAAAAAGTCTGCTACGAGCCTCCTGGCCCCGCCGGACAAGTCGCTGCTGCACCGCTCCCAGTCGCGGGCATTCTTGTCCGACGATGGCATCCCCCAGCCCGCCGAGTTCTTCCTCTCGTCGGACCCTTCCGCCATCGTGGAACACACCAAGAAGGTGCTCTATTTGGAAGATGATGATATTGCCCATATCCACGAAGGACAGCTGAACATCCACCGCCTGACCAAGGATGATGGCACCTCCAACGTCCGCGCCATCCAGACCATTGAGCTGGAGCTGCAAGAGATTATGAAGGGCAAGTTCGACCATTTCATGCAAAAGGAAATCTTTGAGCAGCCCGAATCCGTCGTGAACACGATGAGAGGTCGTCTGGATGCGGTCAACAAGAAGGTCACCCTGGGAGGTCTTCGCCAGTACATTACTACCATCCGCCGCTGCCGACGAATCATCTTCATTGCCTGCGGTACCAGCTACCACTCCTGCATGGCCGTGCGGGGAGTTTTCGAGGAGTTGACGGAGATCCCCATCGCCGTCGAGCTCGCATCGGACTTCCTCGATCGCCAGGCGCCAGTATTCCGAGATGACACCTGCGTCTTTGTGTCCCAGTCGGGCGAGACCGCTGACTCGCTGATGGCTCTCCGCTACTGTCTCGAGCGGGGTGCCCTGACGGTTGGCGTTGTCAACGTGGTCGGCTCTTCGATCTCGCTTCTCACCCACTGCGGTGTGCACATCAACGCCGGTCCCGAGATCGGTGTCGCTTCGACCAAGGCCTATACCTCCCAGTTTGTGGCCATGGTCATGTTCGCTTTGTCCCTCAGCGAGGATCGCGCCTCGAAACAGAAGCGTCGTGAGGAGATCATGGAGGGATTGGGCAAGGTTTCCGGCCAGTTCAAGGAGATCCTGAAGCTCAATGACCAGATCAAGGATATGTGCGCCAAGTTCTTCAAGAACCAGAAGAGTTTGCTTCTGCTGGGCCGCGGTGCCCAGTTCCCCACTGCTCTTGAGGGTAAGTCCAATCAAATCACCACCGATGTGTGGCCCGTAAAGCTAATCGTTTGAACAGGTGCACTGAAGATCAAGGAAATCTCGTATCTCCACTGCGAGGCGGTCATGTCCGGCGAGCTGAAGCACGGTGTTCTCGCTCTCGTGGATGAGAACCTCCCGATCATCATGATCCTCACGCGCGACAACCTCTTCACCAAGTCGCTCAATGCCTATCAACAGGGTGAGTCTTCTCGCTTCCTAAAAGATGGATGGCCGATGCTAACATTGTTTTCGCAGTCATTGCCCGCGGTGGCCGCCCCATTGTCATCTGCAACCCCGACGACCCAGAGTTCTCGTCTGCGCTGACCGAAAAGATTGATGTGCCCAAGACGGTGGACTGTCTGCAGGGCCTGCTCAATGTGATCCCGCTGCAGCTGATTTCGTACTGGCTGGCAGTCGGCGAGGGCCTGAATGTGGATTTCCCGCGCAACCTGGCCAAGTCGGTGACGGTTGAGTAGACGCTTATTATTATGATCTTTGCATGGCGAACCATCTGTGTTATTTTTAATCGCTAGGGTGTTATACTCTCTCGGGAAGAATGGAATTTGGCTTTTGTTGTTCCAGTCGTTTATGTACACAGTAGATGCGACATTCCCCGCCAAATAATAATGAATGCGGGCATGTGTTTTGCTGTTCCCGTCACTTCTTCCCTCTCCCGTCTCGATTCTTCCTTTAGACAACCCTCGCCTCTAACAATTCCCTACTCTCATAAACACCAAAATGACCTCTATTAAGGGCCCCGGCGCTGCTCCGACCTACGACGGTAAGGCAAGCAGGCATCCACGAACTCGTGCCCCTCCAACTGACTGATTGCGCCATCACCTAGGCTCGGGATTGCGAGTCGCCATTGTCCACGCACGATGGAACACGAAGATTATCGACCAGCTCATTGCTGGAGCGAAGAAAAGCCTGCTCGCAGCGGGCGTAACGGAGGACAACATTACCATCCAGACCGTGCCGGGCAGCTACGAGCTGCCCTTGGGTGTGCAGCGGTGAGTTCTTTCTCCTGGCCCGTCTCCCGCTCTGTCGGTCTGTCGCTGACGAGACCTGTCTCTTCCCTTAGTGTCTATGCTGCGTCGCAGCTCCAAGCTAGCAGCTCTTCCGGCGAGGGCATGAGCGCCACGGATCTCTTGTCGGCATCGACGAGCGACTTGACGCAATCGCCGACAGCCCCCGCGGCGGGGGCGAAGAAGCCCTTCGATGCTGTGATCGCAATCGGGGTCTTGATCAAGGGTGCCACGATGCACTTTGAATACATCGCCGACGCCGTCAGCCACGGCCTGATGCGGGTTCAGCTGGATTCCGGGGTGCCAGTCATTTTCGGGCTGTTGACTGTGCTCACTGAGGAGCAGGGTCTGGAGCGAGCCGGGCTGGGGAAGAGTGGTATGCACAACCACGGCGAGGATTGGGGTAGTGCGGCTGTGGAATTGGGTATCAAGCGGAGGGAGTGGTCGGAGGGGAAGATGCTGTGAATACGAGAGAGAGAGAGAAGCTCTAGGAAATGAAATTTTCTTGATTGCGAAGAAGAAACAAGGACATTAAAAGATATCAACCGGAGCCGTTCTATTCTTCCATTTGCTCTCCGGAGCCCCGGGCCCCCTCGTCTTCCTCGTCCTCGCCCTCCAGAGCCCGCCTGGCAGCCTTCTCCGCTTCCTCCAGGAGCTCCCGGGGCACTTCCTCGTGTCGTCCCTGGGTAGGCCCGTCCAGCGAACTGATCCAGGTCATCTCCAGCTCGAATTCCTTGTCCTTGCTGTCCTCGTGGGCCACGTAGATAATCCGGGCCGCTTCCTTGACGCCCTCGTGCAACGACAATTTCCCTGCGCTCAGGTCCAACTTCTCCAGCTCCGCCTTAGCCGCTTGTCGTCCCTTGCCAGTAGCGGCACCGTAATAGCCCTGCACACAAATAGTAGTCAGCAAAAGAGAATCATCCGATGTCATGAATCCAGCCAGTGCTTGCTTGCGTACCCAATACAACCCGCTCGGCTCAATCATGTAGAGACCAGGACCACCGGCTTTGGTGCCTTCGACCTTTCCACCAGAGCCCGACTTGGGTCCGGTTCCCACCTGGCCATCCACGGGCAGTTCGGCCTCGCTATCCCATCCACCGACAATCGAAGTCACGCCGAATGGCCGCACGCTGGAATACAGTGTATAAGCCTGCACGTAGCCGCCCAGACGATTGGCAAGCGCCGCGATCGGGATGGGGCCTTTGTAAGTGGCCCTCCACGAGGAAGCCTCATCTCTGGCTCTGGAAACAAAGTGGCGACCGTCCGGGACGAGACCAGCGGATACCTGTTCGACAAGGACCCGGTTAGGACTGAATCACAATTCCAACTGGAGGGGTTTCTCACAATGCCAACATGGCGATCCACCGTTGCTATTCTCTTGTTTGCACCGGGCTTCAGAAGCTTGCTAGTGATGATCTTCTCCACGGCCAAGACCACGCCATCCTTGCATCGGATGCCGATAGCGGTTCCTCCATTCTCGACTGCTTTGACTGCATACTCGACCTATCGAGGGAAAGCTGTTTAGGTTTCTGGCGCACGAGCTTCGCGATGATGGGGGAGGGAGTGCGGCTGACCTGGAAATTCCGGCCGTCCGGAGAGAAGACCGAGTTGGAGAGATCGTAGCCAGTGCCAATTGACGTCTGTGTCAGAAAATTAGAATCCCGGGGGGTTGTGTTCCTGGTGAGCGAAGCAAACCCACCATGGTGATGCAGGGACGCAGCTAGGTTCTCCGGCCCTAAGCTTGACGGGGATGATAGGAAGGAGTGGAAGGAGAGGGAGGGTAGCTATTGGAATGGGAGAAACAGGAATAGAGAGAAGGTAGAAAGAAGGTGGGATTGAGGGGAAGGATGGAGGGAAGAAGGTGAGATGATGGGTGAGCTGCCGGGGAAGCTGGACCAGCTCGCGTCACGGGGGTTGCCTGTTAGGTCACATGACCTTCATAGATCTTGCACCTTTTGCTACTAGTTGGTTAGTCCGTTCGTTCTTTTGTTTGGGTTGATTTTTGAACAAAACACAGGTAGGTCGGTTTAATATTTTGGGCCTTTCCTGATGTTGGTAGAAGTGGTGGGTATATATTCTGTCTCTTCAAGCTCCAGACCTCTGTAATGTCGACTTAGGGTTACCACAACCCCTGTACTTAGTACACACGGAGGCAACTTATTATTATTATTCGAGATTCCATACTAAATTTATCTGCGATATCGCACTGCGCGACCGGACAGCTCTAGCAATATCTGCCTAACTCCGCTCGGGCACTAACTGTCGGGCTGATTTAGTTAAACTTCCGGACACCATGTTCTTTGCTCAACCACCATCACCACCACCATGTCCTCCTCCATCTTGCACCAGTGCCCGTTCTGCGGACATGTCTCTGACATTTCCCTTGCACTGGCTGCCTTTGTCGAGAACCCACACTGTAGCAAGGTAGTTTCTCCTCCATCTTCTCTGTTGTCACCCCCGCTGACCGGGAAATGAATACTACAGTGCGGCCTGTCGGCGGCGGAAAGCAACCTGAAAATGCAGAACGAGCTGGCCGATTTGTTCAGCAAGCAGATGAGCTTGAGCCAGTTCGGTTCAGAACAGTCCACAGGCCCCTCGGTGTCCCAGACTCCACCCATATCGTATAGCGTCACCCAGCACTACCACCACTCGTCCCATATAGCTTCCCAACATAAAGCAGGGGCTGCGGACATTGATGTGCTATTGAAACAAAACGGCCTGCAGCCACAGTCCCTTTCGACCAGTCAACTGGATCTGGTTAGACATGCGAGCCCGGAGCAGCAGGAACGGTTGATCCAAACGTGGAAACTATACTCCCAGTTCGAACAGCAGCAAGCCATCGCCGGACTAAACCCTTCTTCTACTCAGGACCTGGAGATGTACGATAGCATGGATGATAGCAAGCAGTACGCCGAGCCGTACATGATATCGGGCTATGAGATGCATGCTTCAGAAACCGGCTCGAGGCACCTGCCCACAGAGCCTACGACAGGACAGCCATACTCTCCGTCCAGGGACCCCGTGTATCAAAGCCAGGAGTGGCGGAGGTCTGGATTCGAGGGAAGTGGATTTGCCTAGGCCTATTGGAATAGGTAGCTACGACTGTACATATTTCAAGCACAGTGAATTTGTGATATCCCAACGTGAATGTATTGATTTTTCTCTTTTCTAAAAACATTTTCTCTTCATAAACCCGCCCACATCCAAAAAATCATAGGGGAGAAATTGACTAGCAATTGCCACGGCCAGTATCAAAAAGAGTGTTCGCCATAGACAGGATTCCACGAAATTTCCACGGTGCTTCCTCGCGTACACTGGTGGTGGTGTTGGGTATGTTGTTAAATGCTGCGCCGGGCAGAAACGTTTTCCGTCAGACCACTTGATTCACACCGGACCAGTGCCGGCGGTAGACAGATGGGTCGAATGCTGTTTGAGAGTTGGTCAGTATAGCGCAGGAGGACTTGATCTGGGGCGGGCTGCTCACATTTACTCCTCGTCATCGAGGGCAGCCATGGCCTCTGCGAGAGCATCGGCGGAGCGCTTGACCTCATCGACAGCCTCAGCGGCGCGCTTGACCTTGTAGCAGCCCTGGCCGGGGTGGCCACACCACTTCTGGAGGGCAATGGGGTGAGCCTCAGCCATGGCGTCGGCGAGGGCCTCAGCAGAGCGCTTGACATCACCAGTGACATCGGCGGTGCGCTTCATCATGTAGCAGCCCTGGCCGGGGTGGCCGCACCACTTCTGCAGAGCAGCAGCATTGACGGAGGTGGCTGCCAGCATGGCAATGGCGACGGTGAGGAACTGCATCTTGATGATGGATTGAGTGAAGAATTGACTTCGGAGGTTGGTTACTTTGGTTCTGGGAAGATCTGAAGAGCTGGTGGATTGTGCTTGAGGAAATATGATCTAGACAGCGAATGCAAACTGATCTTATAGTCGTGCAGAGCCATGGGATTCACGCCGGTGCCCTTGCGAGCGATGTTATTGAGACCCGAAATCGTCGTCGGCACTGAATAGAGTTGCTTATTGAGGGAGAGCCACGGCAGGCCTCATCAATAGAGTCGTAAAGATTCATGCTCGAGAAGCCAAAGAAGCAAGGATCAACTCGTTCTTTGAAGTCCCAGCCGGAAGAGGGAGTCAATAACGACGAGTGAGATAAGATCGGCCCGTGGGCTGAGTCGCGCGGCGCCAATGCCGAGCCCATCCGCCCTTTTCTGCCGTTTTTCGGCCATTTCTTTCACTTCTCTTCTTTTCCAACCACCGCTCACTTCCTCTCCCAATTGACATCCCATCTTGGTGCCCTCCCCCGTTGTCACCCATCCCCCTCAATCATGTTCTCACGAACGGCTCAGCCTGCCCGGGTATGTTCCTCTTTGTCTGCCATCACTTCCGTCCGATGATACCTCCTGCCACACTACCACACCCTCCTCTTACCCGCCCTCCCAACAACACCCCCCGATGGCGGTTGGCATTGCGCCTAGCTGGTGGCTAATCAATTGCTCTTTGTCTAGACTCTGCTTCGCAGCGCTTCCGTGGTTCCCTCTGTCGCTGGTTCCATTCCTGCACGATGTACGCCCAACTGGCCCCCATCCTCAGCGAAAAATGATGTGGTATAGTGTCGCTAACCTGTGCAATTAGCCTTCGCGACGGTGCAGTCGGACATCTTCAAGCCCACCAAGTATGGCGGAAAGTATACGGTGACGCTGATTCCCGGTGACGGCATTGGTGCCGAAGTTGCCGAGTCGGTCAAGACCATCTTCAAGGCCGACAACGTCCCGATTGAGTGGGAGCAGGTCGATGTCAGCGGTGTGGACACGGGCAACAAGCATTCGGAGGAGCTGTTCAAGGAGTCCATCGCGTCTCTTAAGCGCAACAAGCTGGGTCTGAAGGGTATCCTGCACACCCCCGTGGAGCGGTCGGGCCACCAGTCCTTCAACGTCGCGCTCCGTCAGGAGCTGGACATCTACGCGTCCATCTCTCTGATCAAGAACATCCCGGGCTACCAGACCCGCCACAACGATGTCGACCTGTGCATCATCCGTGAGAACACCGAGGGCGAGTACTCCGGTCTGGAGCACCAGTCGGTTCAGGGCGTGGTCGAGTCCTTGAAGATCATCACCCGCGCCAAGTCCGAGCGCATTGCCAAGTTCGCCTTTAGCTTCGCGCTCGCCAACAACCGGAAGAAGGTCACCTGCATCCACAAGGCCAACATCATGAAGCTGGCCGACGGTCTCTTCCGCAGCACTTTCCACAAGGTCGCCGAGAACTACCCCACTCTGGAGGTGAACGACATGATCGTGGACAATGCCTCCATGCAGGCTGTTTCGCGTCCCCAGCAGTTCGATGTGATGGTCATGCCCAACCTGTACGGCGGTATCCTTTCCAACGTCGGTGCCGCTCTTGTCGGCGGTCCCGGTGTCGTCCCCGGCTGCAACATGGGCCGCGACGTTGCCGTCTTCGAACCCGGCTGCCGTCACGTCGGCCTGGATATCAAGGGCAAGGACCAGGCCAACCCTAGCGCCATGATTCTGTCTGGCTCCATGCTTCTGCGCCACCTGGGTCTGGATGACCACGCCAACCGCATCTCCAAGGCGGTCTACGAGGTGATCGGTGAAGGGTGAGTGATCGATCATTTGAAATAAAATACACATGCTAACAGATTGATAGAAAATCGCGGACTCGCGACATGGGTGGCAATGCCACCACTCACGAGTTCACCCGCGCTGTTCTGGACAAGATGGAGGCGGCTCTGTAAATCTATATCTCCGGCTGCCCCTTTCTTTTGTTTTAGAATATCCACTGCAACGATTGTGATTGACACCTGCAAAGTCCGTGCGATGACTGAGATCATGGGCGGACCAACTGGTGTGGTCGGTCTCTGTTTATGTATTATCTTTACTTTGTTTCGTTTGGAGGTTCCATTGCCAGCTGTAGCAATATAGACCATTTTAAAATCAATTCGTAACGTCATTAAATTATTTTAGCCCGGACTATCCTCCTTGATTGGGGGCATACATCCCAGAGTCCTCATTATACCGGACAAGAGATTGGAGCAGCACGTCCCACTTGTCTCTCCGGTTGAGCCCACGGGGATATCCTCTGTCGATTTCTCTGTCGATGCTCTTCCGTGACGCAAAGCTAGTGCAAACAAGCCTCCACTAGCGGTGGCGATTGCGTCTCCAACATAGAAGTTGGAGGGCGCAAATGACAAAGGAGTATCGCTGGAAGCCATCGACCGGAACGTTTTGCTTCCCGCGCGCTCTAGGCGCCTGTCGGCCAGCAACAGAATCGCTCAGAAGGCCGTTCGGCGTTTGCGACCAGTATACTTTGAATTGTGCTTCACCACCTTCCCCTTCTTGGCCATCTGCTCCTTCTTATTGAGGATCCAATTCTTGTCGCCCTTGCGCGGTGACCGGGCTCGAGCATTGCTCAGCTCCATAGCCTTCCTCCTCGCATCCAAGACATTGACACCATCCATGCCATCGACCACGCCGGTAATATCACCATGCAGACCGCCGCCACCGACTGTCAGAACCAAGTATAGCTTGCTATTCTTCGTGCCGGGGTCATCCTCGAGAATACCGGCGCCAAAGCCAGCCTTGATCGCCGCACCACTGATCATGCTCCGCTGGGCATCATTCTTCGGATAGAACTGGCATACTGCGCGGCCACCACGACGAAGACTAGCGTAGAGACCCTCGAAGAACCGCCGCAGTCGACCCTCGGGAGTGACGTCGCTCGTTTCCGCATTGCACAACCACTGGATGGCGCTGATGCTGATCGCGGCGTCGAAGGCGCCGGGCCGGAAAGGTACGCCTTGCCCAATGTCCGCGAGGAATAGGTCGCCCTCTACCTCGCGCTGCAGGGCCACGTCTAGCATGCTGGGCGAGATGTCCATGCCCACCCACGTGTGCGGTCCGCCTTCTTCCTCTGTTACTTCCGAGAGAATCTCGCCCGATAGACCAGAGCCGCAGCCGACATCGAGAATCAGAGATGGAGACTTCAGGTCCAAAAGTTCCAGGGCCCGATTGGTCATGTCGGCCTGGATGTTGCGAATGCGCGAAGAGGTGGTGTACTTGCGGGATTCATTGTCGTTGTAGAACAGGTCGGGCGGGCTGGAAGCGATTCAGTCAGGGCCACAGTTCTTGCAGACAGAAGATCATAACTTACAGGATATCTTCGGGGCGAGACATTGTGCTGTATATCGAATGTGCGGAGTGGAAGAAGTCGAGGGTCGAAAAGCAAAGTTCCGCGCCAGAAAAATAATTAGTTGGTGCCTGAGGCCGAAAACCGATTGCGGCAACCTGCCACTTGTTGCTGTCACTGCTTCATCTTCTTCCTCTTCCACTTTCAACCCAGACTACGCGCTTCTCAGTATTATTTTTTTTTTTAAATCGGTCACCCTTGCAGATGATCTACTTGCTTGCTAGCATGTGCCCAGTTTAGTCACATCCCTTTCCGCCCGTCCTCCACGTGTCCCGGCTATCCCACGTTCCCTCCCTACCTGCCCACGACTCTCTCTCTCGAGACTGAATCAGTCACGATGTGGATTCTTCCGCTCGTGGGGTATCTGGGGGTGATTTTTGGCTTTGCATTTCTGACACTGGGAATCGGTAAGTCTCAGTCCGACGCAGCGCAAAGACAAGCTCTAGTCTAACCGATCGTCTACGCAGCATCGGGCCTCTACTACCTATCCGAAATAGTAGAGGAGCACACCGTGCTCGCCCGCCGGCTCCTAAGCCGCCTAATATACAGCATCATCGGCGTGCAGACCCTTCTCATGATCTTCGATCGATTCCCTATATTCCTCTCTCTCCTCAGCATCGGCTCGCATCTCGTCTACGCCAGCAACCTCCGCCGGTTCCCCATCGTCAAGCTCTCCGACCCCCTCTTCATCCTGTCCTGCCTCCTCGTCGGCCTCAACCACTGGCTGTGGTTCCGCCACTTCTCGCAACCGATCGCTCCGGCCCAGCGGTCCGAGAATAACTGGCGCCAGCCGTATAAAGTCGACTATAGCGACATGCCCTCTTTCACCGATGTGGCCTCGTACTTCGGGCTCTGTGTCTGGCTGGTTCCGTTCGCGCTCTTTGTGAGTCTCAGTGCTGGAGAGAACGTGCTGCCGAGCATGGGCTCTGAATATGCTACTGGGGAGCATGTTTCGGCTGCGGGACTAGGTGGCGCCTCTGATGCCAAGATCAAGAACAAGGGAATGGCCAAGGCGCTGGTGGATGGGGTCCGGGAGTGGGCAGCTGAAAACGGGGAGGTCTTGGGGTTTTGGAAGGGGGAACGGACAAGGCGGTTCTAGCGGGTTTTCGTGATGGGCATTCGAATCAAATCTGGTAGCATAGTAGCAGTTACTACGTAATGAATTGAACGGTTCGAAGAGATCAAAAGAAGTGTATTAATTTATATGAAGAGAATGGCAAGTCCGACTCATTTTAAATGACACAGCAGAAGCAGCCATCCGAAGTAAGGTGGATGGAAGAGATCAAAGCTGGGAAACAAGAATCGAAGAAGAAAAAAAAAAAGTATGGAACGCTGAAAGACGGAGGAAGTAAAGGGGGTATAACGATGGTTGAAAGCTGCGTGGCAAGGGCACAGCAGGAAGGAAAAGCATCGAGATCGACCACTGTGCAACCTCATCCCGATTAACGTGATTATCATTAAAGCGAAGGGAGGCATTCAGTTCCACGCATGGGCGCTGGCTTGAGTTGCCAAGTAGTGCAGGTCATCATTCCACAGTCGTGTATGTCGTAAACGTTCTCACAGTGGCACGACCACCGGTATTAGACGAAAAGAAAGAGCGTCAAGAGGAGAAATCAAGTTCGACCAAAGATTTAGGGCAGGCATTTATGTGTTTGCCCTAGTCGAATTTAATGGGTTCTCCAGAAGCTGAGAGGCTTGACGTTAGCAAGCTAGAAGATTTACTATCTGGGATACCCAGCGGACTGGCTGTACGTACTGTTCTCCATGAAAAGCATCGAGCTTTCGCGCCTCTTGGATCGGGCCGAACGTGTGTCATCCGTGTTATTGGGAACCAGCATACCATTCAACGAGGTGAATCCCGCAGAGGCCCCGGCTTGCTGATTGTACATTTGCTGCTGATAAGCATTTTGGTCGTAAGTCGGCTGCATGGGGATAAACCCGGTATCTTGGTGCTGCGCTCTGGGAGGCTCGACAGCACTATTGGATTCGCTTTGGCCCCGGAACGAGGTTTGGTTGTATGAGGGCGTGGGGATCTCCGAGAACATTTGGTGGCGTGGAGAGCGAATATCATCAGCCGAGAGGGTTCGGGTTCGGTCGACCGTCAGCTCCACGGATGGACCAGGGCCAGATGATAAATCACCGAAGATGCTGTCATAGTCCGTGAGGAACATCGAGAACACCGGCGCAGGAATGTTAAGAGTCGGAGCAAAGACAATGCCCACGTTGCGGACGGTCATCTTGTTGACATCGGAGTTATTGACGATCTCGATCAGGAATTGTGACAGAGCGGACAGTAGCGTCAGGTTGGCACTCGGCAGTCTGTGCACGAGGGAGTTGAATGCGGCGAGCTTCTTCTGTTTCTCATCAAGTTCTGTTTCTCATACGTTAGCACAAGTATACGAGCAAACCCCAGGTCTATGCATACCCAAAACACGAAGGAAATCCAAGTGGAGTTCGCGAGTCAACACTGTCGTCGGAAGCTCCCGCAGATACTGCTTAAAAAGGGAGGCGACTGCATGGACGTCGTAATACTGGTCTCCGGCAAGGAAATCGATGTCGCCCTCGGTATTAAACCGTTCCTTCAAAGCCTTGATCACGACGTTTGAGCCGCTCAGACGGAAGATTCCTTCTTCGGACGCCGCTCCCTGGGAGTGAAGATATTCAATGCAACGGTAGACCACGGCCGGCAGCTCCACATTAACGCCTTGGGGCGGACAATATTCCACAGCCTCAATTAGCGGTATCCCGAAGACGGGTCTGACCGGTTCTTTTCGTTCCGTTTGGATATTGTTATTGGCGGCGGTGATGTCCCCGCCCTGAGACGCTAGGTCAAAAGACGATCGTGTGCGGAAGCCCCAGATACTGCGCTTCTTTTCTTTGGTAGATGTTGTTGTTGTTGTTGTTGGTTTATTGCCCCAAGCGCCTACATCTTGAATGATTGCGCCATTTTTAGGTGCAGATATCATCTTCGGAGACTGCAGCCCCGGTTCGATGGGCTGGGTGGTGTCACCGATAGCCATGGATACGGTAGACGGGATCCGTGGAGAACGAGGAGGCGCCTGATCGAGAGTGGTACCCAGTATGGGGGGCTCGGCCGCAACAGCATCGTCAAAGCTGAATCCTTGGACCGGGTCTCCGCCAACCAGCTCCGGACTCTCATCCGTTCTGACAGGTTTCTTGCTTCCGTTACCGGAAAACAGTTTCGACTTGGCTGAAGATCTGGGTTCAGATCCAGCGGCGGATGGCTTTGCTGGAGTCGAGGCTTGACTCTTTGACGATGAGGGGCCACGGCTACTCTCATTGTCGGACGAAGAGCTTTCGACATACTCCATCAGAGCGTCCACCCAGGCGTCCCGCTCTGCGTCGCTCTCAGAACACAAGACATGCCGCACAAGCGCCGAGGAATCCTTCTTCTTCGGTTCCAGGACGAGGAACGCATGGCGGTATTGATTGTCCGTGTCATCGTCACCGGAGGTAGCCTGGCTGCTGGAGTTTTGCGATTGCTTGCCGATCTGAGCGTGGTGGAGCCTGATAGTGCCCATATGGGCACCTCCTGGCGACTCGAAGTATTTCAGCTCAGGGCCATGCAGGACAAAGTATCTCGCTTTCCAGCCACCGAAATTCTTGCCACGCTTCGTCAAATAGCCTTCCTTTCGCGGTTTCCCATCGGCTCCACGAAGGATATCGGGCTTGGTTGGAGAGCCTTTCAGCAGGCTGGTCTCGTCGTCTCGAGCCTCAATAGCGTCACTCGTCAGGAATTGACAGACGACCAATGCAGCGGTCTCATCCATAGGCGTGTCCAAGAGACTGTCAAAATACACATTCAAGGCAGCACGTCTCGCATCAACTTTTGCAGGAGAGTGACCACTGAAAATGGCCCGGTCAGGCAACTTCCCGGCAAAGGAAGAAGTTTGTTTAACCTGTTGATCCAACTGAGGAAGGGACCCAATCACTTTTTCGACTCGCCAGAGTTCTGAACCTTCCGATCGAGATATCACGCTGAGTGTAAAAACAGGTTCCTCGTCCAGGGGTTTGGATACGAGATAGCTGTTCCTCGAAGGTCGGAGTCGGGACGAAGAGACTCTCACTTGAATCAGTGGCAGCGCATTGGGCGGTAAAAGCAAGGCAGGATAATCTTCCGACACCAGTCCTTGGTAAATACTACTCTCAGAGAACTTGGCTGATATCGGACTATCGATTTTGACAGCGGGATCGATTGAGGGGATAGACATGCCGGGTCGACCAGCGGTACCTGGGGCATCCCCCTGGGAGAAAGGCACCGGGTAATTGGGTGCTCGCGGAGAAAGAGGCAGGCCCGCAACGTTATATCCGGAGGCCAGTGACGGGGATGCCATGGGATTTGTGATGTCTCTGGTGGGCATTCTTGGCAAGGGAGAACCGATAGGACGGTCTTCTGGTCTCGGGCTCAGAGGCAATCCTGGACTCTTAGGCATGGTCATCATATTGCGTCCATTGGAAGGAGCCGTGCGAGAGCTCAAAATGCTTCCCATGGAGCCCGCTCCGCCAACATTTGGCGGCGACCTCGACGACAGCTCCCGGGGGACCATGGCCGAGCTGGTTGATGCGGTCTCTCTTGAGCTTTGGGAGGTTCCAGACTTGCTTGGTTTCGCACCATCATAGTTGACCGTCTCATCTTGCAGCACAGCTTCACGGTCCCGGTCATCCTCCTCCCTCGTTTTTCTCCTGCCGCGTTCCTTGCTGCGTAATTCATCAACTTCCACGACGTCCCCGTAATCAGACCCGGAGTCATTAGGGTCGGCACTCTCCTTCTGTTTCAAGTTTAAGGGTGCAGGCGGTGCTTTGCGGCTTGACTTGCCGTCACCGGGGGACGTAGGGCTGGTGGGACCGAACTCGGTAGCTTGGGCGTTTCCCCGGGCCTGCGGGTCGCTTCGACCTTCGCCATTTGCCGGTTGTGTTTGAAGTCGAGACAGCGGTTTGGGAAGAAGAGAATCGTGCCGGTCCGCCGAGAGACCTCGAGAATCAGCAGCGGGGAGCGGAGGTGCTGATTGTTGGAGCTCCTTGACCTTTTTCTTGTATTGGTCCTTCTCCTTGAACGCTCGCTCAAGATCCTTGTTGAGGCCCAAGATCAAAGTCCGTTGCTTGTCCACCAATTTCCACAACTGACCATTTTGCGATGCTGCATGATGTTTTTCTTTCAGTAGGTGGATGATGACGGCCTCAGCCGAGCCAGCCTTGCTGATGAGATTATTGATATCCGCAGGGCTCAAGGCGTTCGCATCGAACGATGATTTCTGTGATGGGGTAGACAGGGACGAGATGGCAGAATCAATCGACGAGGTTCGAGGCATCGTGCGCTGAGGCGCGCGATCTCCGAGGACGGAACTGGCTGTAGATTTTGGCGAGGAAGTTTCTGATCGATCAGCCTCCGTTCCGGCAGATTGTTTCGGCGTGTTGAAGCTGTCGGTCACCTCTGCCGACGCCTCCGCGCTTGTCATTTCAGGCGCTCGAGACGAGCTGGCGGCAGTGGTGGATGGGGGCGCGGGGAACGCGGCATTGGCTACACGAGCCATCGGCGAGCGGTTTGTGGCAGGGGACGGGTTTGCGCTCGACCGGGCTGACAGCGGGCTCTGCGATGAAGCCGAGTTGTCGTGGAGATAGGATAGCGGGAGGGAGCTGGTATGCAACGGGGAGGGTTGGCGGGGGCCACCGCGCGATGTTTGAACGTCGGATCGCGGACCCAAATAGTCCCGGTTCCTTGAGGCAGGGGAGGTATCATCACTCCCTCGCCGCGGACCCTGCGACATGGCCGTGGGTGCTGCTCAGCATGCAGTGCCACGTTCGGGGGAGGCAACACGAGGGGAGGTCGGGCAGGGAGGCAGGCCGGATGAGAATCGGGGGGCGACGGGAAGAGAATATGGGAGAAATCGAGGTGGTGGGAGAACAGTAATTAAAAAAAGTGCCGTTCTAAGGAGGAAAGAATAACTCCTAGTTCTGTGGGGAGGAGCGAACTGAAAGAAAGAACGGAAGAAAGAAAAAGGGGGTTCGTGCTGGCCGGTGGACCCTACAATGACGATCGTTGGTGACAGCGGGAGATGACAAAGTGCCTTATGTTGAACAACGCCGGAGATGCTAACTACAATATAATACATAATATGAAAGTTATGGATGCAGGGTTCAGGCAATGTTGCCGGCCATGCCCATGAAAATGGCCTGCGCCGCCAGTTGCAGCGACCAGAAGCCCACTTTCTTAAACCGTCGTTTCCGCGCCTGATCATCCACCACGTCCCGCGCAAAGGCATCGTACGTCTGCTCGCCATTAGTATAGAGATTAAAAAGAAAACAAGGTAAGGACTCACCGCTGCCGACAGATCGTCCATCAGACCACTGTCGAAGATGGTCCAGCTGCCGTCGAAGTCGCCCACACGCTTGACCAAGCGGCAGTTGATCGGGATGAAGGTGCGCTTCGAGTTGATGTATGCTACGATCGGGCGGATGAGGGCATTGTTGATGTAAGAAAGGTCCCGGGTGAAAATGGGCACCACGGCCCGGACGTTGTTGAGGTGGAGGCGCAGATCCATGACGAGGAATCGCCGGTCTGCCCCGTCGGTCTGCTGCTCAGGCCCGTAGGGAACCGATTCGGAGTACCGGTTGGAGCTGACGGTGGCTTCCAATCGATCGTAGAAGTCGGCCATGACCTTGGCCAGGCTCTCATCGTTCTCGGCAGGCAGCATAATGTCCGCCACGATATCCACCGTGCCTTCATGAATCCACGAGAATGGGCCTTGCACACCGCGGTTGAGATGATCAATGTTGAGACCGTCAACCCGGATGCGGTTATGCTGTTTCCACGGGCTGGACTCGCCATCGTCTGCCCCGTCGTCTAAACGGGCACCCGTGAAGCCGTGGGTCTGACGAGGGTGGATGGTGAACAGGGAATTGTCAACAGATCCCGAGATCATGTTGGCCGAGAGGAAGTCATAGAAAAGCCATTGCTTCCGCAGCTGAGGAAGATCACACGAGAAGATGCTGACGGAGAAGGGCCGGAAATTGTCCGGCTGGTAGACTGAGACCAGTACATCGTGCATCTGGAACGAGCCAATCTCAAAATCTCCGGGATTGTGCTCATGCCGGTAGGACTTGGGATCTAGATAATCCTCATCCGACCAGTGGACGGACCGACGGTCGACCACTCCCCGGATCCCCTTCACCTCGACATCACGAAGCAAGCCCTTCCCATTCAGCCACCTCGTAAACGACAGGGTGACATTAACCGTCTCGATCGACAGATCGAACTGGGTATAGTTGGTGTCTTCTTCTTCAGACACTACTAGCAAATCTTCCGATACAATGTCCCCACGGGCTGCGGCGACAGCTGCTGCGGCAGCGGCCGTCTTCGGCGAGCCCTTACTAACATATCCTGTCCCCTGGCCTGGCCGCTTGGATACAAAGACGTTTTTGAAGGTAATGACACCGCCTCTCCACTTGGGCACGATGGCAGATTCGAAAACCACTTTCACTCCAGACGATTTCGTCAGGTAGTTGCCGACCCATCCCGCTAGGGTTTCTTGGGCAAAGACCGTGTTGATAGCAAGAATCAGCAGCGAGAAGAACGTGGTCGTTCCTAGGACTATCCACACTACGTGGCCTAGCAGAACCCAAGAGAAGAGCGCGGTGATCTCATCCAAATTGAATGGCCGTACGCTTCGTATAGAGAACCATTTGAAGCGCACCTTGAGGCGCGACCAGAATCCAGTTGCGGCGGCGAGAAGTTCTTCCTTCGTTGGCCGATGGAGATGGGGCATGTGTGGCAAGCGGTCCATCAGATGGCGCTGGTGCAGTTCTGGCGGTGTTGGTTGAGAAGAGGAGTTTTGGGGAGGAGAGGTTTTGGGAGAGGAGTTGTTCGTGGATGCTTTTGTGTGAGAGGAGTCATTATCGTCGGGTGTTTTTGCGTGTCGATTGTGGTTCGGTGTGTGAAGAGCTCGCTTCCAGATATACTGGGAGGCGATCTTCCTCGAGGGTCCGATGCATGCTGCACTGGCCTCGGCTGCCGTCGAGCTTGGAGAGACGCCTACCACAAGAAAGCCACCAGAGGCGACTCTCCTGGTGATGATTCTTCCCGTCGAGAAGGCGGTTCTGGGAGAGCTGCAGAAGGCGCGCGGGCTGGCGGTGCTGCGGGTTGTGCGGATGCGGCCAAAGAAAGGAGCACTCTCCCAGAGATGGGCGTATAGCCGGCGTCCGAAGTTGGCAGACATGCTGGCCATCACATACTGGATGGGTTGCTTGTCGGTGGTGGTGGTTAATTGTGTCCCTGATTCTGCTCGATGGGAAAGATGAAATCATGTTTGCTCTGTTTGCATCGAAAATTCATCCCGTCCACACTTTTTTTTTTGCTGGTGGGGAATCTTTTCCTTCAACTCACCTACCATAAATTAAAGACCCGACACCATCATGCCGGCACCTACTGCTCTTCGGCAGCCAGAGGAGGCCTCGGTGCCCCAGCAGACAAATATTCCAGCCGGTCCGTGGCCCAGCGATCCCCCCCTCAGTTTCTATACTGACAATCAAACCAAAGACCAAGACGACGAGGTTCTGATCGACGCCCAAGCCACAGCCGAGCAATCGAGTATGCCAGTGGTCGACTCTACAGAGGATGAGATGCGCATTGACGAGGAGGGCCGACCGGTATTCACGCCCTCCAAAGAAACCAGCGCAGCGTATAAGGTGGAAACCCGCAAGGTGCCTGTGCCGCCACACCGTATGACGCCGCTCAAGGCGAACTGGGCGAAGCTCTGTCCTCCAATTGTGGAACATCTTAAACTGCAAGTGCGGATGAATATCAAGAGTCGCGCGGTGGAGCTGCGAACGTCCAAGTTCACGACCGATGTGGGAGCCCTGCAAAAGGGTGCCGATTTCGTCAAGGCCTTCACCCTCGGCTTTGACCTCGATGATGCCATCGCGCTGCTTCGACTGGACGACTTGTACATTGAGACATTTGAGATCAAAGACGTCAAGACCCTCAACGGCGAGCACCTGGGTCGTGCCATTGGCCGCATTGCTGGAAAGGATGGGAAAACCAAGTTTGCCATTGAGAATGCCAGTCGCACCCGAGTGGTCCTGGCGGACGCAAAGATCCACATCCTTGGTGGGTTCAAGAACATCCATATCGCCCGCGAGGCCATTGTCAGCCTCATTCTGGGCAGTCCTCCGGTAAGCCTCCACGCACCCGTAACACGAGTCATGAGCTAACGCACAGTAGGGCAAGGTCTATGGTAACCTTCGCACGGTGGCATCCCGAATGAAGGAACGGTTTTGATTCCTACGAAGTCTCTTTTTGGCATGGGCAGGCGTTCACGAGCATTGGTTTTGGTCGGGTATTTTACTGAAGACATGAATGACATATCCCGATATCAATTTGAAACCCGCACTATTATTTCTATTTGGAAAGTTCCCAAAAATAACGAGTTTCATTGTTTGCACATCAAAGAAAAGACACCGTAGTGGATTCAATCCTTAATCCTTCTTCAACGGGTGGAACACCTCTTCGATTCCATCCCGGGTGATGATCATCATTTGCAAGTTATCGCCCACCTCGATGTGTCGCTCCACGGCACTGGTGAACGCATCCCGCACGAGCTGTTCCACCGTTGCTCGGGGCAGAGGCTCCGCCTTCTTCGCTTGTAGCGCATGGCCCTCGCCGCTGCCAGGCACGTACTGGTTCTTGAACTTGACCTGGTTGTCGAGGAAGGGCATGATCAGGCTTGATGCTGCACCGGCCGCACGGCATTCCTCCCGCTCGTATGAACCAACGGGGTCGTAGCTGTACAGAGCTCCCTTGCCCTCCTCGTCTAAACCAGCCAGGATGACGTGCACGTAGTAAGGGAAGAACCGCTTCCCGTATAGAATGGTGGATAGGCGCTGCGCACATGCTGTGACCGACATGGATTTCCCATGTTGGTATTTGTACATCTTCACCACGGCATCCAGTCGTTCCTTGAGAGCATTGCCGTCCGCGGCAAAACCAACAACCGAGAGAAGAATATGGGCTCCCGTGCCAGTCTCATCGTCCCCACCAATCTTGAACACCTTCGGCACCATGCGAGAGTTGATGTTGTACCCACTCGTGGAACGGGTGTCGCCGGCCAAAATAGCGAAGTCAGAGCCCGTGATGCCCAAGGTGGAACCGCCATTGTCGGTGTATCTAGAAGATAGTGGTAAGCTCGGGCTATTGACAAGCTTCGTCAGAGCAAACGACTCACGGGTAGAATGAATGTTCTTTGACAGGAGCAGCTGTCGGCTGGGAGAAGGAATACCCAACGGTCTGACCACTTGGGTGACCCATGAGCGACGTCATTTTTGGCGAGGCGTTGGGGCTGAAAGATGAATGACGGATAGGATTAAGGCGATATGGGAGAGTATAGAAAGACGAGAGAGTGGGAAGAAGATGAGGGAGCGCAATTCGAATGGAGGAGTTGAGTCGGAAGGAAGGTGTCTGACGCGATTGCGGTAGCTGCCTCCGCTTATGTAACGGCCCAGCTCCAACGGATCTTTGTCACGACTCGTGAGTACTTCTTCTTCCACCCTCCCTACATCATGCTCAATCTGGATGCCTACGAAAGCAGCGAGGACGAGGTAGAGACACATCCTCCCTCTGACCAATCCCAGCGCAAGCAGACTCCACCACCTACAGCTGGAAACGCCCCGATTCAAGGTAGGGACCTTCCTATGGTTGAATATCTCACCAAGAGCTAACTAACGCTTGCTATAGACAAGACACCACTGGCTCGCGAGCATCCCCAACCACAACCTCCCACCGCTGAAGTCCCGAGCGGTCCGGTTCTTGGACCGGCATCCGTGCAAACCCCATCCAATGAGCTCTTAGAAGCCGGCCGCTCCTCTCCCTTTTCCACCACGCGAGCCCTGATTCAGGATTTGACTCTGCCTCCAGTGCCCAATCTGGACATACCACCATCACCGCCGGGGTCTCCGGACCCAGCCGCCAATGCGAAGTTTGAGCATTTCCTCTCCTTGAAAGCACAAGGCGTACATTTCAACTCCAAGTTGGCCAGCTCCTCGTCATTGAAAAATCCCAGCTTACTCATGAAAATGATGGAGCATGCTGGCATTGAAGAGCAGTCGCAGTATGATACGTCTTTGCCGGCTGAGGTGTGGAGTGCATCCAACCTACCACCGTGGGGGTTCAAAGAAGAGCTTCTCAAGACCCAGCAGGAAGTTCGACAGAAAAGTGAGGCGAATAAGTCATCTAGGGACTCGATTGAATTTGTTTCTGGTTCCCGGAAGGCCAATTCTTGAGTCAGATTTGGTACAGGTCTATTGGAAACTTTTTGAGGCCCCAATGCCGCAGCCTCTGCTAAGAATCGGGCACTATCTGCGCCATCAAACCTTGGGAGAACCACACGGAATTAGCGTGTCTACAATTTGCAATGAGCAAAGCTCAATCTGTGATTGGACTCGGTTCTCGTATTCATCAACATCGGTGGAATACAACCCAGTTGACTGGACAGAGTCAGATGGACAGAAGAACTACATATACATCACGGATGGACTTGACAGTCGACACAGACAGTCAGTGTCTGCGATCTGCTCTAAGCGCCACCGCCGCCTGCCGATGCAGCCCGAGCGCGCCGTTTGGCCTTCTCATACAAACTCAAGCAGGAAATGAAGACAATTCGATCAAAATCGTCCCCATATTCCACCTTGATCTGGATCTTCCCACACTTGTTGTAAGTCCGCTCGCTCGTAAAAATAGCCACGACCTGGTCGGAGCTCTCGTCCACCAGCTTGTAGTTGCGCACGCTCCCCCATCTCCGCGACGAGTCGTCCACCACGACATGGCGAGTGCGCTTCCAGAGAAAAGAGCGTCTCTGGGCGGGAGTGTCTGGACCGGGGGAGTTGCGAATGTTCATTTCAATGCGGTGCTTGTTGGCGCGAATGCTCTCGCGTGTCATATCCTCCCATTGCATGTTTCCTGGGTCATCGGGGTTGCCTAGACCGAGTTTGTAGTTGCTTGACAGTTTGAGGAACTGGCTGACCGCCACAATGGGTGCATTGGTGTCGGTTCCCGCATGAAGGGTGATATCGGGCTTGTTCCGTGTCAATGAGGAGACATCAGCGTAGAAGAGGATTTGGTCGTCCAGTGATTTGATCTCATAGTGCCGGCGGAAGGAGTTCTTGTAGACCGCATAGATACGAGCTGGGCCCTGCTCGTCCTGAGGTGGGGGCGCCGAGTCTGCCGAGTCTATTGAGGCTGAGCGGGAAGACATGACTGCTGTTATCTAAATTGTGGCATGGTTGAAAGAGGAGGAGAGCGAAAGTTAAATATCCAACTACGGATCGACGAGCAAGGTGGCTGTGCGGATGGAGCAACCTTGGAATGCTGGACAACCAAGAAGTAATAGTTTCCACACCCAGAAAACACTGCCCAGCAATGATACTAATATGCTATTTCATCTAATCCAGTATATTATTTCATACTGTAAACCAAGTGCCTCTAAATATTCACTATAGTTGCAGGTCCCGTGACCGCTGACAAAGCCGAGCTCCGTCAGCTCGCCTGCCTGGGAAGCTCGTCATCTGTTGTCTACCTTGACTTCACTTGGACCTTCGTTTAATCTCTCTCCCCCCTACTCTCCGCCCATCATGAATCACTTCCCCGAAGCTTGGGGTCGTGTAAGTTATCCCCTTCTGCAAGTGCTGTGCCCATTGCTCACAGTGTCGGCAGCCCAGAGACGATGTCTACGGCGCCTACAACAGCACCTACCTCCAGACCTCCGGCCCCAAGGCCCACACAACATCTCCCGCCGTGACGGGAACATCAGTGGTGGGCGTCAAGTTTAATGGCGGCGTTGCTCTCGCGACCGATAACCTGGGTATGCGTTCGACCAACTAAGGCACTTGGCTAGCTGCGTTGGTGATGGTCACAAACTAACGGGGGTATCTATCCAGCATCGTACGGATCTCTTGCTCGATTCACGGACGTCAAGCGTCTGCGCGTGTTCGGCGGCAAGGCAGTCGTCGGATTCGGCGGTGACGTGTCCGACATGCAATACATCGACCGACTACTCGAATCGATTGACATCCGCGAGAACTACTCCGCGCACGGCAACATGCTCAACGCCAAGAACTTGCACACCTACCTGGCGAAGGTGTTCTACAAACGGCGCTCCGAGTTCAACCCTCTGTGGAACCACGTCCTCGTCGCGGGGTTCGACGCCGACGACAAGCCGTTCCTCAGCTCCGCCGATCTGCTGGGCACGACCTTCTCCGCACCGCACCTGGCCACCGGGTTCGGTGCCCATCTTGCCGTGCCGATTCTGCGCCGTAAATTCCCTGATGAGAGGGATATCCAGACGATCAGCCGGGAAGAGGCCGTTGAGGCGCTGAAGGAATGCTTGAAGGTTCTGTTCTACCGTGACGCGCGGAGTCTGGATAAGTACTCGATAGCGGTGATTACGAGAGAGGGCATTGACTTGCGGGAGGATGAGCAGATTGAAGGCCAGAGCTGGGCGTTTGCCGAGACCATCAAGGGCTATGGGGCGCAGACCAATTAGACACTTAATTGTTCTTTGTTTGTTTTCCTTTTATGAATCAGATCGATTGAATCACTAGTTATGTGTCCTATGGTATATATATCTCTCGCTCTATGTACGGCCCTCACAGCCGGGGAGCAGGCTTATCGTACACCACCCGGTTGACACACGATCCCACGCCCTCAAGCGACACTTCGACCGAATCGCCATCCTTCAGCCACAGCTGGGGCTTGCGGCCCATGCCGACGCCTTGGGGCCTGGAAGGTCCGCGAGTTAGCTAGAGCCGAGCATCGGTAGAGAGAAAGAGTAGACTCACGTTCCGGTGAAGATCAGATCGCCGGGCAAGAGCGTCGTGCCCTGCGACAGGAAGGCAATAGTCTTCGCCACGCCAAAGATCATGTCCTTGGTCGAGGACGACTGCACCGTCTGGCCATTCAACTTCGTCGAGATGTGCAGAGCATTGGGGTCAGCGATGACACTGGACGAGACGATGCCAGGCCCGAACGGCGCCCAGCCATCAAATCCCTTCCCCAGCCCCCACTGGCCACCACCGCGCTTGATCTGCCAGTCCCGGTGGGAGACGTCATTACCGACCGCATAGCCGAGCACATAGTCGAGAGCCTGGCTCTCGGGCACATTGCGGGCCTCCTTCCCAATGACCGCTACGAGCTCACACTCGTAGTCCAGTCCCTCGCCTTGCTGGGCAATGTCCGCGACGGGGATATCGTCGACGGGGCCCGCGATCGCAGTGACGGGCTTGAAGAACAGAACAGGGTATTTGGGAATGGGCAGGTTGGACTCGCGGGCGTGCTGCTCGTAGTTCAGGCCCAGACAGCGCACCGTGCCGATATCTTTGCGGGCGAGCGGTGCGAGCAGCAGCTTCACGTCGGCGATCTGGTCGGTTACGCGGTGCTGGCCGAAGATGTCGCCCTGGATGACCTTGGCGCGGGTGGCTGTTGCGATATCGCTCGTGCCTGCGGGGAGGAGTGCGTCGCCGTAGTAGACGTTGCCATCCTTGGCTAGGAAGCGGATGAGTCGCTGAAGACCGTCAGTAAGGGAAGAAGTAAAGAAAGAAGTCAAGACAGAGTAGGGTCACTCACTGAGAAGGACATGGCTGAGCGAGTGAACATGGCGAGAGGGAATCGTTAAGTAGTCGTCAGTTCAGGAAGCTCTCTCCGCCCTCCGCCTTAGCCTCCAGTCCCGGCGGGAAACGGAGCGCAGATCGTCCACCACCCATCATCATGGCGCGGCTCTCCGGTCTGCAGCGCGAGGTATTGTCCCTGTACCGCCAATGTCTGCGCGAGATCCGGAAAAAACCTACTGTGAGAGTCTTCCTTTTTTAATTTCTTTTGGTTCCCTCAGACTGAACATACCCAGGAGTCCAGAGCCAACTTCAAGGCCTATGCCCGGTATGTTCCCCCCAAAACTCATCGGTACAGTCCGACTAAGACCACCACCCGACATTTCCAGCGCGGAATTCCAAAAACATCTCTCGGTGAGCAAGAAAGACTTCGGGGCCATCGAGTACCTGCTGCGCAAAGGCCAGCGCCAGCTGGAGATGTACGCGGCGCCGGGAATTCGCAATATCCGGTGATTGGTGATCCCGTGCGGTTCTCGTGCCTGGTCGTTGTCTACGGCGTTGCTCTCGTCCTGCTCACCCAAGAGAAATTGCTTCGCTGCCCTATGCGATGGGCTAAGGATCCGATTTTGCCCGACAGCGGAAGGTGAATCGGGTTCCCTTTCCGGTCAATTCATTTCTGTATATTAGGTCTGGTTTGGATTGGGTGGAGGGGTGTGCGAGTCTAGGATGCTTGTGTTATTATTGGTCTAGAAGGTTTAATTGGTTGTGCTGTATACTATACCCCAAAGAATATATATCTCCGACTATACCATATTCTACAGAGACCATAACTAGAATATTTTGACATCCCCATTCAAGACTCCGAAGAGCGTAGGTAATCGACGCAGTCCGACATGTCGAACAGTTTATGATAGTCACAGTCCATATTAGCAGGGCATTCTAAACGCCTAGTTAGTGACTTTTGTTCTTTAAGAAGAGCATACATACTGCTAGGATTGCCTCCATTCGCGCACGAACCGCAAGGGTAATCATTGTTCGTAAGCAAGCCACGATCCTTCAGGTTGGCGCGTGCCTGAGCCTTCGACACCTTAAATAAGTTAGTTCTAAGCGCTTTGAAGGTATTTAGAAAACATCATACACGTCCACGAGGAGTAAGAGGCACCTTAGGTGCAGGGCTTTTTTCAGGGGCCGAGTCGCAGGCGGCAGCAGGCGTGCTATCCAGGTAATTCGCCATCAGGTTTCGGTACCAGGCTAAGCGCTTAGCTATCGCTTGCCAATCACTTTCGAAAGGAAAACCTACCACGAATCTGCGCCTTTTCAATAGTCGAGGGCTTGCCGGTGTGGTGAGGAGACACTTCAACCCCATGGCTCTTCACGTGCATGCGCAGATTGCGAGTGTCTTGGTTTTTCTTAAAGTAAATAAAAAGGTAGTCAGCGCTTATATGGTGGTTAAAAACAGAGATGACTTACCTTTCTCCGGTCGCATTCACTAATCCGGCAGAACCCTTCTCCAGGCATCACAATGTATGCGCCATTCGTATCCTATATTAGAAATAGTATAACTACTTCATACAAGACGTGTACCCCTCTACTATCATTGTAACCGCACGCTGAACTTACACGCTCAAACTCAGGAAAGGCGATGGCACCCTTGCGGCCCAGCTCGAGGTACTTTTCATACGGGGGAAACTCGGCCAGGAAAATGGGGGAGGGCATGCTGAATCGCCTCAGAAGCACTTATTAGTTCTATAGCTGTTGACTGTTTTGCAGTGAATTCACGTGATGATGGAAGAAGGGGTTTAAGAACTTTATATATTACCAGCCACCGATTTAATGGTAAAAAACTATAGATTTGGCAGGCTCCAAGCTTTGGCCAGAACGGTCAAGATGTCCGTGTAGGTTTACGGTGTCTATTCAACGACTTGCAAAGTGGGATAGATTGTATCTGACATTTCACGAACGAGAATTTTTTTTCAAGAAAGCGAAAATACAAGTTATGAAGGCAGTGATTATACATCATAATGTAGCAACTGAACAAGACTTTTCCTGCGAGCACCACCTACCTGTAGATGCGAAACCAACATGTTCAGCAGAAGACATCCTTTACATTGACTCCACTTCAACTATGGCTGGTCCGGCCACGATATTATCATCACTCACGCCGCTCATACTATTTGTCAAGACAATGTAGCTCTGACCCTCGACACCTCCAGGAATAGTCACGATGAATTGACCATTACCAAGCGATTTGAGAGGCGCCCAGATAGGCCCGGTGACAGTTATAAACGCGGATGACAGGTTCGTACTTGTGGAGTTAAAACCGGGACCAGCCATCAAAGTCGCCGTGGATCCGTTCGTGACACTCTCACTGGGAACCATTGTTAGAGAGGGGAATGCTTTCACTGGAAGCTGCATGTTGGTGGAGGGACACGAAGTAATGAAAGGCGAAGCAACCGTGAAAACCTCATTAGGATCAAGCGGGTTATCAAAAGGCTGAGCAAAAGGGATTTGGCCTTGTGCAGCCCGAAGGTAGGCATTGTGACGGGCTTCTACGGAGAGGATGCTTCCTGCCGCAGTGAGATATGTTTTGTTGGTGATAGAAGCAGCTGCCCCAAGGTAAGCACTAACTCCGACCCCTGGGCAGAGAGTGTTAGCACCTCTCTTTTGGTATAAGGATGGTTGTTAATTACCCTCTAATACATTTGCAAGTGAAATAAAGCCCTTCGGGTCAGTAGCTGGGAACGAGTAGCTGCACTGTGCAACTGCTGGGGCACCCGCGGCTGAAAAGCGGTTGTCAATGATTGATACTTGTAATACTTGGATTCACATACCGCTTAGAGCACTTGTCAGAAACGCCACATGAGTCTGCTCGTCTGATGCAACCTTTTGCAAATTGGAATAGAAGGGGTCCGGAAATCCAGCATTCAGAAAGGCTTCATGGGTGTAATTTTGTAGGCCCTGCTGATAGAAAGTTGCTTCGAGATGTTCAAGCGTCAATGCGTAGTTGAGAATGGTTGCTATTTATTATCACTAATCAGTACAGAAGATTACCTCATGAGAGGAATGAGGGCATATTTTTGGATTGGAAAACATACCGTCATTGAGCGCACGTTTCATAATTGGTATGCCGTGGACAACGCCAGCAGCAGCACCAAACAATGCACAAAGACTGACCTTCATGTTCAATCTAAGATCTTTTACTATTGATGAAAAGAGAACAAGACAGAAATCTTAGTTAATTCAGAAGAAAAGGCACGTCAAACCCGGGGGCAAGGGGAAATTTGTACTCGATGCCAGATTCAATAGAGTATAGCAATTGCGTACCAGACTGCTCTAGAGCAATCTATCGAGGTCAGTTGATGCTCGCGGAAAACTTTACCGTCCGTAGTTATACGGAAGTCATGCTCTCAACCAGCGGGTCCTGTATACAATGATTCTTGATTTTCGCGTCATCACTCAGTTTGCTAATAGAAAGTGCACGAGAGTTGTACCTCGGGCCGCCCGATGGGGATCGTCCTGTCATCATTGGCGGATTCCGATCGATGATTTGATCTGAGCTACCGAGGATTTTCTCCGGAGACAGACAATCTATTTGGATGAAGATCACTAGCTTAATGATACGATTGGCCAGGCCAGATGGCTCCTACATTCGTGCCTGTCCAAGAAGGGAACGAAAAACAAAATAACGTGACTCCTGAGGCCGGAATAGGATAGGCGATTTCTATTTGCGGATGAGAAGAAAGGGCGAAACTTGGTTTGGGTTTGAGCGAACCTTCCAGCTCCTAGAATCCTTGGAATTGAAATGACTAGTAGATTGCAGAATAGACTTTGGACACCATGTTAACGAGAGAGACCGAGAACGAGAGCGAGACATTGAATTGCAATTATGAAAAATTGCAGTTCCCTTACCCAAGCTACTTCATCCGTTTCATCGTCGGCTACACCCACGAGGAGATTTCGGGTGTTATGATTAAGACATAGTATAAAAGCGTGTGACGTCATTGTTCATATCAAGAAGCAAGACAATTATTCCATCACTGGCTCGTAAATAGGCCCTATAACCTATCCCACGCCTGGAGCCAATATCGAGACAGGGACTAACCTTGGCATTCTGCTACGGCGGTTGAAGTGCAGGTGACGGTGAGGAGCAAAGCAGACTTCTAGTATTGGTTCTTGGGACGGACTGCTTAATTGTTTCCAAAAAAAAAAAATCGCTGCATTTCCCTGACTTCTTGTAACTAGGCCATGGAATATAGGATTGCGATCGCAACAAAAAAGGGCATATCAACAGAAATGCGTCGACACCACATGCAGAAGAGGAACCAACTAAACTTCGTTGTACCTTAGCTATATGTATCTGGCAGTGCATACTCAAGCATGCGCCTTGATCTGAGCTTCGATCCAATCCCACAATTCCTTTCCCTTGCCTTCCTCTAGTGCTTTGTAGATATCCTCCCTCGGATTTCGGGCCTGGAATCTACCCCACGGGATGATGAGCCCGCCCTGCTGCTTCTCTGTGATCTCTGGACTGAGGCCCGCATATAGTTCGGTATAGCCGCCTAACTTTGGTGGATGTAGCAGCCAGTTTATGAAGAACATCATGAGTTTGGTCTGGGTGTCGTAGATATGGGTCTTCAGGTTTCCCGGATTCTGAGCCACGCTGATGATACCGTCCTTTCCATAGCGCTTCCCGGCCTCGTCAGCAACCATCCAGTTTGCCGCCTTGGACATGGCATAGTTGGTGTAGGCGCTGTTGGTCCCTCCCTTCTCGATGTCCTCGAGGTTGTAGCCACCATTCGGGGATAACGACTCTACAGTATAAGAGCTGGTCCAAATGATGCGGACGCTGTTCTTTGGAGAGGCTACCGCCGCCGCCTGCAATTTAGGGAGGAGGAGCTGAGTGAAGAGAAAAGGACCGATGACATTGACTCCCATGTGGGCCTCGATTCCCTGCTTAGTCTTGGAGCCGACCTTCACAGAGCCAATCCCGGCATTGTTCCATATAATATCGAGGCGTGATTCTTGCTGGGAGAATGTTTCGGCAGCACTCCGGACCGCATTGAGGTCGTCGAGGTCGAGATGAAGGAACCGAAGGCGCGCAGAGCCGGATGGGTCCGTAGACACGATTTCCTTGATGGCCTGTTCAGCGCGTTCCTTAGAGCGACTGGCCATGTAGATAACGGCACCGGTAGGGTATAGCATCTTGATGAGCTCGTACCCAACGCCCTGGTTTCCACCGGTGACAATGAAAACCCGTCCCTCTTGGCTAGGGACATCTTTCTCGGTAAAGGTCGGTCGCGGCGGCCAGATCTGGGTCAGCGAGGAAGAGAATGCCATGGTGTATGTCAACCTCCAGCTTGTGTACGTGCAGTGATTTCCTCCTTCACGCTTGTCTCTGGGGGGCCTTATCTTCAAGGGGGCTAATCCCCTTGCGGGTCCCAAGGTAGAAAAGCGGAGTACGGCAGCCTATTAGCGGAGTAATGATGCTAAACACAGAAGGTAAGACGTGCAGGTCTGTGTGGCTGTCCATAGCTGTGAGTATGCTTATGCGCGCGTCGTTGCGTAAAGGGCAATACCGAATAACATCCATTAATTACATTCGCATATAGTGTGGCAGTTTGTGCCTTTGAAGTATACGACGACCAGTCATAAAGGGTGATAAGCCGCAGATCTGCGATAGGACCGGCCATCTAGCCCCCCTCCAAATTCTAAGGCTTTCAGGATTGCGGTGACCACGCCCTCAACTCCGCGCACCCTAAGTACAAGGTACAGCGGGCCTTAAAGATCATTAAGACTGCCATATAGAAATAGTGCCAAATAGTGTTCATTTTGAGTTACCATTATCTATAATTGAAACGGCAACAGCTCCTTATCGCATACCTCAGTCATACACCAATTTTCGAAAACAAATTCCCCTATGAACATTCACGGGTTGTATCTTGGCTCGTATCCGAAACCACCATAATCCGTATTTGTCTAAGTCGTAAATCACTATTTTCTAAAGATACATCCCTTCTATCTCCATAACACCTATGTGACTTATAATACTACGTCTTACACGACCCTACTATACACAGCCACCTCCGTGTATGTCTACTTACACGGCAATAAATAACAGCATAGAAAAGAGCTTCTGTACCATCCTTTTACAGACTCTGATCAGGCCCCATCTTGAGCCAGCATCACCCTCTCCTCCACGATCCTCCGCTCATCTCCTAGACTCTCCCTGCGTGTATACTGCAACACCAGAGGTTCCTTGCCGTTAACGACCTCCGCAGGCAATACACAATAATCCAAGACTCGTTGATTATCCGGTGGGACGCATCCAGGTTGGTCCAGCAACCCCATCACCAAAGCTTCATTCACCGACGGCCCTTTCTCCTCGACGGCGACAATAGCAGCCACGACGGGCGTTGCCATCGCTCCCAGATAAAAGCTCTGGATTTGAGGCGCCTGCCGCTGGAGACGAAGTGCCTGGCGCCGAACCGCCGGCGATCGACACTTGAGCGCTGTAATGAGCAGGGGCATGCCGATACCCATGTCGAAGACAAAGGGGGGTTGGTGGCCGTCATCACAGGCCGTGGCAGCTAGTGCCAGGGGGGCGTGCCTGAGGATTTGCATGAACTCAGAATCGTAGGCGTCGTATATGGATTCGCTATAGTTGATGGTTGTTTGAGTAAGGATAAGGATGCTGGTGTATGTCATTATTAGGCCAGCGATGATGCCGTCGTGGGTGTTTCGTCTGTCTAGAAGCCGGTGTCCAGTGGGTTCATGAGTATGAATGTATCGCTGAACCTCAGGCATTGTGCTAAATCGAGCATGCCAGGCGAGAATACGGTGTTCGAGGACTCTTTGTGGGATGTGAAGCGAACCTTCCGGTGTAGACGTTCCTGTGTGTTGTCTCGGACGAGCTACCTTCCAGTCACAGTCAAGATCCTTCCACTCCGGAAAGAAAGCATGAAGACGACTTCGGGCTTCGGAGAGGGAGAGAAAGGGGGTATTCGTGCGGGACTCATCATCGCTACAACTCCCCCCAGATATATGTGGAACACCGCCGATGATGAGTGCCCATGGGCCCATGCGCTGCAGCACAGATGTAATCACAATCATCGCCGAGGTGGGTGTAGTTATAGATCTTGCTAGTTGCAACCCCCGTTTATATAACGCTAGCGCTTCGCGGACATTCCCCTGAAGGATCTCAATGCAGATGAACAGAATGCAGCTAGCAAGCGCCACCGTGACATCCACCACCCCTCGTTCGATCTGCCACTGCAGCCTCCCTATGGACCGGGAGTACCATGTCAAGGCCTGCTGTTGACGTTGAGTCGGCACTGTACTGGACAAAAGGTGCGACGACAAGTCCCTGGACCGCACAGGGGGTGCACCATACAACCTGGACCACATAGGGGGCGCGTCATATAACCTGGACTGCACAGGAGGCGTATCATACAGCCCGGACAGTACAGTGGGCGACTCATACAATGTGCTCAGCGCGACAATTGCATCCCAGACAACAGGCTCAGCGCGGCAGATCTGGAGCACCGTCCCGCACCAGAAGCCGAAATCGAGCGTGTCGGACAGCCCTTGGGCGGCGTGATAGAAGTAGTATTCAAAGGCATGACGCTCGCCCTGAACAGGGGAGGATGCCGACAGTGGATACTGTAGAGCGGTGGATGGGGCGCGATCGTACTCGCAGTTTCGGCCCGTGCTTGTACACCGCGTGCACGATGGTCTCTCTTCTCCGCATTTCACTCGACGGATTCTGACCGAGTTAGAAGGGGATCGAGGCAATACCGGGACACTCACTTGCAGGTCTTGCATCCAGTTTTAGACTTTATGCTCTGAAAGGAATGGGACCGAGTCGTATAGGCAGACATGCTGGAATGCCTCCATATTCGGCGTGACTCCTGACATCCAGAAAGACTGGACTTTTTCGATGCGGAAGCTTTCAATATGATTGGCCGGCTCGGAATGATGTCATAGGCTATACCCAGTTGGGACAGGGGTGGCATCTAGAACATTGTTCCGTCGTCGGAACGATACTCGCAAGGTACGGGAAGACAATAAGACACAATAAGATAGTACTCTATTATTAGCTGTGCTTCAAGCCTTACAGCTACTATTAAATGCTTTATTACGGGCCTAAAATCTCATCTATGAGAGACTCTGTAGCTAATGAATAACAATAGAAGACAATAAGACAATAAGATAATATTGTGTTATTAGCTATGCTATTGGCCCTACAACCACCATTAAATGCTTTTGTCTGAAGCCCGAGGCCTTATAAATTTGGAAGTCCTCAGCCATAACTGGAAGTCCACATGCGTTGTACTTCAAATCTGACGAGATATAGCGAATTCGATAGGACGCTGGCCTGCCGATCAAAGTGATACTCAAAATGGTAAGTACGCTAAACGATGCTACGTCAATCGAAATTGTTGATATGGAAATAGTACGCGACACATTTGCTCATCCGCCACTACCTTGACAGGGTGGTCCCCAATTGCCTGGAGCAGCAGGTGGACCACCTGTGGACGCAGGTTCTGCGACTCTACTTTGAGTTGAGCTTGTACGGCATCGAACGGGAGGCCCATGTGGCCCAGACCAGCTTGATTCGTGCCAATGTCATTGTCTCTAGAGAATTCCGCGGACAATTTTGTCAATTTCTGTTCATTGAGAGCAAGCGAGCCCCTCCCGCCAACCGAATGCCCTCTGAACGATCGTGGGATAGGGCTGCAACGCAGCTCGCCAATTACATGGCAGCCTCAAAAAGAGACCTGGCGAGGCCATCAGATGCCCCCAAACTCTTCGGAATAGTTGCGATTGGCCGTTCTGTTCGATTCTACTCTATGGCCCAGGGGAGCAGCCGCCTGATTTCCATCAACAACACCATCTACAACTTCGTTCAGGACGCCGATGAAATTGAGGAATTTCTTTTTCAAATTCGGAGTCGCACGTTATGATTAGTTTCTCCAGGTAAATGGAGTTTCGTGAAGATTGTTACTTTCTTTCATGTACGATAGTTTAGTCCTCTCAATGAATCACACCCATCTGTTCGTTGACATGTTATTTGGTCCATCCCTATGTTAGAGTCTTCGTTCTGAAGCAGAAATGTGGTGCTCCCTCTGTATAGATTAGGCTCTTTTAACAGCTTCATCTTTTCAACCTTAAAGAAATCCATAGCAACCCTTCCTTTCTTCCACTTCCTTAGCCCCGAGGTTCTTCTTTCATTGCAAAACCTCTTTCCTTTTTAGAGAAAAATTAAAATATTGGACCAGAGGAAAGACCGTGGATTAATGTATGAAGAAGAAAATGAGCTATCCACGAGAACCGAGCTACAGGAGTACAGCCACATAGCTGGCGTTGAGCGAGAAATCCTATCACTCTATAATCTAGCTCAGCTGCCCTCGGGACAGACACTGTTGGTTCCTATGGCTAGGCGAATCATTTGGCGATTCTGTATAAATCTTTCAGTAACGTATCAAATACAATGGATACTAGAATAAACTCACGTCGAAGCCTCCTGAAAAAGCCATGACACCTTTAACTGTGGTCAATCGTACGTAATAGGCAAGAGAAATTTCCTTGTCAGCTGTTCGACCGATCCAAGCCGAGTCTGCGGTAGAAATAGGACGTATTGCACGAATTGCTCCACGGCCAATGACTACCATGAAGCCTCTCAGAGACTGCCGCTGGGTATTCATCATGACTTGACTTCCCGGTATTTTATAGCCAAAAATTGTGTTTGGCGCTTCATCCTCAGAAATAAGCTCAAGCCCAGCGATAGACGTATTCTCCTCGTCATGTAGAACAGAGACAGCGATTCTTGTGAGAGAACTTGGAATGAGAACGGTTTGAGTCACTAGGTTCTTCCTACAAGGCTCTTTTGTTTCCAGTTCATCTTGTACCGTTTTGTGGCATTTGAATGATCCACAGGCACCACAGACTACTTCCCAACGGAAATTGTTGACATTCTCTGCTCGATTTGCCAGAAGAGCGTTGTCGAAAGCCCTTAACATCACACACCTATCTCTTATCGACCGGTTGTTGATCCATTGGCGCCGTCTTGCTACAACTTGAAGATCTTCAAGATGGTTAGTGTGGCGGTAAGTAGCTCTCCAGTCCATCGATTTTGCGCTTTCTTCAGTTAGATGGCCAAGAAACCCACGGTCCCCAGTCACCAGGAATCGTGTTTTCCAAAATGCCTGGCTTTTAAAAAGAGCCGCCATGGTTCTTGAAGAACATCGAAGCCTAAAATAGTCCACCGTAGGGAGGTAACTTGCTATTTCCAGTCGGATCTCCACTGGAAGTAGATCGAAGCAATCTGGCACCAAATCCATATTCCTTATACACCACCTGTCGTACGAGGACAGCTTTGGCAAACCATCCCTGGCTTTGTAAACTCCATGAATAGGGGGCGGGCTGCCGGGATTCAAAGCCCCTAGTTCGCTTTTGTTCCATCCAGTGCCGTCTGCTAGAAAGACGCGAATAGGTTTAGCCTAATGCCTCATGAAATCGTTTATAATCGGAGAGAAAATGGGATCTTACCGATGCCAATCCTTGACGTGGGCGAATCTTTGCATGCTTCAAAAAGCATATCCAAACAGAGTTCGCCGTGATTGAAATGCTTGAGGAGGAGTTCCCAGCAGCACTCATGAACTATGAAAGCAGTTGGCGGGACTTTTATCGCATCGTACATCGGGGTGCCAAATGTCTGTACAGCGAGGTTTACCCAATAGCCCCAATCTATGTCACTCCTGAGGACATCCGACAACTGAACTCCGCTAGGAGTCAAATATACTGCCCTCAATAAGTAAAATGAATAGAATTATCTGCAATTTGCTGAAATACTCACTTGTGCGGTACCTCGTTAGCCAAGGCCATTCGTCCTGGATTTTCCATCCACAAATTTCTAATCCACAGGAGATGCATTGGACTCTGTGAGTGAACTCTGCCATGATATACTTACCGTACGGATGTCGAAGGACAGAGCGGGGTTGAAGACATAAAGGCACATTGAAAGGCTGGGAATAATAAGTAATCAGTCTAGTGGTCATAATTACATACATTTTCTGTAGACTCCGTAGTACGTTCCACTTCAGCCTCAATAGGTATTCCACGGGTAAGGCCCCCCTAATCCCGAAATAGAATACGGTGGGGGATATGTGGTCACGCAACTAAAATAGAAGGGCATGATATTTTATATTGGAAACTAGTAGATATACATTAGGTTCACTACCATCTTCGAAGTACTTGCCATTCTAAATAAGTTACAGAAAATTCCCTATTGATTATCTAGCATCTGCAAGTACAAGCTTTTGTATTACTGCCCCATAATAGTGATTATGATACGAAAATAGCGCCAGGGATATATCTTGACGACTATGAAAGGATGCGAAGAAATCTCAACCTCTAAGTAATATTTGGTTGCATTTTCTTTCTGACAAATTTCGACAGAGATATCGTTGTTTCTCCACTCATATCCCACAGGCACAGCAGATAAATTTTTATAGTGGCTACCTCAAACTGCGACGGCTGCGCTTCCCTCAGATACATTTTCTAGTGGCTGCTCCATTATAGTTGTACTGGGTTCTCTTCATTATCTACCCCAACTGGTGGAATACATCCGTGGATTTGGATTCCCTGCATGTGTCTAGCGGAGGGAAGGCGGCGGTTTATAGATGGGTGGAAGGGGCCTGCGGCGGTAGAAGTGGCCAGACGGCGCTAAGTACAGGGGCAGGGGGAAGAGCGCACTCTATACATGTTCTGCTCGCATACATAACCTCATCTTATTGAGTATTGTTGTTCAAAGATATTGGATTAAACGATCAGGCCTCTCAGCGAGCAGATCAGGGCGACACAGTGACTTAACGCGACCATACTACATTGACAATTCCGGTATCCAGCGAACAAAATCTCAATGTATTAAATATTGAAAGAACCCTTGTTCGTGATCTTTTAGCTCATGGCGGTTCGATGACAGCTGCGAGCTTCATGATGTGTGGATGACTAAGATCCTAGTAAAAACGCGCCGAAAAGGGTAGCCACATTGGACGCCATTTTCGGAGTCCGATTTACCGTCACCTAGTGTGGTGATGTAATAATGATTTGCAATCTCGGAAGCCTCCTAGAACATTCAGCACGATTATTAGCGGGTTGGTGTTGCTCATCCAAAGAACGTGGCGGACGGTGCCAGCAGCTTCTAGATGCTTCCACATACTTCTCCCACACTCTCACCTCCAAGTATAAAGAGAAGCCCCCAATCTACGGTAACAGACACCAGCACCAACTTCGATCATCTCTTGATCACAAACAAGCAACCAAAAACCATGGCCTTCTTCCCGCGCTTCACTGAGCTCTCGCCTCTGTTCCACCTGCTCGACGACTACGAGGCCCACCGCTCCCGCCCCACATGCCGTCGATCTACTAGAACACCTACTACATCCACCACGACCACACAACCCACCTTCACTCCCGCCTTTGACGTGCGCGAGCTGGACAGTGGCTACTATCTCGACGGCGAGCTGCCAGGCGTGGTCCAGAGCAATATCGATATTGAATTCAGCGACCCCCAGACCCTAGTCATCAAGGGCCGCACGGAGCGGGAGTATGCGGAATCCACCACCACGAACAGCAACAAAGATATCAAGTCTACCTCTCCTGCTTCGCGATGGCGTCAGCCTACCGTCCAAAATGAGGATGAGGATGAAGCTGCTCAGTCCAACACTGACTCTGATACCACCACCACAGCTGAGCCAGCCTCAAATCACGACTCCCCATACCACTACTGGGTCTCAGAGCGATCAATCGGCAACTTCCAGCGCACCTTCACTTTCCCAACGCGGGTAGACCAGGATGCCGTACGGGCCAATTTGAAGAATGGGGTTTTGTCAGTGTTCGTGCCGAAGGAGGCTGCGCCGCAGACGAAGAAGATTCGTGTTCTGTGATGGATAACTAACGGCGCATGATATACTGGTATTGATTGCATGGGCTAGGCGCGGTCTTTTTTTTTTTTTTTTTTTAATGATCATTTCATTTCATGTCATCCATGTACTGTACTATCTATCTTCATTATGATCTGGTCTAATTCAATTGGAATTGATTTGAGAAGTACACTACACGACTCTTTAGACGTACGCCTTGTCTTGGATGTTGGGAATTTGATTTGAAATCAAATATAGTATAAGCTAGAATAAGCAGGAAATAAAGATGTCAGCCTCAGATCTATCAGATCCATTACCTGGTCGTAGACGTGTAAGTTAGTGGTACTTACATACAGACACACGTTCAGACATGTGAAGGGTCTGCCCTGCATGCCAGCAGCAAGGGTTATAGAAAAAGCAGCCCTGCATGTAATCAAATAAATACTCCTTGCTGTCTTGTCTTGCCTGCGGAAAAAAACCAGCCACATGGGAGAGGCAGGTCGGACCAGCCATCCATGGCGCTGACCAGAGTTTGGGCTAGCACGGGAGGACTGTACTCGTGCAGCGTCGCACATGTGGGATAGATTATTCTACGACATACACGCACGGATAGATGACGGTCAAAAACATCAAGTGGAAGTGGGAATTTCGCAGCTCGTCAACACATCATATGGAACAAACGCCGGGCTTGAGTGAAAACCGCGTGCAACCCAACGCCAACGCTCCCCTCTGGGAGGAATGAGAAACCTGGTCCCCGTAACGCCGCCGAAAGAGAAGGGTATCCCATAAAAAGAAAAACAACAGAACAAAACAACCTGCGCCGGCTAACCGAAACAGAAAGAAGGGAAAAAGTACTCCCCTAAGAAATCACAGAACTTTTAGGAAACTCCATCCCCGCGCTCGAGAGCGAAGCCAAGTAAACACTAGAAAATAAAAGAAAATACACAAAAGAACAGGCGCATACTCAGTGCAGCACAAAAGGTGACGTCGTCATATGGAGATCCGACGGACGGGCCTTCATCAACTTCCGCCGGCGATAGTCATGGCTCCGGCTTCGAGGCCGGCCTCGATACGACTCGGGCACCTCTATCTCCATATCCTCGGGGAACTGCCCGTGGCCGGGGGATAGGATGGTCGGGAGCGGGGGAACGTCAATCCCCGGCTTCTGAGACCATGTTCGACTGCTCCGGCTCCGGGATCGGGAGTCCCAAGCATCGGTTTCTCCATGGACATGGTTGTGCTCGGAGAGAGCGCGATGTGACCGGTTCATGGGAAGCTGATGGTGGCGGTGTCTCTCTGGGACCGGGGGTGATGAACCAGGCCCGTAGCCAGCCTCGAAAGGATTGATGGGACACCAGTCTCCATACAATGGCCCTCGGGTCGGCCCCGTGGGAGCATTAGGAAAGACAGAGGCATTGTTGTACGGTCGACGGTCCTCCATAGAGCGGGGACCGCAAACAGTAGATCGTCGTCCGCGTAGTCCATTTGCGGGTTCAATCATGGAGCGAGTGGGATCATCACGCGATGAAGAAGCGAGCTGTGGTCGGGAGGAGTTCCTCGCGTGGACTTCCTGGAGACTCAGGCGGCGTTGTACCCGAGATTCTCGGTCAGGGCTCTGAGAATTGGACACCGGCACGTTCTTGGAGCTGTCTGCGCCACAGGAGACGGATGTCTGGGAATCAATGGACTCTCGGGTTCGACTACGCTGCTGAGAGCCAATCGAAGCCGCGGAGCTGTACCCGCTGTCCGATTTGTTCAGCGACTGAGTGGTCTTTTGACTGATGCTCGACTCTGTAGTGGTCTTCTCTAGCGGGATGTTCGCACTCTCAGAGGTCTTCACCTCATCACACATGGCAATTCCCTCATCCTCATGCTCTCCCGGAAACGCGGTCTTCGATCGTGACTGAACCGTAATTGTGGGCGATTTCTCGAATGAAAAGGGACTGCCCGGGGTGTCGTCCGCTTTCTTGACGTCCGCCAGAGGCCGGATCCTCAGCGCGGATCCTCTCGCGTCCGTAGTCTCCACATGATCCAGGCCAAGTCCAGGGCCCGTTGTGTACGGTCGAGTCAGAGGAATGCGTTCGCTCGGGCAGGGTGACGAGCCGTTGACAACCCGCAGCGATCCCAGTTTAAGTGCTCCAAGTTGAGTATACCGAGAGTCCATTGGGCTTGTGGGTCGGGCCGGAGGTGGGATGGGCAGCGGCGGCCGTTGACGAGCCGGCAATGGCCACTGCATCACGTTGGCCTCTATCTCTTCAGGACTCTCCGGCTCCCCGATGGTTGATGGCATCCGCCGAATGGCGCTCGTCGTGCGTCTTGTAGCGACACCAGGTCGTGTCAACAGAGAGCGCCGTCGAGTCAGCGAGAATCGCTGGTTGTCAACCAAGAAGTGAGTGTTGGATGAGGATACATCCTCAATCTTGCTGTCGTAGATCACACTTCGGTGCCGGGGAAGAGGAGTCTGGATTGAATTGGGACGCCTCGGCTGTTCTGGCTCCGGCTCCGAAGGGACATTGGTAGCCTCTGGCTGATAGGAATCTCTCCGGTTGAAAGGCGGGCTTGATCGATAGGTAGGGCGGGCCCCAAATGGGTGCTGATCGAAATTCTGCGCAAACACAGCAAGGTCCCGAGGCTCCTTGTCGTTCTTCTTAGAACGTTCCGGAAGTTCAGGAATCTCCGGAATATCCTCTGCTTCAAAGACCGTGGGGGGAATGTCGCGGGGCTTAGGATAATAGCTAGTCCTGGTCCCCGACGAAGCATGAGAAATATGGGAAGCCACCCACGGATTCTGCCATCCGATCAACCCCGTCGCGAGCTCGGGAGGGTTACCCGGGGGATGCAGATGAGGCGTCGAGCTGGGATCGATGTTGAGTTTCTGAGTAAGAGGTTTGGACAGCCGGTTGGCGCGGCGGGATTCATCATTGTTGGGGTTAGATTGCGAGTTGCCCATGACGTTCACGAACTAGATCAATAGCGTAAATGTCCCTGGAGCAGATTCACGAGGACATGCACAGCATGGGCCGAGACGGCGGAAGATATACAATTGCTGGATGGGCTGGGAGACCGGGCCGACGGGGGGCGACCTGGCTCAGATCTGAAGCTTTCCACGCGGGAGCATGGAGATTAGATCGGATCCCAGGCCGTTGACGTCAAGCCACGCCTTTATGGCTGCTGTCCACAGGGCGATCGATCCGGGCCCAAGCTGGTTTTGTTCCCAATCGGTGGTACGATTGGCAGGCGATGGTTGCCCGGCAGCTGCGCGGAGAGGATGGAGGAGCAGCTCAGTGTTTCAGATTGGTGAGACTGGGGAGGTGTGGTTGGACAGGGCTGGCACACACACACAGAGAGAGAGGGAGCAAGAGAGCAGGAAGAATGAATGGTTACAAGAGCCGACGGCCACAGCAGGGACCAGGAGAGCAAGAAAAGAGACAGAAATGGACCTGCTCCAGAGCAGGCAGAGCAAACTCGCACAGCCAATCAGGGTATTCGCAAACTATTATTTAACAAGCAGAAGCATTCATGAAACAAAGCGCGGGGAAGAAGGAGCCAGAGGCGCTGGGAAAGAGGGAGAGAGAGAGCGACCGAGTGAAGAACAGGGACGATACATAATAAAAAAGTGGACAAAACACATAAGCGACGAAAGCGAAGGCGCCAATCCATCGAGTGCGACGGACGGTGAGCGCATGTTGATGAAGCAGATGCAAGCGGACAATGTGATTGGGAGCCTGCGCCGCAAGCGGTTGGTACAGCGCCACACCCAGTACAGGTACTTGCTCCACATAGTAGATTAGAGAGTGGATCAGGTACCGGTACCGCCCTCTATCTGCGACACCGCCGATCCTTCCCCAACAACAGCATTGTCCTTGCCACATCCGGTGTCCTGCCTTGATTCATGGTGACTTCAGGCCTTGTTCCTGGATGGTTCATGCGACGACGACGTGGGAATTACCCAGATCGCCGACTCTCCGCCCTGTCCGCATCCGGGAAATGTTCCGTCCACCACGATGTCGGACCTCTCGCTCTCCGCGTTCCCTTACTTGACGCCGGCGGAGTTTTCCCGCGCGTGTCAAGCGGTGGCCCAAGCTGCCTGGGACCGGCCAGACGGAGGCTGGGAGACGATTCGACTCGTCACACAGGTATCATCCGGGACAAATTTTGAATAATAATATTATTAATAATCATGCGCTGATGGATGATGGCATTGCTCTATCGGCTAGTCCACTGGCTCTATGCTCCGGATCACACAACATATCACCGACATCCCGCACAAAACCGTACACTCCGCAGAGTCGGAGGCGATCGACGACGAAGAAGAAGAAGAACAAGACCCGGTCTGCACCTCCCAGCCTCCCCGAGTGATGTTGCACCGTCCTGACCAGGCATCACAGGAAGCCCTCGTGCGCGCCGCACCCAACCCCAGCTTACAGGTAGACTATGACATCCTGCTCTCGTCCACATACCGCGTGCCTGTCCTGTTCTTCCGGCTGAAATGGAACCACCACCATCACGGCCCGGTCGGACTCGACGCCGTCTATCAGTATGTGGTTCCCGAGCAGTATAGACAAGGATTGCAGAGCGTGGGGGTTATGGGGGGCATCAGTCTTGGCGTATGTATGCGCGCGCTCACGGCGACTCGTTGTCCATAATGAGCTCATCATCTCCGTCTCCCTCGCAGTACCACCCCGAATCGGGCGCCCCGGCCTTTTTCGTGCACCCGTGCAACACGGCCGACGCGATGGCGCACCTGGCGGACGCAAGGAACGTCACTCCGGGGGCATACCTCTTCATCTGGCTAGGCCTGGTCGGTCACTGCGTGAACCTGCACGTCCCGCGTGAGCTCGTTGCCCCCGATGGGACCAGCCCCCTTCGAGGACACGCATAATGCAAACAAATCGGCGCGTCGATCACTCCCCCCAGCCGCGGCCAACGAATGAGGCCGGAGCGAATGATTTAATCCTCGTCCGACGAAGCTTCCATGGGAACGTCACTGTCTTCCTCCATCGGGGCTTCTTCTTCGTCACTCTCCTCCTCCCGGGGTCGCTTCACGCCATGTGCGCCATTGACCTCCGGTTTGGGGGGCAGTGCGCCGGGGGGACCGCTGAAGATGGACTTTTGAAGATCCGTCGACACCGCCATTCCTTCAGCCGCGGCCGGTGCGATGTAGGTGCCACGCAGTTTAGCGATCACATTCGATTGGCCCTTGGCATAGACAATTTTCTGCACGCCCACAATGTAAGCGCTGGAAATATAAATAAAAGGATCTGATCATACCATCTCTTTTCCAAAGAAGTCGAACCCTTGAAGGGCGCGCAGGGCTTGTGTGCTGGCCTGGACATCCTTGAACACAATATGAGCCTGTCCTCGCATCTTGTTCGTTTTCATGGCCACGACGTCCAACACGGGCCCGTAGGTCGAGAATAGCGCGTACAGCGACAGCCGCAAATCATACTTGCGAAGCTTTTCTGGAAGGTTGGTGCAGTAGAGCCTAGATGGGATATTAGAGTCTGATCGCGTCTCAATGGCGGGTCACAGGGAGAGCTCACGTTTGGTTGGGAGGACCAGTGGCTGCGGCCTTGCCGTCAGCAGCACCGCGTGGGGGCATCTCGTTCGAAGGTGATCTTGGTGAGGTGGTTGAGATGGTCCGGGCTACTCTGTTGCGGGCATGAAAGAAAGGGGGTCGTATTATTAGTGTGGTCGAGGACGAGAAGCTCAAAATGCGAGAGGAAGAGAAAACCACTGGCGCGGGTCATGTGACCAATTACATAATAGCTTAGCATGTCATCCATGAAGCAGCCCCTCCAGCGCTGTCCCGCATCAACACCTAATCAACACTCAATCAAATACACGACGGTAGAGAGCTCCTCCTGTCGTTGACCATGGCCTCCCCCCAGGAGCACCACCTCTTCCACTCCTCAATTGCCGACCACTCCTTTTCTGCCGACAAGCAGACGCTGGCTGTGGCTCGGGAGAACAATGTGGAGCTGTACCGCATGTCAGGCAACAAGTTCTCGCTGAGCGATGAACTCAAGGGCCACGAAAAGACCGTCACCGGTGTCGACATTGCCCCCAACACTGGCCGCATTGTGACCTGCTCGCAGGGTGAGTTGGTCCCCACAATTTCTATTACTTATTGCTCACTCTCTAGACCGCAACGCCTATGTTTGGGAGCAGACTCCCGATGGCTGGAAGCCGACCCTGGTCCTCCTTCGAATCAACCGCGCCGCCACTTTTGTGCGCTGGTCCCCTTCGGAGCAGAAGTTCGCCGTGGGCTCCGGAGCCCGTGTGATTGCCGTCTGCTACTTCGAGGAGGAGAACGATTGGTGGATCTCAAAGCACTTGAAGAAGCCCATCCGCAGTACCATCACGACGCTCGCCTGGCACCCCAACTCTGTGCTCCTGGCCGCCGGGTCCACGGACTCGCACGCGAGAGTCTTCTCTAGTTTCATCAAGGGCGTGGATACCCGCCCTGAGCCGAGCGCATGGGGCGAGCGTCTCCCCTTCAACACGATCTGTGGTGAATACCTGAATGACTCGGCTGGGTGGATCCAGGGCGTCTCCTTTTCGCCAAGTGGCAATGCGCTCGCCTTTACCGGGCATGACAGCAGCGTCACGGTCGTGTACCCCAGCGCGCCGGAGCAGCCTCCTCGGGCGATGCTCAACATCTCCACCCGTCTCTTGCCCCTGAACAGCCTGATCTGGAACGGCGAGAACGAGATTATTGCCGCTGGTCATGTAAGTAATTTGGTTTGGTTATTCCATACCAGAGTGCTAATCATCGCTAGGATTGTGAACCTTTCCGCTTCCGCGGCGACGAGAACGGGTGGCAGCTGGCTGGATCACTGGAGAACAAGGCTGGCGCAGCCACCGGTGCCCGTGAAGAGTCTGCGCTGAACATGTTCCGGCAGATGGATCTCAAGGGCCAGGCTCAGGCCGACAGCAAGCTCAAGTCCACGCACCAGAACACCGTGAACACCGTGCGGGTCTACGAGGAGGCCAACGGGGCTCTGCGCTTCAGCAGTAAGTTGATCCTTTCTCCAAAACACGATAGAGACTGACAGTATCACAGCAAGCGGGGTTGACGGGCGGGTGGTGATCTGGTCTGCTTGAGTGCGTACATAAGTGAGCGAAGTATAGTAGAAATGATGCCTCAGGCAACAATATGACATAATTACCCCGGATTGTCTTAAGCCCCACTACAGGGATGCTTTCGTCCATCCTCTTCACACCCTTTCGCCATGGCCAAATGGGCTCTCTCTCTTCTGAGCGCATGTCTCTGCGCTCTAGCAGCCCATAATGACCCGGCTCACGACATCCCCCGGCTCTTCAACTCGCTAGAGGAGCTCTCGCGACTAGTCGACATCTCCTACTGCGTCAGCACAACCGGGATCCAAAAGCCCTTCCAGTGCCTCAGCCGATGCGTTGAGTTTCCAAACTTGGAGCTGGTAACAGTGTGTAACACTCCCTTCCAGAAGCCCCAGAACTGACACCCCCCACTTAGGCCTGGAACACCGGCCCCCTCCTCTCCGACTCATGCGGCTACATCGCGCTCTCCCACTCGCCGTCCCCTCCGCGCATCGTCGTCGCCTTCCGCGGCACCTACTCAATAGCAAACACCATAATCGACCTCTCCGCCTACCCACAGTCCTACGTCCCATACCCAGAAGACGGTAGCGATAGCGACGACGGCAAGGACCCCACGCCGCCAGCGCGCTGCGAAAACTGTACGGTGCACGCAGGGTTCATGGCCTCATGGCGGAACACGCGCGAAACCGTCCTCCCCGCTGTCGCTGCAGCGCTCGAACAGTACCCGGACTACGAAGTCACGCTGGTGGGCCATTCGCTCGGCGGGGCCGTCGCCGCGCTGGCGGGTCTGGAGATGCGGCTGAAGGGATGGGATCCGCTGGTTACGACGTTCGGGGAGCCGATGATTGGGAATAAAGACTTTGCAACATTTATTGATCACCAGTTTGGCATGGCCAGTAAGAGCAGCGACCAGGCCGACGGTGGTAGTGTTGTTGACCAGCGATTCCGTCGAGTCACCCACGTCAATGATCCGGTTCCGCTCCTCCCGCTTAGAGAATGGGGGTACACCGCACACGCGGGGGAGATCTTCATCTCCAAACCCGAGCTCTCGCCGTCTGTTGAAGATCTCCGGGTCTGTGTCGGGAACCAGGATCCAAACTGTATAGCTGGTGCTGACGCCGATCCCGCCGCGACCGTGCTCGATATGCTTCGCGACATCAACATCCCCATCATATCCTCATCAGATAGTTCCAGTTCCAGCGTCGACTGCTACAATTCACAAGACCCCGAACCTGAAACTGGATCCGCATCCGAACCCGAATTTGATACTGGCTCCGCAAACCAAGTCGTTCTCGGCACTCGGCGTGGTCATGGCCGTGACAGCTCTGCTGCCTGCGACGAAGGACACGCGCTGCATTCTCGGAAATGGGACTGGTCGTTTATTCCGGCGAGGTATAGGCTATGGGAACTCTTTTATGCCCATCGGGACTATTTCTGGCGCATTGGGCTTTGTGTTCCCGGCGGTGATCCGACTGGGTGATGTTGACACGATGAGATGATTTTCTGGCCTTTTGGTTTATACGTACTACCATTTGATACCACCGTTTGGAGCTCTTGGTTTGTTCTATTGTATAAGGGGCTATGTTATATATATAGTCTGGATTTTTCTCGAATTTACTTTACTTGAAATCTACCTCGCGCAAAGGAGCTATGCCGTGAATATCCAATTTCTTGGGCTGTGGACCATGTGCTTATATCATATTACCTGTCCACATGATATGATATCGCTCCAAAAACAGATGAGAAAAGAAGTGGTACCTCGTGGCATGCCAAACAAACAGGAGAGTCAACGCAATAAATATCCAAGAAGGTAAACAGAAGATAAAAAAAAACAAATACCGTGTGTGCACTGCACCAACTTAACTAAAAACCGCCAATCAACACCACACCTTACCTTCCATGTTCCAAACTCGGCACAATAACAGGACCATACTTGACCACATTCCCCAAGGATCCGTCACCCTGAACCATAAAGTCCGCCGCAAGACTAAGCTTCCCATTAGGACTCTGCACGGGGCCCGGATGACCCGAATATGGGGTAACAGTCTCAGGATCATAGGCGACGATAGCGACGTAGTTGCGCCGACCCATCAGCTTGCGGTGCTCACGCGCCTGGCCAGAGACATCGGCCTGGAAGATCTCCATCATGTCTTCTTTTGTGTCTGTGGGCTGGGATGGCGTGGAGCGGTGGCCGTTGGCCGGGACATAGAGCGGTTTGTTGTAGCTGTGGAGTAGCTTGATGATGTATGAGGGCGGTGGGGTGTTCACGACGGGGGAGGAGATGAGCTGGTACATTGTCTTGTGGTCGGATGGTTGAGATGGATCGTGGACGAGACCCGCACCGCAGACGTTCACGGAGCCGGAGAGGAAGGTCATCCGGAGGGACTTTTGGTGGGCGATTCCCTGGAGCGTACGGATGAGGTATGTACGCTCGAGGTCCTGCGTAGGGTGGGTTAGTTAGCAAGTTTCCATAGAATGACATGCGACAACATAACATACCTTTGATTCGTGAGTCCATTGATCGCGCAACTCGTCCATGAGATCGAACTCGCCGAATGGACTCAGAATCCCACCCATAAGCCCGGATTTACCCACTGCACGCTTGACCGAGTCGAAGCCTGAGCCGACCACGTCCTTGGCGCCGACCACTCCAGCCACGGAACTAGTCACCTTCCCCAGGACGTTATACGCACTGGTCACGGCGCGCTTGCCTGTGGTGACAGTTTGCGCGATATTCTCTGCCGTTCCCAGTCGAGGGTAAATGACGGGCACAGGAACCATCCAGAGGCAGTGCTGCACACTAGGGGGCAACATGGCGACTTTGGGGAACAGACCCTGGTACGTGGGACCGGCCATGACTTGATGCGGGTTGCGCTCGGAGCGGCAGTCGGGGCCGACGACGACGACGCCGGGACCAAGATATTTGACGAAGTGCCAACCCGTGCCCGTGATCGTGAACAGATCCATATCGTTGTTGACATTGCGGAGAATGTCGAGGGTGGTGTGGTGCTGGAAGAGGAGGTACATCTCGATACCAATGCGGCCGATGTTTTTGAACATGTTTGAGAACTGCATGTGCTCGGGGTAAGAGCCGAAGCCATCGAAACTGGGAAGAGATATTAGGTATGGTTCATTAGAACGGGGACGGAGGACAACTCACATGTCGTGGTCATCGATCTGGCAAATATAAGGAATCTGTGCAAACGACTCTCGCAGATAAGGCTGGTCGAAATGACTGGTGTAGTAGTGGAAGTATGCGTGGGAGACATCTTGCTCGTGCGCCGCTGCCCAAGGGGCATTCTTCCGGGCTTCCTTCCCACTGATCCCCAACCACTGCTTGAGGGACGGAACCTCCTTCCACATGCGATCCGCATAGATTTGGCCACCGATACACAATTGAGTGTGGAACCCTCCGATTTCGTTGTGCTTTTGCATGATATCCTTCCACATGTAGCCAACCCCACCCAGACGAGATCGCTCATTGGCATTCACGTTGATGGAGAAGTCGTTCCCGGAGGTGGCAATGAACCGCCAGTTGGTTTCATATCGACCCGCGACGAGGAATTCGTAGCGAGTGCACCCGAGGTGCGAGGTGATGGCATAAGTCCATTTTGCGGGACCATGTTCATCCATGCGCACGTCGACCTCGTACTTATAGAAGATCCAACGCTGATGAACTGCAATGTTGGTTGCTTTCAGCTGTCTTGGGCTTGGGGACAGATCCACGCTCTGGTGAAGATGGATCGTCGGTGGCTGCTGGGCATCCGTCACCAGCAAGATGGAACCCATCCAGAGGCCGCGCTCAAGGTCCATATTGGTGTATCGTAGATAGGGACCGAAGTAAACTCCGTTCGTGGGGGCGGTCTTGTAAACATCCACGCCACTGCTCGGAGGAGGCCCCGAGAAACCCGACATGACTGGAGACTGCAAACTCTCAAATCCAGGTGTCAAAGGTACGCCTGGCGACGCCATTGGCTTCCCAAATGCCGAGAGACCTGGAGAGGTGATAGGATGACCACCATACACGCTGCCCACGGGGGACAAGGGTGTTTCGTTGAGGTTCAGCGGTGTAGGTCCCTTGGGAAACTCCCACTGGGTCGACTGCGTGGGCAAGTGAATATAGTAGTACTGTCCTGAGCTGGGGTCCAGGTGCGCAATCCAACCCTCTGGAAGAGGCGGAGGAGATGCCGGAGGAGGTCCACCAGCCGTGGGCGAAGTGATCTGCTGCTGATACGCTGCGGCCTGACTGTTCACAGCAGCGCTCTGTGGGGAATGTCCCATATTCTGCTGCAGCCTCGGGTCATTGGCGAACGCGGGATGATCCTGCGTAGACGCTGTTGGCGCTGGCGAGGCCGCGGACCCAATGGCCGCAGCCGCCCCAGCAGCTTGACTAGCCGTTGCTGGATGCTCCCCGGCGGGACCGGCAGATGCCACAGCCGCAGCTCCATTCGGCTTCTCGTTCGGATATGCGCTCGATGCAGCCGAGCCGGAGACGCTGGAGTATGCCGGAGGAGGAGAGGAACTAAGGCGCATTCGGTCCATATCCTGCTCTAGCGGATTGGGCGCAATTCTCGACGGTGGTTGCTCCTGCTCCTGCTGCTGCGGCTGCGGCACTGGCGTAGACTGTTGGGATGGAGGGCCGCTAAACTGATATCCCCCTGCTGGCGGATTGGTCGGACTCACAACCTCAGCACCCTGATAGACCGTGGGAGGCCCATGAGGCTGTGTGCCCGGCTGCTCAGTCGGAGTCCATGGCCGATGCTGTGCCGGCTGCTGCCCAAAGTATTGCTCAGCTCGTCTCTGAGCCGCTGCACTCTGCGACTGGATCCCCGAAAGCGTCGAGGTGCCTGCAATACCAGCCGCAGCGTAACGGGCCTCGATATCATTCGCAGGCTGCTGGCCCGGTCCCACAACCGGCGTCTCCGGCGGCGGGGGCGACCCTCGCTGAGCTAGGGTGGTAGACGTCGAGGCAGTTGAGTTGATCCGATGGACGGAACTGTTATTCGCCTGAGGCGGCTGAAGCATGGATGATGGTCTTGCTTGAGGCGGAGGATAGTACTGTTGACCGTAGTCCGCATACTGGTTTCCATCCAATGTACTCCCCGCCGCCGGCGGGGCAGCAGGAGGAGGACGAGGGTACGGCCTGTTTGCGAGTGTGTCTCGGTCCGGCGCATCTGCAGGAGACTCGGGGAGCGGTCTGGGCGCAGCACCCCGTCGCTCGGCCAGCGTTGCGACTCGACCCTCCCGGCCGTCGCGCGGTCGTAGAGCGTGGGGATAGTCGGCCGGGCTTATAGCACCGGAACCAGCCGGTGGAGACCCATATCGATCCGTGGGACGACCATCGCTGGAACTCGAGGTACGGGTCTGGAGTCGAGGTCGGTCGTCGGGGTAAGGCAGCGGGTTAATGGGCGGGCTGGATGCGGAGGCTGGAGAGGCGGAATCCCGCTTGTTGATGCGCAGAGGCTCGACGACAGGTGGTGAGTTGGCTGCGTTGTTGGAGGAGCCCAGGAAGAGCTCGCCGTCCGGGTGCAGAGCACGGGCGCTCCCGCCAGGACTCATGGTTCAGGACTACTGCAGATACTCTCTGGATAGATGCGAAGTTGCCAAAAAGAAAAAGTGGTCGCAGACAGGTGCCAATCACAGGGCGGCGATCGGAGTTGGGTTTCTTCAGGCAGCGATGAGGGGCCGTAAGTAAGCCGATGATGGCGGGGCACCACAGCTCGGTTGAAGTATGGAAGTCTGTATATAGGCCGGGAAGGCGTTGCAGGGGACGGGCAGAGAATGATGCAGAAAGATAAAAAAAGAAAAAAGTTCAGGGAATGTGTCAGGGGGAAGAAAACTAAGTGTGTTCACAATATGAGTTAAGCGCCGTGTTGACGCCGGCCCCGCAGGTGATGAGAGGATATCACGTTCGACGGGTTGTCATTGGGGCCTGAGGCTGGCATGGTCATCATCGTTTATAGTCGTACAACATCCGAACTAGGCTAACCCTAAAACACCAGATTACACTCCATCCCACATGCTGTGCCCGTGAAATCCAAAAAGAAGACAATAAAAACGCCCATTAAAATCCAAAGTTCACCATATGAAGTCGTTCCTGGGCCATCAGCTCCACCCAGTCGACATCCATCGTGTGGCCCACACGCATCAGTCGCTCGAGTTGTCGCTCATAGACCACCTGGAGGATGGCGCGCGTGGTCGCCGCGTTCCGGCCGATCTCTTCCTCTTCTTCCATGCTGCTCATCAACTCCATCGCCATCATCTTCAGTCCGCTGGCGGACGCAGTTGCACCGGCCAGGAATAGCGGGAAGATCAAAAATCTCCGATCGGCCCGCTGAGAGTGTGCGGCTTGCTCGGCGATGCGCAAGATCTCCGAGGCGTGATGGTCGATCTCGCCGTCTGTCGCGAACTCGGACTCCAGACGCTGCGCGGGCCACATGCTGCTGTAGGAAAACAAGTGGCAGACATGGAAGAGCGCAATCGACTAGAATATAATTAGTCAAAGACATTTGAAGGGTAGGAGGATGAATGTACCTGCTGCATCAAATCCCGAGATCGGGCGGGAAGGCTGTCTTGATGCCGATGGCAAAAAGCAACGTCAGGCGCCTCCCAGAGCCGTCCAAAGGACTGTCGTAATTGGCAAAGCTCCTCCGACCGAGGATTAAAGTCCGCATATGGCAGGTTTTGCTTATCCTGGCGGAGCCGAGCAGCCAAGAACCCAAGTCGAGCAGCGAGCATAAATGAGTCGTAGTATAGGCGCATGAGAGTAGACAAACTATTGCTCTCGTCGCCATAGATCACACTATATCCCTCCGGCGCCGAAGGGGAGAGGAGGCAATCGGAGCTCGGAAGCATATGGTGATCGATGACGGCTCGCACAAACTCGCCCGTCCCAGCCCCGCTAAGTAGAGCATACAAGTCGATATGACAGACCCACCAGAGCACGAAGGGGTGCGGCTCTCTTCCAAACCTATCCCGCCGGAGAAAAGAGATGTGGAGTAATCGGGAGATATGGTGGGACCAGAGGTTAGAACCGTGAGGCTCGGAGGCTGCGACTTCGTAGATCAGAAGCAGGAAGTGGGTCAGGAACAGCCCATCCGAGATGAGATCGTCATTATTCCGCAAGCTGGTCTGGAGCGATGGGAAGGCTTGCTGGTAGTACTGCAGCGCGTCAAGATTCTGGACTGCACCAGTGAGCGACAGACTGAGGGCCGACACAGCTCTGATTGCGTGAGAAAGCTGGATTCCATTAGCCTTGATAAAGTCTTTCGATGATCGACATTACTTACGGGAGGGAAATGAGCTGCTTCTCGCTCGATCAAATCCGCGCTCAAGGTCGATCCATGGCCCTCAGACCAGTGCGGATCGCCCACCCCATGAGCAGTCGGAAACAATTGTCTCCATACCACGTCGCGGAAGTGGGCGAAGAGCATTGCATCTTCATTATAATAGTCATTGTGCGGGTCAATGACTAGATCCCCGAACAGTTGAGGTTTAATATCGTCCTCGATATCACCCTCTGAGGGGAGAGACGCGAATATAGGCGACAAGGAGAGAGAGCAGAGGGGATCGGAGATCTCCGAAGTGGGTGAGACTCGCGAGACTCGGCCGATGGACGACGAGCGCCGCGTGGCATCTTCAAAGGTCTTCAAGATGACCAAGTTGGGGTCATCGTTTGACACGTTCTCGCCTTTGAGTCCATTGAGATTGAGACTGAGGGGGCTGATGTCGGCAGATCGCTGGGATTCACCCGAGGATCTTGGTTTCGTCCTCTCTGTGCCATCGTCTGCATACTCTGGCAGAGTAGAGAAACTGTCCGGGACGACCACCACATGGTATGTTCCCGGGCTGGTAGCCTCTGCTTTCCTTTCCCGCTCCTCATCCGTCGTGAGTAGCGCAAAGGGCGGGAGCGAATCGTCGCCCAAGCAGAAATAATCTGATCGGTCTTCGCTGGGAGTAGGGGAGGTAACTAAATGCTAGTGAGCATCCTGAGAAAAAGGGCAGAGGTGGAAAGCCTTACGATCCCAGACAATATTGCCCGCTGTTTGCACGTCTGCCATGCGACCCATGATACGCGGAGTATCATCGCGGAAGGCGAGTCGCGGTCGGTAGTCGCAGATGTGACCTAGTCGAGCACATTGCTATTCAGGTGTTAGCGACTGTTCCGAAAGGAGCGCAAGGTTCCAATGCCTACATTGCATTGTGGATGGCCTTCATCGCACTTGACCTTTCGACTCTATACGATTCCCACGTCAATAAAATGGCTGATCCGCTACCAAGCAAGAGTAACATACCCGACACGTCCTAGGAGACTGTTAACCTTGACCAAAAGAGAAAGTCGGGGCAAACTTACCAGCAACCCGTCCTCGAGCGCGGCGGCAGGCGGATGCGGGGAGCGATCAAATTGGCCTTGTCGACGGCTTTGCTGAAGGCCGTTGTATCGATGATTTCCTCCTTGGGTGCAATGATGGGAAGTCGCAAGGTGCGCTTTGCGGAGGCATTATTGCCCCGCCGGTTTTGCATCACTAGGCTTGTCGCCGTCATAGGGCTGACTGACGGTGGATGCTGTGGCACCTGGGGTCAGCGATTGACCTAATGGGGCACCAGCCCGGGACGGAATGGGACGTACCTGAGGATAATAATGGGGATGGACGATGGTCCAGAGAAGAGAAGCGAGTGAGAGAAAGGGAAGAAAGGAAAAAGCAAACGAGAGTCGTTGAAGTCTGCAAAGTAACTTGGACCCGGCGGGAGTCGGCGGGGCAGGGCGTTAAGTACCGTTCACATCACCAGCAGGAACATGGGCCTGCTGCAGGAAGACTGGGACTGCATGATTCAAAGTTGACGGGTGGCGGGCGCGCAGCAGAGTCAGGATCGAACCGGTGACTGGTTAGGAACCCATCCGGTTCGTCCGGCGGGGGGGTGAGAGAGCGTGTATGTGAGGTGAGAAGAGAAAAAAGACAGGGAAGAGAGAACGAGAACGAGAGGGAGAAGCGAACAGGGCAGAAGGCAGACCCAGCTAAAGCTCCTGCCGGAATCAGAACTTACGGCGGGGCTGGCTGAACAAACAACAAGTCCAAAAAGAAAAGCCGGAAGCGAGTTAAACTCGGAGCCGAGAAAGAAACAGAGAGGAAGAAGGGTATGGAATGAGAGCAAAAGAATGGACCAGATCGGCCCGGCCAGGCCTCGATCTCCCCGGACCACACAGAACTGACAGATTTCAATAGTCCCAGACGACTAACCCGAACCAAGTCTACGGACATGCCCGAAGCCTTAAGCGAGTGGCGTTTTCGCTAGACAGCCCCAAATTAGGCCGTTATGGTTGGCTTCTATTTTCAGATACAGACGGACACACTAGTTAACAGGGGGTGATCCTCCACGTGGACTTCCTTCACACCAGGCCCAGCGCTTGGTCCAGAATGCCCTGCACACTCGCGGAGCGCTCGCCGTTCCTCCATGCACGTAGCGTCTCCCCGAGGGTGGCCGGAATGCCTGGCGGTCGCAGCTTCAGGTACGCCAGGGTAGCCTCGGCGCGTCCCTTGCGCAGCGCCTCGACGGACCCATCCAGGTCGCGCGTGAGAAGGGCCTCTACGAGGGCGGTCAAGGCCACAGCCAGGGACCAGTCGTCTTGGACCCGCTGGTCCACCCGCGTGAACGCCCCGGGGAGGTGGTCGTAAATGGTCCGGGCGACAGGTCGGCCGCCATGTGCCAGGGCCTGGTCCAATGGCCCGGTTATCCGTTCCATGTTTTTTCCCAGCACTGTGGTTTGGCTTAGCGGGGCTGGCAGCACGCTAGGGGATTTTCCGCTGGCGGCGGGGGCTGACGGACCTTCTTGGGTGGCGGGCGACGCTGAAAAACATTGCAGGAGACACTGCGCGCAGGCAGCCAGTGTGTCATCCACCCCATTGCCAGCACCAGAGTCAATCTCCATCTTGTCGTTCGCGTCATCGTCGGCCACTAATTCCTCCACCACGGGGGGCACAATGGTCAGCGCATCGGGCATGAAATCCACTTCCGGACGGGCCCGCGCTATCTCGCCCAGCGCACGCAGGCCATGTGGTCGGTAGGCGGCGTTGGTTCGCTTCGCCTCACGCACAGCAATAGTCTGTCGGAATGTGGGGAAGACGCTATTAGTATTTCAAATTTCATCGTAATCGTGTATGCGGGGCGGAGTGGCAAACCCTACCTTCATCAGGTCCCGGAGGTTCGTCTTGTCTTGCCACAGCTTCTGCGCTTGGCTAGCAAATTTCACCAAGGCCTTGAGCACCACTTCCTTGCCCTCCCAGGTCTTCCCCGATAAGGCCTTTTCCAACACGGGCCAGACCAATTGGGCCGTGGGCAAATCGATCTCAGTATCGAGAGCAAGGATAGCCTGGGCAATGGCTCGGGCAGCCGTGTGCTTGATGGCCCAGCGCGGGGAGTCCAGATTGTCTGCGACGAGTTCGACAATCTCCCGGATGTAGAGCGTCACTGCGCGGGAGCCGCCGACATTAGCCTGCCACGTTTTCTCAAAGTCATCTTTCACGTGGTCGTCCGCATCATGCTTGCAGACGAAGACAAAGGGCAGAGCCGTTGCGGCAAACGCCATGAACCGGTCGTTGGATAATTTGGACGACGAGTGCAGAATCTCAGCCGCAATGGCTCGTGGCGTGGCATCATCAGCCGTCAGATAGAGCTTTTTGGCATAGTCAATGGTCTTGAGAACCCGGTCGTCCGATGCCAGTCGCATAAGATAGCCCAGTGAAGTGCAGTAAGATGCGCTAACGGTCTCGTTGCGGTCGACTACATACTTGGAAAGAAGCTGGATGAACCGATCTGCATACGGGCGGAACAGCAGTGTCTTCATACTCAGGAGCACCAGCACACGACTGCAGCCTACTTTCGAGGGCAGTCCCACCGCAGACCGGAGCACATCCTCCAGCTTGAATGTCAACTCCTTCACATTAGTCTCGTCCACGGTGTCGATCAAATACCGTTCGATGACTTCCATCATGGGGGATGTGCGAATGCTGGAGAGTCGCATCTTGTCGATCTCCTGGCCGGTCAAGCCGTACTTGTCGGCGTTGAGGTGGACGTAGTTGACGGCTTGCGGCTCGAGAGAGCTGAGAGAGCCCAGGAACTTTTCGAGAATGGTGGGCACAAACGGCCGCAACAACCCGCTGGGACTCTTCTTGATGATCTGGACAAGGGCCCCAATGGCATACCCACGCACTTCTTCAACGCTAGAATCCAACCCTGTATCGCTCAGGAGGAATGGAATAGCGCTTCCAAGCAAACCGCTCGCCCGCTTCTCCGTACCACTCGTCTCGAGCGTGCGAATGAGGGAATTGGTGATTGTTTGACAGAGTTTGAGAGCCGTAGTCCGCACCGACTCCTTGATATCGTCCAACAGTTTGAAAGCCTTGCTGTAGATCTCATCCAGGTACTTGGAGTACTTCTCTGGGCGACGGCCCTGAACCAGGTCTGCAACGGCAGCACAACTGGCCTGTCGGCCGCGCCATTCGCGCCCAGCCAACATGCTTTTCAACAAGTCCTCCATAATTTCGTCAAAATGGGCATCAATGACAGCATTCGGGTCTTTGACTAATGCTTGCCAGATCGTGTTCATGGATCGTTGGACGTTGGGATTGGGATCAAAGCGGTAACGGAACAGTTTCGGGTAGATCTTGGGGTTTTGCGAGAGATAGCCATTGACACTAGAGTCGGAGAAAATAGTACTGATTCCGAATCGTCCAAATGCCGCTCGATTTGTCCACAGTGCGTTGTTAGAAGCCAGTGACATAAACCGATAAACCAGTGTCGGGTCGCCAGCCTCAGCGGCTAGGTTCATGATATCTTTGTAGGTGCTGATGGACGACCCTTCACCGGTAGGAAGAGCACCGGGCTCAAAGAGCTTCGTGTCTTCAGAGACGTTGCCACCTCCCAGATTGGGGCCTGTTGCTGTGAAGGACTCCACCAGATCACGGACCAAATCATCCTTCAGCGCCTGGTCACCGATCTCGTAAACCAGACTAAGGCCATGAGCACCGGTCTCCTGCACCACCTCATCTCGGTTCCCAAGAAGGCTTGTAAATGTTGCCTGGCACTTCCGTAGGCGGTCTTGCATTTCCTGCAGGTGACCGCAGTTCTTGACCAAAGACAAAAGCCAGATGGCCGACGCCTTACGAAGAGATGGTTTGGGGGCGACGCAGTCAGCTATGATCTTGTCGCAAACCTCCACAAACACTGTGCGCGGAACGCCAGAGCGGGGGAATTCTCCATCGATATCGAATTCTTGAATCAAAGCCCGGGAATCCCACCCAATAGCAACGTTGCTCAATGCCTCACCCACCGTGAACTGAACTTCCGGGCTGCGAATCTCATGTAGCCCGTAGAGAGAACTCATGAAATCAGCAAAAAGAGAACCGTTCGAGGCAGACCGAGAGAATGCCAGTGTGAGCAGGCCAAGTGACTTGATGGGAGTTTCGTTCTCCATTTTGGCATCCTTTGACACTTTGTCTTTGACCTTTTTCCATCCGTCTTCAGGAAGCACTTGGGATGACAGGATCCCCGAAAGACTGAGCTGTCCGATGGCTACCTGCGCAGTTCGTTGCAGAAGAGTGTCACGAGAAGCGTCAAGCACATCCAGTGTTGTATCAATAAACTGTTTCACTTGCGCTTCGGGAATTTTATCCAGTAAATTGCGATATGCAAGCCTGCTCAACAGATAGGACAGTGCCAAAATCGCGCCACGAACTCGGAGCGCGGCTTCACCCACTGCAGTATTCCATGTTTCAACAGTACCAGTCAGCTGCGTTACAAAACTCTTGAGCTGGTCTTCAGCGAACGCAGGATGAGAGACTAGAATTCCGAATGCCCGAGCTGCTACTTCCTGGATGTCCTCATTGTTGCTGGAAATTGGCCCAGCCAAAGACGAAGCCCGCGAGAGCAGCTTTTCAACAACGTCGTTGGGAGATAGGGAGCAAATCTCCACGAAATTGACACCACATTGCCGCATGCCTTCACGTCCTCCAGAAACAATCCCATCGAGTGTGCCGCATAAGAATGACAGCACAGACTCCTTTGCTGAATTTCGAATGTATTGTCTCACGGCAGATCGTGCTTCTTCACTGGTGGAAAGATGCACTTCAAGTTTGTAGTCCCAATCTTCCTGAAGGTCGACGCTGATGTCTGATGCTGAGAACGCTTCCCAGATAAGGGTGTTGCGCAGGAAAGAAATGGCTGGCACAAATGCGTTCTTGTAAGGCCCTGATAGAAGTTGTGATGCGGACATAGCTTGGGCTGTCGAAGATTCCTCTTGCTCTCCCGAACCGAGTAGAAACTGAGTCGCCTCGGCGAATTTGGGGAAATCAAACCAGGATTCATCATGTTCTCGAGCTGAGGGGGCATCCCACTTTTTCTCTCCTGTGGGATTGAGGAGCCGATACCAGTATGGGTGAAGACCCTTCTTCCCTTCCTCGACGATCTCTTGCTGTCTTTCTGGCCCTCGACCAACGGCCATGAGGTCGACCCAACGAGCCACCACATCGCTATAGGGCAAGAATCGATTCGCAAAACGCACAGCGGCATATTGAACACCTCGCACAGCCTGGTATCCAGTTTCGGGATCCACATCTCCGGGCTGCATGCTCATCAGACGAACCAGGAATGGCCGAAGCTGATCTTGGAAGTCTTTGTCATGGCTGTCCAAGGATGAATTGAGGATGCTTCCAAGCGCCTGGTCAATGCTGACAAAAATCTGCGGACTCGAGTCATCCGCACTCAAAGACGTGAACAGCCATCGGACAAGACCGAACTCGAAGTTCTCCATCTCATCATCTCGAATTTGGAAGTCGACTTTGGGGACCATGATCCCAATGCTTTCATAGGCAAGCCCCCGCAAGCTTAGATCTGTTGCAGGCAACTTTATCCCGCTGGCTCCTGGGCTGGGCCACCCTTGGGACTGGATAAAGTCCCTTAATCCGGCAACGAGTTTGGGCGCGATTTGTTTCAGATCGGAAGGCGAACCCATGCGGACTACCCAAGTAGTAAACGTAAAGATCTGAGTTCTTAGTTTGGACGCTTGGAGTCCCTGGGAGGAGCGTGCCGTATCAGATAAGAGTCCGTCTTCAATGAGCCTCAGAATCCTCTGGGGGTCTCCTGTAGCTTTGATTGATTTGCCCAAAAAGACCAGAATCTTCACCTGGAGCGGCGGTCTCACGGGGAGGGGTCCATCGGCTGTCTCAGAGCCGAAATATAGATCATATAGCTGTTGTACGACGTCCGGGTTTCCAAGGTCCGGGGCAAATCGCTTCAAAGTTTCATCGGCCAGATCGGCCAGGCGGGAATTCGAATCAGCCGAGGCAATAACACATGGCAGAAACCTCTCGGCATCAGTGAAAGCACCGCTCCCCAAGAAGCGAAGTGCAGTGGCTTTGGTTTCGGTCAGATTCAAGCCACCACTCGCCGATGGATTCCATGTCTCGTTCGCAGGCGCACCCTTATTGAGGAATGTATATTCGTCTGGCGATAGACCAGGGCAGGTCGGAGACTCCTTGGCTACCGGAGAAAGAAGTAGCAACTTCCCCAGCCAGAAGGACAAGAATTGGGTATCTTGGTCAGATAACCCGAGACGCTTTTTCAAGCTCACATCATCCTCGCTTCCTTTTGGGGGCAGCTTAAAAAGAGGCAGCAGCCTCAAAACAAGGTTGAACACGATGGCACCCTGAGTGACGGACGTGCCAATCTCCGAAATGCCCTGGAGAAGCGGGAGCAAGATCTCAACTCTGGCCCCAGAACCAAGGCGATCGATCCCCTGCTGAGCGTACACAAGATCAAAATGCCGAACAAGCTGGGACTTTTGCTCTTTGAACTGCTTGAGCAACGCCGCCACGGGGAGCTGAATTGAGGGGGCTTTGACGCGGGCGTTCACATGTTGGCAGACGGAGATGACCTTGTTGCGCACCGCGACGTGTTCTGAGTTGAGTTTGAGCAACAGCGGAACCAGGTAGGTCTGGAGCAGTGACTGCAGCTTCTCATCGGTGTCTGCCATGGCGATTCTGAATTCCACCTTTCCTATCAGACTGAGCTCGCGAGCCTCGGGGCTCGGAGTGTCGGACGCCATGATGGAAATATGTTGTTATGCAGAAGCAATTCTCATGGGGCATTGGCATGGACTGGAGATTCTTGGTTTTATTTTCTTGCAGCACAGGCAACCACACCCACGTCAACTGTTGCAACATAATGGGCAGGTGGGCAGGCCGTTTACCCGACTTAGTCAGAGAGCGGCACTGATTAGTCATACACTGTAAACAGACACCACATGGTCCAGGAGATAATGGAGCGTTTGCAGCTCGCTGGATTCTGTGGAGTTGCAGCAGTCGCGTCACACGAAGCCTTACTATATCTGAGATGGCCTTGCCATAGTTAAGGTTCTGCAGCTCCTTGGCTACGGAGCCCAGCTCATATGGAGTGATGATAAGCACACGCTATCTTATCATAGATAAGGCTCCATGGCTCGTTGGCCTTGAAAGGAGAGACGGAACCTTTAACAACCCCTTGAAGGCTAGCGAGCTGCAGAAGGCCTGCATACAAACAGAGTCGCAGGTTGCATTATTCTCTATAGACAAGCCTCCACAACTCAAGGACCTGGGAGGCGCAATGGGAGCAAATTCAGTGCCATAGCTAAGGTTTTATAGTTCCCCAGTCTTTGAGGAGCAGCAGAGCTCCCTTCATACAAGATATGTGGGTCGGGGTATATAAATGTATTCTTTCGTAACTATTCATGTACTGGATATTCATTATATATCACTCTCTTCGCTGCTCCGCAGCTTCGCCTCGTAAGAACCTGCCAACCTCCTGCTCAGCAGCCGTCGAATAACCGTGGCTATCCTTGTGGCCCGAATTCCCAAACAGACACTGCCAGAGATCGTCTTGCTTCACCAGCTCCCCACCCGAGGAGCCGCTCGCCATCAAATTAGTGAGGCTAGCGTCTTGCATTTCCAGTGAATTCGCAGAGTCGATGGCCGTCTCACTGAGATTGTTGATCAGAGCATCATCGACATCGGAAGGCAGGGTTGAATTCCTGCGCTTAGCTTTCTTCTCTTTCTCGATGATGTGGGCCAGTCGACGCGCTACCGAGAGCTCATAGATCGATTCCTCCACAGTACCGGAGACAAGATACATCCACACCGTAGTAGGGCGGTGCTGGCCGATTCGGTGAACACGCGCAATTGCCTGAAGCTCGATCGCGGTGTTGATGAGTGGCTCGCACAGGAACACATGGGTCGCGTTAATCAAGGTCAGACCGGAAGATTGTGCTTTGCCATGTAGCAAGAAACATTCAACCTGAGGTGGGGTCAGTACATTTCCATGCATTGAGTAAACGGTAAGGTCACATACCGCAGGATCCTTCTTGAATCGTTCGATACCACCGGGAGCATCGACGCTGCTGTTCACAATTCCGAATCTCTGGAAGGCTCTTTCCAATACGGTCAAGAAGTTCTTGTATTGAGAGAAGACAATAGATTTGGTCCCTGGGTCATGCTCGCGCAGCCACATGATATGACGAGCGAGGGTATCGACCTTGGTCCCGAAAGAGCCATTCAGGTCAATGAGCTTGATCTCTCGGAGAAGTCCAGAGTTGATATCGCTGTAGATAGCATTGTTGGAATGTCGCTCATGATCGAACTTGACGGGCGACTCTTCCTCCTGCGCAACAAGCTCTTCTGGTTTGTACGTGATTTGATGGAAATCCCTGAACTTCAAGGACTTCTTACACATCGGACAGGTCCGGTGTTGTCGCCACCACAGCCGTAGGCAATCAGAACAATATTTGTGGCCGCACACAGTCAACACACCGATTTCAAAACTGGACTGACAAATGATGCAGATCTGAGAATTATCGTCAGAGTTAGTCTCGTCTCTGAGATGAATAAGATATCGTCTCTTGGATTTCAATGAAGCAATTTTGCCATCCAAAGTTTCTTCATGGCGGAGCTTTTGCGCAAAAAGAGCATCATCCAATGGCTTCCCGGAGCTCTCTTCATCGTACGGAGCGACGGTGTCGGAAATCTGCTGCAGGTGGCGGTAGTACTCCAACCGATTGTTCATAGTATCGCGGAACATTTCCACCTCTCTTTCCAAGCTGGAGGAGACTTTGAGCTGCTCTGCGGCCATCTGGCCAGCGTTCTTCAACACCATCTCAATCAGTTCAAGCTCTGCGCGAGCACGCGAGCTTCCGCTATTGGCCTGCCATTCAAGAGTGGTGGTCATACTCCGAAGCTCACTGACAAGGCCACGCAAGGACCCCAGCTCGGGGTCGGGCTTGAGTTCACTGCGACGGTTCATGATCTCGAGGAAAAGTTTGGGTGATGGTCCATCACCTTTTTGAGCCTGAACAATACCGGCCTTGACCTCGTGGGAAATGAGAATGTTCTTTTGTCCAGTAAGAGCATCGTGGCGATCTGCGTACATGGAGCGCAAGGCCTCCATATACACGTACATCTCGTCTTGATGCTTTGTCGACGTCTCGTATTCGTTGCCCTCAAGTTGTGCATCTTCCTCCTGGTCGATAAGAGACTGCGAAACAAGCTTGATCATGACATCGCGCCATTTGTTGTATTGCTCGGCATGGGCATTCAAGGCTTCGCACAAGTCTTCGAATTTGTTGAGCAGCCTGTAAGACTCGAGTCCCCGGCTGAAGAGCTGAGGTTTCATCTTTGGGATGTGCACCAATTCCTTTTTCTGCACTTTTGTTTTGATGATTTTCATGTACCGCTCGGTCTTCCGGGAGATGTCGGTCAGCATCTCTTTACGGATCAGCTTTGCAGCCTCGTATCCCTCTTCTTCCTTTTTCTCGAGTGCTTTAAATTCTTCGGAGTCGGGTTCGGTGAGATTGGTATCCGTCTTGATCTGGTAGTACGCATTCGCTGTGAAGAATACAGCAATGTGCTGGACCTCAAGAGCAGCTCGCAGCTTCAGGCGGCACTGGCCGATGCGACTGTTTTTGTCAACTTCTTCGTTCTCGTCGTCACTCATGCCGTCAGCTGTCGCTGTGCTTTCATCGGCGTCCGAAGCACCTTCCCGGTTCACTAGGCGCTGCAAGCGCAATTGGTTTCGGCTGTCTTCGACCAGCTCAGTCGCATGATCAAGGGCTTTCTGCCAGAGAGCGAGGGACTCTTTACGACGCTTCGCATTTTCGAGCAGTTGGCCCCGCCGAAGTTGGGATAGCAAAAGTGTGCGTTCTTCAGCGCGAATGGCTGTATCAGTAGACTCGATCATGACTTCCAAGACTTCGTCTACGGTTCGCAAAGGACCATTGCCTCCCAGCGCTCGACGGTTGCTGCCGCTCACTTCAGGATGAAGGCAGGTTTGTCGAAGTCTGGTCAACCAAGAGCGCATTCTTTCGACAGTACCGGGATCGCTGGGATTCCAATCTCCGCGAATGGGGGCGCCTGAGGCATTGAGACCACACTCCTCGCACATTTGCTCAAACAGTTGTCCGTAATGCTGCTCCTCCACCGCGGTGAACGGAACGGTGATAACTATGCGCTTCTGAGGAGGTAGATGAAGCTCATCGCGCACACGGTCTTTGCTGTGTCTTAGAGCTATTGTGCCGATAATGCTCACCAACACCGATCCGAATCGCGAGTACAGTCGTTTCCATAAAGAATTGGAAAAGCAGAATGGGCTGTAATGGAGGAACAATAGAAGACCAAACAGATCATCTATGTTTTTCCGAAGCGGTGTACCAGTCACAGCCCACGCATTGTGTCGAGGAACCAGCCGAGCCACTTTGGCTGCGTTGCTAACTCCACTCTCGATCATTTGTGCTTCGTCGAGACATACACGCCACCAGGAGATGCGGACCAAAGGTGTTTTCCGAGCCTCGAACCTCTTTTCGTGACGAAAGCTTCGTTTGGGGGCCGCGCCAGCGTAATGGATTTCGCGTGCAATAACGTTGTAGGTGGTGAGAACGACATCATAACCTGCAAGCTCGTCCACAATATTCTGATCTGATTCATCTTGGCCACGCTTGATACCGGTATAATGGTGAACACGGAGATTCGGGGCATGCTGCTCAATTTCCTGTTTCCATTGTTCGAGAATTGCCGGAGGGGTGATGATGAGAGTTGCACCAGACAACTTCAACCCATCTCCATCTGGGTCGGGCTTCAACTGTACCTCTGAAGAGGAAAAGCGGTTGAGGCATATGAGCGTGATCATCTCAACCGTCTTGCCCAAGCCCATCTCTTCCGCCAAAATCCCGCCTTTCAGATGAAGACCGGCGTCATACCACCTGGAAAAGTCTGTTGTGACAGTCATGAACAGGTGACTAAAGAGGCAAGTTCGGCCGTCGGCATCCTTCATCTCCTTAAAGGACGGCGGGAGCCCATCCTTCGAGGCCTTTTCAATAGGAACCACTGTCCCATCTGGCTGAAGCGCCTTTCCTTCTCTCCATAACATCCAGCGTACAGCCCTCCTTTGAAATGGGAACAGCTCACACTCAACCTGTGGACATTTAATTTTTGCGGAAGCGCTCTCTGTATTGGGGGGGACGTGAACGCTTTCGTAGAATTCACGAGGAGCCCAGGTTCGAGAAGTGCCCAGCATCTTCTCTCGGTTTTCCTGCCTTTTTGCAGCGGAAGACGGTCGGTCATAATGCTCCTGAAGAACGTATTTTGCAAACGTTTCCAGGACAGGATCTTGCAAATGAACAAAATCAGGGATTTCCAGAGAATCTTTCCAGAGAATAACCGTCTCTAAATCTATCGAGTTTTGGGTCGGTGAGGCACATATCGCGGATTGGTAGCAGGCTGTCGGAACCCGGTTGTAGTATCGATCTGCGCAAGCAAGCCCTTGAGCATGTTCCAGTTGTTTCAGAAGCCTAAACAGCCGTGCTTCTTTGAATTCAGAGACAAATATCTCCGCCCTCTGAGTATCCGTACTTTTCAGATCTATCGTATAGAAATCCTTATCATCGTCGAGTTGATAGCCGCGGACGACTTCGAGAGTGACCGGAATTCGGCGGGAGACATCGCCAGAGGTATAAGGGTATTCGTGCTTCAGAGTACCAGCCTCTGTAAAATTCTATCCAGATGGTGGTGAAGGTCAGAGTCTTTGGATCGGATGGGAGTGCCAATGTACGGTGGGCTTACCATGCGCAGTGTCAATCGTGCTAGTGGAATGTATCCCACGGGAATTCCAGTCATAGAGACTCCATTTTCTTCAGAAAGGCTATTGGGGCCCGATTTTGTGACCTTGCGCCGCTTGGTGGGACGGTCGTCGGCATTCTGCTCTTCGATTTTCGCAAAGACGGTGGCTAGTGACCGGGGGACCCCGTCTGGATTCGAGAAAGATATCAGTAGATGCTCATAAAATGCTATCGAATGGGGTTGGATATGCTACCTGCAATGTCCACTTCTTCTGCGACCACACTCATCCTGATCTCTGCTGGATTCTTCACCCGTTGTTGCCACAACTGAGAAGGGTTGGCAGAAAAGATGGGATGCGCGCGACCTGGGAACCTCTTATCTTATCGATTAGATCACGTGGGTCTGTCCGGGAAATGGTTGTTCATGGGCGATCTATATGGCATACAAGCACCGCTCTGGGTTTCATGGCATGATATGTCTAGTGAGGTCCAGGTTTTACGATATCCATAGCATAAGAATGGAGCTGGTTCAGATATGTTCCAGAGGGCTATATCCGGCATGGTTGCTGGTAGCCGGATGACATTTTGGTCATCCTATCTCATTTTATCAAGATTCTACATCTTTTGTTGTTCTGCTCCAGCAAACAATTCGCTTGTTGCCAACTGCTTCCTGGATTCTCCGCAGTACTTATTGAGCGGCTTTTGCCATGACGAAAAGCGCGTCTACAATACAAGTAAATCGGATGAGTCTAGACGCTCATTATCGTCATTCTATACTTGGATCTAACCCAATGAGGGAACTCCATTCGGAAAACACGACTTTTCCCGGGTCTTAGTCATCCACATATATTCTCTCCGTCCACCTTTTCCTAGATCAACCGAAATCATCACCTTGGTCACTATGGCGCCCCCGAAACATGTGGCAGAGGTGCCACGGAGTATCCTGCCCCGTCTGACCTGGAACAGCTCTTCGACTCGCCCGACCCTTACACCCTCCCACCATCCCGCCCTTGCAACAAGACAGCAACGGCGCCTGGGCTGGAGTCCACTCGCCCACCAGCTGCATTCCCTGAGCGCAGATCACCCGCCTTCTCAGTCCTTGTCCTCGAGCTGCTCACCTCGCGACACCTCTACTACCATCGCGCGACGGACTTTGACCTCATCCTCTGCCACCCGTCCATCTCCAGAACCTCTCGGCAACCCTGTCCGGCACAATGGCGTATATGTTGCAACATTTAATCCAGCTCGGCGCGCCTTCCATGCGACTCCAGCTCGGCGCCGTGATCACCACTTTGATACTTTGAAATTCGTCAAGCGGCTCCAGGATGAAGGGTTCAGCGAAGAACAGGCCGTAGCTATGATGCGGGTCTTGAACGATATCATCCAGGAGTCGGTCCAGAACCTGAGCCGGACCATGGTCCTTCGAGAAGGTGAGCATCTCCACCGGAGTGTCTTTGCTATTCCCAGCTAACCACCCGCTCAATAGACTCGGAGAGATCAACATATACGCAAAAAGTCGACTTCGCCAAACTGCGCTCCGAACTCTTAAATGCAGACTCCACCGAGGCACAACTAACTCGCTCCTCGCACGAGAAGATCGCAGCGGACCTCGCGAAGCTCAATTCACGGCTGCGCGACGAAATCGGTCGCACACAGGCCTCGGTCCGGCTAGATCTCAACCTGGAGAAGGGGCGCATCCGCGAAGAAGCCAATAGCCAGGAGATGCGAATTAAGGAGACGGAGACTCGCATCGAACAGGAGGTGGCTGGCTTGCGGGAGCGCGTTGAGGCGGTCAAGTTCTCGACGCTGCAGTGGCTGATGGGTGTTTGTACTGGTACCGCGGCCCTGATTCTTGGTGCCTGGCGGATATTTATGTGATCAATATGGGTTGGGAATGGGCGTGCATGGATATGGAGTGCTTTTTTTTGGTTTTGATACACAGCGAGACCTTGCGGTCAGACATTTTCCTTTGTACAGATATTTACTATAACCACTACTCTCCTCGTCTAGCTAACAGTTGAGGCAATTTCAGGTTTCTGACTTGAACCATCGTGCTTAGAGCGTAGCGTAACTACCTCAGTCTTTTGCCTAAGCGTCAAATGTTAACTCCGCGGGGAAGCGAACTAAATGACTAGTTCATGCTTATCAGGGGGTAACGTTGCACTCGGCTGGGGAATCCCGAGGCCACCATAAACAATGATAAACAATAATGGTCATTGCTCCTCCCCTTTCGTAGCCAAATTCCTAATTTACCCCTAGATTTAATTAGGTCCGTCTTGGCCCTCGCCTTAACAACCATAAGGTGTTTCGGGTTCAGATCCAGGGTGGTACCAACAGCCTCGGAGCCGGGATCAACAAAGGTAGACACACGCGCAAAGATGATGCCCTGGGCCCTTTCGTGGGCCTGTTTCCTTCTGGGACAGGTCCCAGTCGTGTCTTCAAGTCCATCGGGCTTGCAGGAAGTGTTCGAAGTGTATCAGCCGGTGCCATTCGCGCCCGAAAGCAACAATGACTGCGACGTGGAAGTTTTGCTCATGGACCATGTGTTTGGGGCAAGCTATGGCAAGCCGTTTGTCGGTCGGTCATCCTGGTACTAAGTATTGTTGTTTACCGGACTCATCTTGCTCCACCAGGCAATTATAACCCGCCAAAGTGCAATTTCGACACCGTTCGCATTAACTTCACAGTTGAATCCCGAGGGAGACAGTATGATCGCCTCGCGCTGATGTATCTGGGCGATTACGAGGTCTTCCGGACTTCAACGGCGGAGCCCACAAGTACAGGAATTACCTGGACATACATCAAAGAAATGTCGCAGTACAATTCCCTCTGGCAGTCGCCCCAGAAACTGATTTTCGACCTGGGCAACCTGATCACCGATGTGTATACCGGCTACTACAACGCCACCCTGACTGCGCATTTCTCTCATACCGGAAATGCAATGACGGCGGACATGATCTTGCCCATTTCGGCCAAGAAATCGGCATCCGATTCATCGAGTGATTTTCAATTGCCCACCGACAACGCCACCGTCCAGTACAAGATCCCGGCCGAGGCATCGCGGGCTGTTGTGTCCATCTCGGCATGCGGACAATCCGCGGAAGAGTTCTGGTGGGCCAATGTTTTCTCCCAAGACACATGGGACTTCAACAACACCATTGGCGAGCTATACGGATACTCCCCTTTCCGGGAAGTTCAGCTGTACATTGATGGCATCTTGGCTGGTATGGTCTGGCCATTCCCTGTTATCTTCACTGGAGGCGTGGCCCCGGGTTTCTGGCGACCGATTGTTGGCATCGATGCCTTTGACCTTCGGCAACCCGAAATTGATATCACTCCGTTTCTGCCACTCGTTCAGGACGGCAAGGAGCACTCATTTGAGATTAGAGTCACCGGGCTGAACATCTCCGCGGATGGCACAGCGACATTTGCTGACACCGTTGGATCGTACTGGGTCGTCACAGGCAATATCTTCTTGTATCTCGATAGGACTTCATCTCGCATGGTTCATGAACACAAGCCTCCCACCATCGAAGCGCCGGCGCCAAAGTTCTCTGTCACGCGGCATCTTGTTCAGAATCAAACCGGATTCAACGAAACCTTGTCGTACTCCGTGACGGCAGAGCGCACGTTCAAAGCAACCTCATCCCAATTCTCGTGGTCCCAGAAACTGTCGTATTCTAATCGCGGATATCTCAATCAGCAGGGACTCAGCCAAGTCAACGACCAGCACACCTGGGGTGATAATACCATCAGCGAGGTTGGGGGAAAGGGACGCTCGAGCAAGACTTCGTTCGAGTATCCCCTGCTGGTGAATAACACCTATGCTTTGACCGCGAACAGCATGAAGATCGATGCCTGGATGAAGCGAGGACTGAAAATCGACGCAGATGAAGGACTGGGCATATCCACGTACACCCTGACGTCGGGCCCGGTGCGTCTTCACACCAGACAAGCAGGCACGGCGCACTATCAATCGGTTGACAACCAGAACTCGACGTCGTCGGGTGAAACGATCGATGAGTTTGAGGGCAGCGCGGATGGTCAGACATATAAACGGTCTGTACGGGCGATCAACGGGAGTGTGGTGGCTGATACAAATCCTGGAAATGGGGCGCCAGTGTTTTCTCATTCTCCAAATGTTGAGGTCCTCAATGGGTTGGGGAGAGACAGCGTGAGAAGTATGCTGGGCAGAGGACCAGGCAGACTGTAAATAAATACGATCTGATGGCAGCTAGAGACAAACAGATAAGGGGAAAGATATAAGAATACTTTGCCGTTTTGAAAAGACACGACTGTTTACTTCCCATGTCATCTGCCTCCCTTCCTCTTCTTCCTCTTCTTCCTCTTCTTCCTCTTCTTCCTCTTCTTCCTCTTCTTCCTCTTCTTCCTCTTCTTCCTCTTCTTCCTCTTCTTCCTCTTCTTCCTCTTCTTCCTCTTCTTCCTCTTCTTCCTCTTCTTCCTCTTCTTCCTCTTCTTCCTTCCTTCCTTCCTTCCTTCTCATCCACCAGGCGCCTTTCTACACCTTCTTCCCACCTCTTTCTCTTCTTCCTCCTCCTTTTCTCTCTTCTCACCCATCATCCATCTTGTCTTCCTGAGCTTCTCGCCAACCACTTCCTTGCACTTCCTTAACCCATCTCTTGTTATCAACAACCCCTCAATCTTTTTCCCTGCCCCTGGTCTCATCATGGCCACACGATGTCTGAAAGTGAGAAAGTCCAGGCGGAAGCATCTTCTCAAGCAACTAGTGAACGGTCTCCCGAAGCGAAGAAGCTCAAGGCAATCCATCGCCCGACTTCTGAGAGCAGCAGCTTCTGGGAGAAACACGACGGCGAATTGACTACTAGCCTCAGGAAGTGAGTCTCTCTATAAGATCCCAACTAGACAGCTGGCTCACGATCAATTCACAGGTACTTTCACTCGGGAGAGCATTCGAATATCAAGATCTGTTCGACGGAAAGAGAGTTCAAGGTGCACATATTGGTGGTTTGCGGACAGTCTGAGTACTTCGCGCGGGCTTTTAACGGAAACGGGAACTGGGCTGTAAGCGGCTCAAGTACGGCCTTTGTGCGTAATGCTCATCTAAGAAAATTCTAGGAAAAAGAGGAAAATGCCATCTACCTCAAAGAGGACCACCCTCGTGCTGTGCTCGGGATGATCGCTTTCTTTTACGGCTTTAGGTGGCACTCTCCCACGTTCGACCGCGGCGAACTTTCCTACCAAGTATTTTTGGTTATGCTCTACCAGCTTGCAGACAAGTACGCCATTCCACTATTGAAGAAGCAATCCAAAAATTTCTTCGAAGATGACATTAAGATCGCCTGGGATGACCCCAAATTTCTTCTTGCCATTACTGAGGTATATCAACGCACGCTCAAGTCGGACCGCGCACTGCGAGACCCCGTGGTGAGGACATGCCTTGAGCATCTCGACAATCTAAAACAAAAGGAAGATTTTAGAAAGATGCTTGAAGAAATCGACGGCTTTGCAGCCGACCTTGTTTTACGAACTGGTCAACTCAATAGTTCAAAATGATTTGAACCCGAAATGTGGATCATTTCGTGTACTGAAAGGGAAGCGTAGTTCCCTGAAAACGGAGGTGTTGTTGAGCAAGGTTGCGAGAACCATGAGGAGTCACGGGCGAAGCTTTTACACAGTACAGAAGTGTCTCTATCGCTCACATGTGTTCTATCTATCCCATCTTCCCATGGACAGGACGCATGAGTGGGTAGTAGCACTGGGTTTGAAATGGTACTGGAATGAATAGGCGGCGATGAAGTTCTCGGTCAAGGCTACCAGAATTCGATAAAAGAAAGATGTGGAATTTTGATCATTATCTCGTCCATTAGCTACAAGTATCAATCTCAGGTCTTGACCACTAATTCCGGAATCATCTCGCAGCTTGTTGAAAGCTGCCGGTGATACTCAAGACCATTCACGCACTCCATTCAATAACCAGCATCGTTCTCGTGGCAGACCTGGGTCAATAATTAGCAGTTTCTTTGCAATCGGATTGAGAAAGCGGACATTTTTGCACGAACTACAATGCTGGATCAATGAATTAGCATTTTTTGAAGAACAGCCCAAGAATTAGTATGTACCTTCATGCCGTGATTGTATCAGAACCGGCATCAGCCCCTACCAACCCCCTCCTCCATGGCCTCCACGGCCTCCCCGACCTCCGCCTCCTCCCCGACCTCCGCCTCCTCCACGACCTCCACCTCCTCCACGACCTCCACCTCCTCCACGACCTCCACCTCCTCCACGACCTCCACCACCACGGCCTCCTCCACCTGAGCCGCCGCCATGACCGCCAGGACCTCCATCAGGAATCCCGCCTGTCTCAATTGCACCCTCGTCGGCTTCGTTCTCGGCCATGGGGGCTGAAAGAGCCAGGGTGGCGAAGAGGAGGGCTAGCAGTGTCCAGGGACGCATTTTGATAGGTAATTGTAGGTATGGGTTTGATACAGAAGTTGGATGGAGCTAAAGCTACCGGATGGAACGAGCAGTCCCTTTTATAGAGGTAGACCGTAGATATCTTCCCACAGCATAGCAGCGTCTTGTTCCGTGAAACAACTGCGGGTAATACAACAGCTTATGTTGACCGAGTAGGGGTTTGCCCTGCTGCTTAGCGACAATCGCATCTCACCGGCAAGTGACACACTTAGAGCAGAGCAGAATTGAATGTCAGTCTGAATCTATCTTGTGTTACATTCCCTAAACGGCTAAGCGAGGCGAGTCCGATGTAAGATACATCGAGCAAACACGGCATCAACCAGGTTGATGACCTATATTTCCTGCAGTCAGCACGGAGAGTAAAGCAGTTGAGATCAGGAGCTTCACAGCATCAGTCATCGAGCTGTTGGTTTCCGCTAACTGTGTACCCAAAATATATCCACCGAGTAGAGTGCACCCGGACCGTCAGCTGGAAACACTAGATCCTACTTGGCTCGTGCATCGTGGCAACCCACAGCTTGTCTGAGCCTAGAACATAGGCTTTTTCTTAACGGTTCAGCCCGCCAATGTCGGTCTACCTACTCGCCCACAAGATCTTTGGTACAACATATCCCCGCACAGGTCGGAACACATTTGGATCTGACACGCGTCTTGCTGCGATGAGCTACTTAGTTCAGACCGCGAGCTCACTGGAGTCAGCCGAGCATGTGAAACAGCAAAGTCTTGATTGATCTGTGCAACTCTAGCTGCTAAACAGGACACGTAAGAGCTTTCTGCTTACAGCGATATTCGAAATCAGATAGACTACTATACTCTCTCCTATTGATTTCGAAACCCTAACCTGAAACATACTAATCTAAATATAAATAGTCGTAGATCCTCCTCTTCCCAAAATAGACCTTGTATTTTACATGACGGTGGTGGGACATTGAATAATGTATCAAGGCGGAAAGACTACAAAAACGATATTGGCTGTAGCCCTAATCGAACAACCGTGTGCAGAATCACACCTGCCATAATCATACTCCAAATCCTATTCACATGTATACCCTCAGGGATTATATCGATGTAGAGAGACAATAATTAATCATCGCTCCCTGTTTTCAATAGAAAAGGAGGTTCTCTCCCCAGGATGCGCAACACATCTTCTTTGCATTGCACTGTGGCCAGTCCTGTAGGAGTACACTGAACTCTCGAACCTGAATACCCATGAGTGAATCCAAGAGTGAGGCAAGTTCATCGTCCGTGGCCCACCTTCTATCACCGCCACAAAGTTTTAATGTGATCTCAAGGCGCTGAAGGCCGCAACTGCTCATTTTAAATAGGACCTGACAAAGGCTCTTCCAGTCCTTAGTGAAGGCTTTTGGCCATTCAGAGCCCAATATGGAAGCTCTGAGTTCGGTGTAAATAAGAAGATCGATATTCAACTTGCGGATTGATGCAAAGCGATGGGGTAGCATGACATGTGGAAAATTTATAACCGCTCTTCTCTGCTGTACACTCAAGATATTCTTCGTATAGAGGATATCGACTGCCTCAGAATAACTGTGCCTATTAGCAATGAAGATCATATTTGCGTGTGTTCATATACTAACATTTGACGGCACGAGTATAGTAAACTGAGAAATTTAGGGGATTGGGGTACCAGGGATGAGCCGGGGTGAGATCAGAGGATTTCCAGCATTCGTGCTTCCACGCCGGTCGCGTAGGGGTCTGTTTCGTAGCATCGGATGCCACAGAGACGACCGGAGATAGCCGCAACATGTAAGACCTGATCACCTGGTGGTGCTAATACATATTCCTATATTATCAGTCGAATATCAGATGATAATCGACTTAAAAAAAGCGACTGTGACTGATCATATGTCCGTTGTGCTTTGCGACCGGAGCATGAGGCTTTGGGTAAAGGCAGCGTTAGGGCACGCTTTCGATTGCGACGTACTGGGCGAACGGGCGGAGCCTTCTTTTTCCAGTCCTCGAACTTCTTTTTGGATTTCGAGTATGCTAAGACGAAGGGGAGGGTAGGAATAACGACAATTCCTAGCGGCACGAGAACCCACAGGGGTAAAGGAATGATGCTTTGAGGTTGTGTAGTCATGCTGGGTTAAAACCGTAGGCCTCTGCAAATTTCACTTTTGAAATGCTATAATTTGGTGAGCTTTTATTTCTAAAGACCCCACAAGTATAGCAAGACGGGCGTGGACGAAGAATGCGTACGGCAGGGAGGAGAGAGTTGTTAAAATCTGGCGAGATCGCTAGGACTTGTCTCTGTATAACAGTATCTCACTCGTTACTGTCTTGCCAATACGACCGTAGGGGGCCGTCGAAGAATCAACCAAGTTTGGATTAGCGTCTTTCAAGTTAGGGCTTGGGAAACAATTCATGAGCAGATTGGGTAATCTAATTTCGAATATTGCTGTATTGACAGACAAACAATCAGAAAGCACCATCCCCCCAATCCCCTCAACTCCTATACGCGTTTCCCTCGCAGAGAGAGAAGAAACAGTCAGAGATTCTTTGTATTATTTCGACTAGATGTCACAAACTCCACATGCAGACGCTATCACAAAGCCAGGCCAAGAATTCGGGTATTTTTCTCGGTTGCATCTAAAGCTGGAAGAGCTCCTTGAGGAGCTGCATGGTGTGCTCGGGGCCCTCGACCGCATGGCCGATCGTGCGCGGGTCCTCGTAGATCTCGTGGTCGTTTCCACCGGGGAAGCACTTGTCGCCGAAGAAGTGGATTTCCGTATACTCGACGCCGGAGATGTTCTTCTCAGCTTCAACATGTTGCAAGCAGAATGTCTTGTCCCAGCCTGTTGGGAAGACGTCAAAGGAGATTTGGCCGCCGATAGAGTAACTAGATTGGAAGATTCTGTTAGGATCATAGGTAGAAGGAATTGGTTACCATGTAACTTACGTGAGTCCCCAATCAGGGAATTCCTTCTTCAGTGCTGCGACCATGTCTCGGCGGATGTGGTGGATCGCATCATACCTGGATGAACTGTCAGTCTCCAGCAACAGAACGAGGTAAGGCCACGAACGCTTGGAACTCATCCCGCTCCTCCACGCTGGCATTACGGCCAATGGGGCTGACGTTGATCATGCCATTCCGAAACTCCACAAAAGTACCACGCTTCTTGGGCAGCTTGGTGCTAGCAATATACTTGAGGCAAAAGTCCGCCAGCTCCTGGTATTTCTCCTCGCCGAGCCACTCAATGAAGCTGGTGCTGGCCAGTGGCTTGCCCTCGCGGAAGGCCATCAGGCCGTTCTCCGGGAAACAGAAGTCGAAGAGGGTAGTGACGTCGATTGTGCTCGTTCCTAGTTGTTCCTGCTGCTTGACCAGATTGGAGCCACCGACCTGGGGTGGTGTTAGCTAAACTGCCAGTTCATGATGAGGGAGGAAACTGACGTATCCAATGGTGCACTTGTGCCGCAGTCTTGAGAGCAGCTCGTGCATCTCCGGGGTGGCAGACTGTAAGAATTCATTGTCAGTCGCATTCGTTTGACTTGGAAGACCAAGCGCATACCCGCCGAGCCTTGGTGAGGGTCTCGTCGACATCGAATAGGCAGATCACGCCCTTCATAGGGCGCTTCTCCAGCGGGGGATAGATACTGGCAGCTTCAGTCATGGTGGGAAGGTAATGGCAATAATAACAATGTGAGAAAAGAAAAGCAGCGGTGGGGGAGAAGATAAATATAGACGGGGGGTTGGCCGCAAGCGGTGAGCAAAGACGGCCCGAAGTGGATAAGTAGATCTGGCCAGAACCCAGAGTAAGTTGGTGGGTAGGGTTAGTTACTGGTATAGACGAGTAGATAATAGAGTCTGAATAATAATAAAATGTCGGCGACTCTCTTAATCTATAAAGGAATTAACTACTACGTGTGTGTTGGGTCTATACAGTGTCTGGGAGGCTGTTATCGATAAGAAGTATATACCTCTGTCCATGTGCGCAAGGCATCTCTAACTACACTATTTAGCTAAATAATATGGTCAACCAATCAGCCCAAGATCCATCAGCCAGTCCCTAACGCCCTATCCCAAGAAAACCCCCACGATGATACGGCTACCGTCCCAGCGATGTCTGGAACATCTTCGCCGCCAACTCACTCAAAAGCCGCGCGCGATCATCGCCCGGCAGGTCCAAGAAAACTTCATAGACACTTTTACCCTTGGCATCGCGTACAGCCCCGAGACGATTCCCAGCAACGGCGCCAGCCACAGCTCCTGGGAGATTGCCCACAATGAACCCGAGCGCACCACCACTAACGCCTCCAACGACAGCCCAGAACCGCGACGTGGGACGAGCCCGTCCATCCTCATCAGCAGCCATTCCTTCCTCACGCAACATCTCCTCAAAGACAGACCCAAACTGGTCGGTATCACGCTCCTCGCGCTCGCGCGCTCCAAACCCGAAACTCGACCACGGGAAGCCGCCGGGCGGCACTTCCTCTTCAACTTCCTCCTCGGCCTCGGCGTAGGCGCGGGCTTCGTCATACTCGCGCCGGCGGGTTGGGTCCGATAGCGTGTAGTAGGCGTCGTTGATTTCTTGGAATTTGCGTGTCCGGGCGGGGCGTTCGGGGGAGTCGGCGGGGACGCGGTCGGGGTGGGATTTTAGGGATTCTCTAGAGAAAAGGTTAGTGTTTGTTTCTCGAGGACTGCAAGAAGGACATGCCTCTTGTATGCGCTGCGAATCTGTTGGTAGGTGGCATCTTGGGCCACGCCCAGAACTTGATCTAGAATAGGGTTAGAGTCGATCAATAGGAGGGAGGAGAGTTCGTACAGTAGTCTGGATCTTCTGCATAATCGTGGTTAGTTTGCATAACAGGCAGCAAAAAGACAGGGCACTTACGCGACATGGTTGGAAGTGAGAAGAAAGCATAACCAGAAACAGGTGAACATCAGTTAACCAGTGACGTTTTGGTAGCCTGAGGCATCGATGGAACCGTGGATCACACCCGTGTTCAAGTATAGCCCAGCCTCCTGATTTATTCTTATTCTCTGTCTCACTCTCGGGTTTAGCTCTCCCCATTCACCTCCTTTTCATCCATGATGGTCTTGAACTTCACAGCCTTCTTCACTTAACCACACTGAGTTATTCCGGGCAATTAGCTCCAGCAGCCAGTCCAACTGATTCCCGGTGGAGCGAACGTCCCCAACGGCCTAGACCACCAGCATTCCATCTGCAGCAACTAGCGACCGACCTGCATCCGAGTCATTGCTGAAGCATTGCCACAGACAGACACAAAAAAAAAGAGAGAATAAAAAAAAAGAGCATTGCGAGACTCTTGGTCTCTCGCCAGCATCCTGAGAAAGCCCCATCCAAAAACACATCTATCTCCTGACAACACCCTCAACCTCAAAATGGGCTGGTTTGACGGCCGCTCCACAACCCGCTCCAACCGCTCCTCCTCCCCAAATCTCTACTACGTCCGCCGCAAAGCCTCACCCTCGCGCAGCAAATCTGGCTACTCAACTCACCACTCGCGACACTCGGCCCCCTCAATCTTCAGCCTCGGCCGCAGCGGCGGACGGTCCAGTCCCGCCACCTCGATGTTCTCGGCCTTTTCATCCTCCTCGCGCCGAGCTCGGCCGCGTGAGGGCTTCGTGCAGCGCATGATCCATTCCATCAAGCGCCTGCTGCGCGATATCTACCGCTACATGCGCCGGCACCCTATCAAGGTCCTTTTGCTGGTCATTGTCCCGCTGCTGACGAGTGGTGTTCTGCCGAAGTTGCTTGGGATGGTTGGGCTGAGACTTCCGCCGGGCGTTATGCATGCTTTGGGCGGAAGCGCGGCGAATCCGGGACATGGTGGGATAGGGGGTGGATTGGGAGGTATGGGTGGCATGGGTGGGAAAGGGTTGTCTGAGCTCGTTAGTCTTGCGAAGATGTTTGCTTAAATGGTGGTGCCCTAGATCACTTGCACCAGTCAATTCAACTCGTAACGACCGTGATGATGTCTTGTTCCGCTCTTGAAACTGGCGGTGTTGGGCGGCCAACGACGGTACAATAGCACGAATAGTTCGATCTATTGTTATTATTTGAAACCTTTTCGTGTTACCGCTTCTAGTTAAGGACCATAAATTTCTCCCTCAAAACCCTAGCCTCCTTCTTCACCCCTGGCAGTCTATCCAAGCTATCAAACATCCACACTCCAAACCCAGCCCTTAATGAAAGAATGGCTCAACTCACTACTCCTCCGATTTTGGGGGATTTTTCATAAGCGCAAAGGATGATACTCTCGAACATATTGCCGATGGACCCGGGGAATCCTACGGTTACCAGATCGCGAAGTTACGGATTACGGGAGTGCTGAAGTGCTGGGGGAAGTCCAAGCATAACTTGAGCTAAGCTTGATCTTCAGGCAAACAGATATGCCCCACGCTACTGCCAGCAAGAGCAAACATGGGACAAGCTATACTTCTATACTGTGGAATACGAGGTGGAGTGACTCTTTAAATCGACCAATGCCCTTTCTGTGGTTTGCCATTCACAATCAGAACAAGGAGATCAATATCCTAACTATCAATCGACTCAGACCTCACCTGGTCCTTCTTCCTTGGTCTCGACACCAAAAGCTCGCTCCCCGTCAAAGATCAACGCAACTTCTTCCAGACTGTGACCCTTAGTCTCCGGGAACCAAAAGTAAACAAGGACAACCTCCACAGCAATCACACAACAATAAACAATATAATATCTCCAGCTGATCGCGGTCATCGCAATAGGGTTTGCATACCCATTAAAGAGGATAACACACGTGGATGCAATCTGCATGATGTTCGTGCCCTTGGCTCGAAGATGAGTAGGCAGTACCTCAGTAACATAGACCCAAGGCGGACCATTGAGACCCGCATTATAGAAGAATTGGTACATAAAGATCATGACGATAACTCCGGTCCCGAGGGAAGTGTCGTGGAAGCCCCGTTCCTGGTTGATGGCTGAGAGAATCGTCCAGATCACGTAGCAGGCCAGCATTCCCACCGTGGAGAAAAGGAACAACTTTCGGCGACCAGCCACTTCCATCAGGGAGGCCAGTGCAATCGACACTCCGAGGTTGAACACCGTCAGACCGCCATTGATGCGCAGCTGCTGCGGGTCCGAGGTGAGGCCGATTGAGTTCAGGATAAGGTGGAGGTAGTAGGCGATCAGACCGTTACCGGACAGCTGCATCATGCAGGGCACTGCGATAATGATGAAGAGGCGATGCATATTGCCGCGTGTGCTGAGAAACTCTCGGTAGCCAGTTTTCGAGCCGGATTTAGCGGCCTGGATTTGCAGGATGATTTCCTTCATCTCATAGTCTACCAGTGGCGATTCTTCGTCCCCACCGGCATGGTACTTGACCAACACCTTCCGGGCTTCTTCATGGCGATCTTTTTGCACAAGGTACCGCGGTGACTCTGGAAGCATGTAAACGAAGAGCACCTGGATCAACGGAAAAGCTCCTTGCAGTAGCGAGGGAATGCGCCATGCCCAGGATGTACTTGGTCCCATGAAGTACGTTCCATATGTGACCCAGGCAGCTAACATGGCACCTAGATACCACAAGTTGTTGTAGTAGCCCACCAGGACAGAACGATGAGTCGGGAACGCAAGCTCGCTGACCAACATCGGGGATGCCTCGACCGCAATCAGACCTCCAAAACCAATGATCATGCGAGAAACCAGAAACATGGCGTAGTTCTGTGCGGCACATTGCAGGACTGCCCCAATGACCAGGAGAGCCGATCCGATGAAGATGGGAAACCGTCGACCAGTGTGGTCGCATAGCCATGGGGCAATAGGAAACGCCAGAATCTGGCCGAAGATCACCCCGTTCGACAGAGAGCCCAGCCGAGTACCGACTGGGTTGCCGAAAAAGTTCTGCCATTGTCCCATGGACTGTAGACCGTTGAGCATCGATCCATCGTAGCCGTTGGTAGTCGAGGATAGGTAGGGGATGATCATCCCCAAATTAAGCAGAACGAAATGACGCTGCTTATACCACGGCTTGCCAGTTTTTGGCAGCACGCTTTCAAGGCTCCATTCGCCGGGGCGGCTGTCGTCGACATGCTGGACCTCAGCCATTGGCTTGTCGTCTGTCTCGCCCATCTTGATCGCGATGGTTTTGATTGGATTTGAATAGCAGATGAAAGACTGCAGTGCTGATCAGAACTGGGATCGTCGCGGTGCAGGCTCTAAATATATGTCATTTTTCTCCTTTGAAGAGACACAGACGCTCAGACGATATCCGTGACTCCGCAGTGAAGGGGATGTGTTGACGGAGACGTGCATGTCCCGACCAACGGCATCATCCTTTGTCTCGGGCGGGCTTTGCTTTTCGGTACACGAGGCGTCGCTGCTAGCGGGACAGGGTGTATTCGGCATTTCATGACCGCGCCAAATCGAGCGCACTGCGGCGTATTAGACCAACCGTATTAGTGGCCAGGTGAAGATAAAACAGTTTTTCCCCACGACAACCCCAACTTTCCCTCCCGTCTGGGGGAATAGGCGGTGCGTTCTGACCAATCGAGTCAGTTTCCACATTTTGATGGCGTCTTGAGAGATGAAACCTTACTCCAATCAGACTAAGCGCTGGGTTAGTTAGGGGTTAGCCGTACAATCAATACGAGCCAGTCGAAACGACAAAACCCCGCGCAGTGCCGAAACTCCGCGGGTACTTAACTGGAGTGAAGGGTCTCGATGGTGCTAATCCTGCAAGTCTTCCAGTCAAGGAACCCTAAGAATGGAGACGGGCTATTTACCCACCCAATCGGAGACCCCAAACAAGACGAATCCCCAGAAACGAAAGTATTCCCGCGTGGCAGCGATTTACCCTCGAAAGCGAGCCACTCAGGCCTGCCATACCTGCCGCTTCCGAAGGACGAAGTGCGACAATGCTCGACCTTCGTGTGCTTCATGCGTGAGACTAGGGGCAGAATGTAGTTACCAGGAAAATGATCCCTCAACGTGAGTTGTATAAATTAAGAGATATTGAATCACATAATGCGCGGAGCTTCGGAGGAAAGCTACTAACCGAGACGACAGATTCGATCCTGCGAGTCTTGCCATTCTGAAGCGGCTCGATGATCTGGAAGTTTTGATTCAAAGCAAACCACAGGATCCATCTCCGTTGGCTTTGCCTGGAGACTTTCCATCGACGTCGCCGTCTAACCCGCTCGGTGATGGTGAACTGAGCTCCGCTGCAACCGGCCAAAGGACTCAGCGGAAACTGCCTCTCATCACCATTGAGGCAGCTCTGGAATGGCCTGTCTTTGATGACCGTGACTTCAAACGAGAAGTCCATCTACTGAGTCCCCCCGAAGAGAATATACACCAACCAGGACTGCCGATCTCGGTTGACGTTGACCTCCATGAAGCCGACAGCCTACTTAGGAGGTTCTTCGACGATGTGCACATCTTCAATCCCACCTTAGAAGAGGAGGATGTGAGAGAATATGTCAATATTGTTCGTCTGAATGGTATTGGCTGGGACGCCATGTCCTGCCTACTGGTCACCACCCCTTCTCCATCTGGTCGGGCTGGACTGACTCGGAATAGCTTCTGATCTATGCCCACGGCTCGATTTCAAGGCCACTTGTGAAGGACGGACCAGGAGTACCCTCAGCTTTATTCCGCAAGTCGAAATCTTTCCTTCAAGCCGAAGCCTACTTTTGCGCTGCGCAAAAGCGTATGGGCCCGTTGCTCTGCAGCAGCGGTGTGATAGAAGCACAATGTTTCTTTCTCGCCGGAGTATATCTCATGACAACATTGCGACCAATCGCGGCATGGAGAATGTTTGTGCAAGCATTAGCCTGCTGCCAGGGGTTCTCCATCCAACGCCGGAATGATACCAGCTACGAAGATGAATGGAATAGTAAACAGAGGATTTACTGGACTTGCTTCAAATCTGAGCTGTAAGTCTTTCGATTCCCAAGTGAAGAGACATAGGACTTAACTGCATGACAGAGAACTCCGGCTAGAGCTGAATGTTTCACAAACAGGTGTTTTGGATCTCAGCTATCCAACCCTATTCCCTTCACCACCGGACCGACTCAAAACAAAGGATGAAGCCACCTGGTACTTTTATCTCGCCGAAATTTCTTTACGAAGACTCAAAAATCGCATTCTGGACACTCTGTACAGACATGACGCCGCGGACCCTGAATTCAACATTGAATATGCCATCCATGATTTTGAGGAGCAAACGGACGCATGGTAGATAGACCTCTTGCAAATGTGCTGGCTTGGGTATTCCTGATGACTGACTTATTCACACTTAGGCTAAGATCTCTACCAGAGACGTTATCTCTTGACGTGGCCAACCCGGACACAGACCAATACGAGCCCTTTCGATTCATCCTTAGCGGCCACTTTCTCGACTGCCAGGAGACGATGTACTGGTACTTTGTAGTCGAGGGCATACACGGTGTCATCCGCAATAGCAACGAGCATTTTATCCAGAAGGGACTGAAAGTATGTGTAGACAGGATCCAGCAGAATCGGACGGGCTTCTACCATCGGCATCATGGAACATGGTTGATGCTTCGGTCTTGCACGCGAAGTGCATTAGTTTTGCTTGCTGCTGTGCGGCGTGTCGAGCTTGCTGGCTTTCTACCACTTGGCTGGGAGGAAGCGGTGCTTGAGGTAACAAGGATGCTAGATTTTTGGAAAGACGAGTCCAGGGATGTATCTGAGATGTTGAATATTCTGCGGACACTGTTCGAGGTGGAAAACTCTGCTATTTGATCTTGTCAATAAATTCTGCATGCACCTTGTTGAGTGGCCAACATCTGCTCGAGATACACAGCGTAAAAGGAGAGCTACCTAAGATATTACATGCGCTTGCTATTTGTTACAGTTGGAGCTACTTGTTTAGGACACGATCCACTTCACGCGTGTTCCAAATGGCTGGATATGTCTGGCCCCAGTCCAAGACCGACTCTCCCGACACTCCGCGTTGCATGGACGTTCCAGTATTATTTTCTTATCGGACACTCCGCACAAGAGAACTTCCAGTCTTAAAAATAGGCTCGTTCAGCCAAATAAACACTGGTTTTAAAATAATTTTTCTCAACCTAGAAACTGTCAATCTAACAATGTCAGACTTTGACATTGACGACGTGCTCCCAGAGCTTTCTCTGAATGAGAAAGTTTCTCTGCTTTCAGGTATACCTCACTCATTTCATACCAATTGTGCCACTGATTTTTGTCATAGGTATCGACGGTTGGCATACAGCCGCAATACCACGACTAGGAATCCCGTCAATCCGTATGTCTGATGGACCAAATGGCGTCCGAGGCACTCGTTTCTTCAACGGAGTTCCCGCGGCATGTCTACCCTGCGCCACAGCTCTAGGGGCTTCGTTCGATACCGAGCTTATCTTCTCTCTTGGGAAGCTTTTGGGACTGGAATGCAAAGCGAAAGGGGCGCATGTGCTCCTAGGCCCAACTATCAATATCCAACGAAGTCCGCTGGGAGGACGGGGGTTTGAATCATTTTCGGAGGACCCTGTCCTTTCGGGCTCTTTGGCTGCCGCTTATTGCTTGGGTGTGCAGAGCGAGGATGTCATTCCGACCCCGAAACACCTTGTGTGCAATGACCAGGAGCATGAGCGTGTGGCTGTGAGCTCGCTCGTCACTGAGCGAGCTCTTCGCGAAATCTATCTACTTCCGTTTCAGCTAGCTATTGCTGGTGCCAACCCCGGGGCCCTCATGACCTCCTACAATAAGGTCAATGGATGCCATGCCAGCGAGAGCCCGGATTTACTTCAAGATGTTGTTCGAACAGACTGGAACTACAAAGGGCTAATAATGAGCGACTGGTCAGTTCCTCTACTTATAGCAAGATATGACCACCACTAATCCGGAACAGGTTTGGAACATACAGTGTGTCGGAGGCCGTGAATGCCGGCTTGGATCTTGAAATGCCAGGTCCAACCCGCTTTCGAGGCCCGGGACTGGTTCATGCCGTCACCTCGAACAAAGTCTCCGAGAGGACGATCAATAACCGAGTCCGCGCGGTGCTCGAGATGGTCAAACTAGCAGCTAGGTCAGGAATTCCGGAAGCCTCGCCCGAAACCCAACGGGATCTTCCTGAAGACAGAACATTGCTTCGCAGAGCCGCCGCCGAGTCGATTGTCCTTCTGAAAAACGACGATCAAGTTCTTCCTCTGGACCCGAAGAAAAGGACACTTGTGATGGGGCCAAATGCAAAGATCGCAGTCTACTGTGGCGGAGGCTCGGCGGCTCTCCCGGCATACTATGCGGTGACGCCGTTGGAGGGGATCACAGAATGCTGCACCGGAGGTGTAGATTTCACGCAGGGAGCATACGGCCACAAAGAGCTCCCACTTCTGGGACAACAGTTAAAGACCGAAGACGGCCACCCTGGTTATATATTTCGAGTGTTCACTGAGCCTTCCAGCAACAAGGACCGACAAGCAGTCGACGTGTTGCATATGACCAATAGCTCTGTGTTTTTGATGGACTACAAGCATCCGAAAGTCCACTCAGACCTTTATTACATCACCATGGAGGGTATATTTGAGCCTACGGAGAGTGGCATCTACGATTTTGGGCTCACAGTAGCCGGAACTGGAGAACTTTTCATTGATGGAGAGCTCGTGGTCGACAACAAGACCAAGCAGCGGCAGGGTACATCTTTTTTCGGAATTGGGACACCAGAAGAGCGTGGCTCCATATATCTCGAGGCCAATCAGCGGTACAAAGTCTTCGTTGATTATGGCACTGCGCCGACTTCCAACATGAAGTTACACGGAGTAGTCTCTTTCGGACCGGGAGGATTGCGCGTGGGAGCATGTCGACAGATGGACACTGAACAAGCCATTCAAGAGGCCGTTGACCTTGCAAAGACGGTTGACCAGGTAGTGATAGTTGCCGGACTCAGTGGTGAATGGGAGAGCGAAGGATTTGACCGACCACACATGGACCTCCCGCCAATGTCCGATCAACTGATTGACAGGGTTCTCGCCGTCCAGCCAAACGTGGTGGTGGTGGTGCAAAGTGGTACGCCCGTGGCAATGCCATGGGCTCGACGGACGAAAGCTTTGCTTCACGCTTGGTACGGCGGGAATGAAGTCGGGAATGGCATTGCGGATGTCATCTTTGGGAACGTGAATCCAGTCAGTACTACTAAAGCGTGTCTTGAGCTGTGACTAACGAGGCATTTCAGTGCGGAAAACTACCTGTCACTTTCCCAGAGTGCATCGAGCAGAATCCCGCATACTTGACGTATCGCTCCGAACGAGGAAGGGTGCTATACGGCGAGGACATCTACGTTGGCTACCGCTATTACGAAAAGACGAAGGTGCAGCCTCTCTTCCCTTTCGGATACGGACTGTCCTATACGTCCTTCCGTCTCTCGGGGCTTTCCATCTCCCAGCCATTGGAAAAACTCGACAGAATCAAGGAGGAAGTCATTGAGGTCTCAGTTTCAGTAGAAAACATTGGATCCTGCAGTGGTGCAGAGGTCGTTCAGGTATATGTTTCTCCGCCTCCAAGTTCCAGTGTCGGGCGTCCTGTGAGAGAGCTCAAGGGCTTCAAGAAAGTTACACTGCAGCCTGGTGCGACGCAGGAGATTCTGATATCCATCCCCGTCGGTCTGACGACAAGTTTCTGGGACGAGAGCCTTTCAGCCTGGCTCAGTGAAGCTGGTGGATATACAGTCACCGTTGTCGGAACTGGGAAGCACAACTCTCTCTCTGCTGAGCTCAAAATTGCCCACACAAGGGAATGGAGTGGCTTGCTTGGACCTGCGATACAGAGCCCATCTTTGCATGTTAACGGCACTCACAAGGCGGATGCCAAATGTGTTTCAAGCAGTTAGAACGGTAGAACTTCGGAGAGGGATTGCCTTTGGAGCAGTCTCTACAGTGTGAATAATCTCAAAGAAGTACATAGATGAGGCTGTTTTGGTCTCTACTGGGTATCCTATTCCAACGGACTGAGATTCTAAATGAACTTTTTTCCCACTGCAGGCAAGCAATAATCACAATTTCCCAGCCCGAAATATACTGCCCGTATCACAGTCATCTCTCCCTCCAGACTCCAATCACGACCGCTGGGCACGCTTCTTCGCCCTTCTCCGACCCGACCCGCCGGTCTTGGTGCCAGTAGATGTGCTGACTTCCTCATTGGCCCCCTCTTCGGCCTCCTCAACTTCCTCTTCCTCGACAACTTCGTCCGAAGTGCCCATCACACGGCCAACAGTCTTGCGAAAGCACCAGATAGGAAGCTTGAACAAAACCGTATCGCGAATACGGGGCCGCTGGATCTCGTCGACGTCCAGCAAAAACTCCTGTTTCTCACCGTCCTCGTTCTCCTCCTCCAGAAACACGTTGCCAATGGAATCCACGATCAGCACTTTGCCGTTCTCAGCGACGACGCGCTTGCGTTCCCCCGTGGTGGTGGCTGGTGCCGACTCAGTCGTAGGCGTGGAAGTGCCCGAGCCACGACCGCCCGACTTTCCACCCTTCTTGTTGTCCTTGCGGTTTTCCTTGTCCATCATGCGCTTCTGGCGGCGGTTCATGGCTACAGCCCCGGCATCACCGGCATCAGGCGCGGGGGCAGGAGCAGTGGCACCCACCGAGTCGATCCCGGGGATACCCCGAACGCCCAACTCATCCCCCCAAGCGGCGCGGCGCGCTTGACGAATGTACCGATCCACAAACTCGCGCTGCCGCTTCCACCCCAGCACGAGGGCGGCGTAATGCGCCGCACCACCAAACATCACAAACAGACCCGTCAGCACCGACCCCAGCCCAGGACGGAAGCGCTCGTAGTAATAACCAGTCCCCTTCCAGCGCGGGAAGCCATTCTTCAGGAAGTGGTCGTACCGCTCGCGGCCGGGGCCGCGCAGGATGTTGGCGATGAGGTTGAGGCGCTTGGAGCGGATGTCGGCATCCTTCATGACGGCATCGATCTGGCGCTTGGAGGGACCGGTGGAAACGTTCACGCCATCCTTGGATTTGGCCTTGCTCTTGTCCTTGGAGTAGTTGGCGATGAAGTTGCGCTTGGCCTTGTCCGGGTGGATGAGGCGCGATTTCTTGCGGTAGGCCTTGGTGATTTGTTCCTGGTTGGCATTGGAACGAATCTCGAGAAAATCTACAAAGGGTTAGAGGGTGAAAGCACAAAAATGAGAGGCATTGGTCTACCGTAGAAGGTCACGTTGGCTCCTTCGGCCGTGGTGAGCTCATCGTGGAGACGGAAGATCTCGTAGTCTGCATCGATTCGTTAGTTTTATTGTGGACCGAGAGAAGGGAGAGCGAGACGCACCCTCCTTGGACCAGGCAGCGACGAGCCCGACCAGAGCGAAGCAGAGGGTCCAGGCGAAGAGCTTCATGTTGGAGACCGCGACAGGGGAGAGAAGTCGAAAGGTAAATCAGTGACAGATCCAAAAAAAAAAGCGGTCGGGCTGATCCACCACTCAACGTGGCCCAATCGAGATCCCATTGAGACTGCAAGGATAGTAATATATAAAGGGGAATAGATCTCTGGTGCATTCTAGTTATTGATTTTCTTCTCCTCCTCCTCTTACTACGGTCACTCTTTCCATACTATGTAGTCCGCAAGCAGCGACTCGCCCAGAGCGGAAAACTCGAGACAAACAAAAGGGGCCGTGCTGCGCTGAGCTGGCTGACTGACTAAAAAAAAGGCTGCAGCCGCGAAAGGGGGAAAAACACACCTTCATTCATTCTCTCCGTCTTCATTCTTCACCCTTTCGTCTCTCCCCCACACATCTTCATCATGGCCATCTCAATCCCCATCGACGCCATCACTTCGCGCTTTGGCGATCGCTTCAACAATCTCCGCAGCCAGTCCATGAGCACTCGTTTCGCCAACCTGCGTCCCGTCTCCGAGTTCCTCGACCTCAAGCGTCTGTCCAAGCCGGCCAATTTCGGTGAGGTCCAGAGCCGTGTCAACTACAACCTGTCCTACTTCTCCAGCAACTATGCCGTCGTTTTTGTTATGCTCAGCATCTACAGCTTGCTGACCAACCCGCTCTTGCTGTTCGTCATCATCTTCGTCACGGCTGGTCTCTACGGCATTGGGAAACTTGGTGGCCGCGACCTCGACCTGGGCTTCTCCCGCTTCAGCACATCTCAGCTCTACACGGGTCTGTTGATTGTTGGCGTGCCCCTGGGCATCTGGGCCTCGCCCATCGCGACGGTGCTGTGGCTGATCGGGGCTTCAGGCGTGACCGTTTTCGGCCACGCATCCCTCATGGATAAACCAATTGAGAATGCTTTTTCCGAGGAGGCGGTCTAGGTGGTCGGCCGCGAACTCCTTATGATATGCCCCGTTGGGGAAGACCACCAGGGGCACGAATGGGGAGACACAACAGGGGACGAGCGGCGCAGTGGGATAGTATGGCGCGGGTGGAAGAGCTGGAGAGTGATGAAGAAGAGGCTGACGAGGCGGAGTATCAGCGGGAGTTGGTGCGCAGTGGCCGGTTGCCGTACATGCGACAGTTGGAGTATGGGGGTCGGGGAGCACGGCGGCGGCTGGCAGACCACGATGAAATGAATGACGAAACCCAATCGGTGGTCGACGGGGCGGACTATGACTTGTATGATCACGGAGACAGCACGGTGTCCTACGCGGTTCAACTCGCAATGCGGGACAAGGAGGATCAACTGGTGGAGAAGGCGCTGGAGCGGATTCGCCGCGCGCAGATGATGGGGAAGAAGAATGTCAAGTTGTCGCAACGGGAGTTGGACGCTCTGGAGCGCAAGCGTCTACAGACGGACGGAACTCGACGCCCAAAGAACTCGAAAAATCCCGCCCTTCCAGCGGCCGGACGACCGAATTCCCGTCGCAACACAGTGGTAGCTCCGCCTGAGCAGCCAACGGGCTATCCACCCTTTGCGCCTGATGCCCAGGGGATGTGGCCATGGGGAGCAGGCGCCGCGCACGGCCGGCCGACGAGCTCATCTTCTGCTCCGCGACCACGGACCCCAACGACGCACTCCCTCCGCCCCCAGCAGTCCAACTCGCCCCTCCGACCTACATACCCACCGTATCTTTCCAACGGCCGTTCGCAGTCAATGCCTCAGCATCATATGTATGCGCGGCCACTACCAGACGATCCTCAATGGGCTCCGCCGTACTTCAATCCCGCGTCGATGGACCCATACGCCGCCGACGTGCCCCAATACCCGCCGTCCGTACCCTCCGATCTTCGAGTTGGACCCAGGAATCGGACGAGCTACCCTCCTGATTATCATTCTCATCATCGGGCTTCCATGGACGGCCGCCAGTCCCGGGGAGCGCGGCCAGCTCCATCGGAGACCGAGTCGGAGGAGTCCAGCAGCGAAGAGGAAGGCGAGGAAGAGGAGACCCCCAGCAGTGATGAGGAGGAGGAAGAAGAAGAGGATGAAGTGCAGGTGGTGAAGGTGGTTGAGCGCCGAGGTCCGTCCGGCTTCCAGCGGCCTGTCTCTGGCAATCGCCGTGGGCGAGGACGACGGGCCGGTCGTTGAGGGGAGAGTGTCTCTCGCAGGGTTGCCCTTTTTCGTGTCCATGTGTTTTCCAACGAGAAGGGTTTCAAAGATCGTTTGTTTTGTTTAGTTCTTACCACGCACGGGCGTTTCTTGAATAGACGGGGCTCTAGGGATAGAGCCAAGCATGGATATAGCAGTACAGTAATTCAGCATTTATTATCCGCATCAGGCAGTAATACAAGATGTGGCAAGAAACCCATTCACAATATGGACTGAGTAATGCACCCCCATAAAAAATATGAATACGCAAATCGCAACACTGCTCCGCGTGGGGCGTTGGCTGTGCTCTTTGGAGCCGGCGATCCGGCCAGGAAACTTGGCCGATGACGTCGCCGCCTGGTTTCCATTTCTTCATCCACCCTTACCTCTTTCCTCTCTGCCTTCTCACAGAATATCCCTTCATATCCCCTGGTTATTCTCATCCTTTCACCTCACAGTCGCCCTCCTCTCTCCTACCCGAAATTTACCCGACCCTCGTTTGGATTCTTCGCCATCCGAGCGCCACCCGCACCCTGCGCGCTGGTTGGCGGCTGAACCTTTTCTTCACGGGCGATCCTTTTAGCGCTGGAATGCCGGCTTTGGTGATACCACTTCAGGTCATTCGTGTATAAACATTGTTCTCGGCGAGCGGTCCACGGATTCCGATCTGGTCGACTCGCCACTAGTCCCCTGTCATTTAGCCTGCGCGAGCATTGGGCTTCTTGGTCTATTTTATCGCATCTACATCTTATCTCCCAGCGCACGTGTCGCGCCATTGTCAGTCCCTGATCGGATCATTGATCATCTCACTACGCGTCGCATCCCCCTGTCGTCGCAGAGATGTGGGTTATCTCGTTCTGGATCTTCCCGGTCATGTCGGCCTGCATGTGGGTTGGTAAGGCTACCCTGGCATCCGCATACTAGATTCCGATGATCTAACCTTTGGTGTTATTTAGCCATGTTGATAGCCATGCTTGCTACCTGGGCTAGGGAAGGCAAGCCGCATTACAGTTCTATGGAGCAAGGACAGACGATTGCGTATGCCCTTCCCTCTCCTATTGGAGGAGACTCAATCAAAGCTAACGGAACGATTAGATACATTTCGGATATAGGTGCGGAGGGACTAAAGCCACTGTTTATTGCTGGAAGCACGGTCACCGTGGTGTTTCTGGACCTGTCGTTCCTTGCGGAGCGTTGGCTTCGACATGTCGGCCAACTGGTTCCTAACAAGGGCATCTTCGACAAGACTTGCGCTGCTCTCTCCCTCTTCTTTGCCCTTGCCGGCGCGCTGGGTCTGATTCTGCTATCGATCTTTGATACCGTCCACCACCCGCATCTGCATGATGGCTTCCTGATTATGTTCATGTGAGTATTGCTGTCACAATAGGGCGACTGCGACTAACCGTCTTTTCAGCGGTGGATACCTCATCAGCGCCGTCTTGATTTGCGCCGAGTACCTGCGCCTCGGCATCTTCTACCGCTCGCAGCACAAGGTCCTGATGGCGAGTTTCGTGATCAAACTTGCCTTTGTGATTATCGAGCTTGCCCTCGCTATCGCGTTTGGGCTGCTCATGCGCAGCAGCGACCAGTCGAAGAAGAACCCTGCCGCGATCCTCGAATGGGGTATGTATTATTCAAATCGTATATCTCAGATCTCCCACTAACCTTTTCTTAGTGATTGCCTTTGTCTTCACCGGCTACATCCTCTCCTTCGTTCTCGACCTGCTCCCCTCCGTGCGCACCCGCAGACATCTACCGCAGGGTGAAAAGCGTCTGGAAATGGCGCACGAGGCCCCCAACGCACGCCACGGAGGCATGTCTCTTGATGAGCCGCTGACCACGGACTCGACGGGCCCGAACCCGACCAATGCCTACCGGGGCGCCCACTTTTAATTGTCTTCTCTTGCCTTGTCGCTTGATATATATGCAATCATGATTGATAATGTTTTGTTTTGATGGTTGTGGTTATTTTGATACCTGTTCACAAATGTGGTTCTTGCATGGAGTGTATTAGAAGGTGGTTTGCGTCATGATATGTACATTAGAAGAAGGGGTGTCGGTGTATTCATGCAAATGTTTCTCTCTTCCCAACCATAAGCACTCGCTCCTGTGATGCACCTGCCGCCAGGTCATATGTATCGTATCTGTACAAAACAAGAAAAGAGAAGAACGGCTGAACGGCTATATCCCACCGAAGATGAGCTTGCGCCGAATCCGCCCCTGCATGTCAGCATCAATCCCAATGCCCGTAAGATATCGCCGCACGCCCCCATATCGTAGATCGAGGTACTTCGTAGTCGCTTCGACAAATCCAGGCGGACAGCGCGTATACTCCGCATCAAGTCCAAGGGCACGAATCTCACGAATGCGTTCATCAAACTCAGAGACCAGCTCGGGCTCCGACCGCGTGTAGTCGTCCGCCATAGCAGCGGGGGAAACGGATTCCCCGACGAGGAGCAGCATCAGCAGCACAACTAGACCCGTGCGGTCCTTGCCCTGCGTGCAGTGCACGAGAACCGGGTACGTCTGTTCAGACGCGAGCAGCTCGAATACGCTTCGCAGCTCGGCGGCGCTGGCTTCTAGCGTGTCCTGGGCTAGGCCGGTCAGACCGCGCGGCCGCATGACTTGCTCGCCGACGAGCTTGATTGCGGTGTCGCGGTAGCCTGTTGCTGCTAGGGTGATGACTTTTCTATAAGATGTGAGCGATTCTACCTAATATTTTCAATAGACAGATGTGGAGAAAAGACGACGGGAGGAAGAGAGAGGGAGTACAAACACGTAATTATACCAGTCGAGCTTCCACAACAGAGCCCGCTCAAACCCCTTGCCTGTGAGACTGATTAGAGCGCGCCGACACCCAGGAATGAGCAGAAGATGTTCCTGGGCATCAGCGGGGCTCTGGGTTTGCGGTGCTGATGGCTCTGCCGAGTTGTTCGACTCATTCTCCGAGCGGCGTTTGCGCGTCGCCATTTCATGCTCGGTTCTTGCGTCGGTTAGTCCATGGTTGATTCGTCTGAGAGAGAGAAGCTCACCTTGAGCGTAGATCAATCACGGTCGAGATATGCAGTTCATCTGCAAGGCGGCGTTTATCTCGTTCGGAGGCATCGTCAAGCTATAACCGACAGACAGATACATCAATGGCACTTCTTGAAATATCGAACAGAAGAGAAAAATACCCTGGCGCTGCGGAAGAGAATGCCCTCGTTCAGAATTCTGCAGGTCCTGTCAGTCTGGTTGTGAATCAATGCCGGGGTAAGCAAGGGGACGGACTGCTTCCCGCAGAACTCATTAACCGAGCGGCCGACATCGCGGAAGTTAATGATATTGTCGAATGGCCGGCCGGGGGAGTCGAGGTCAATACTGGACTGGCGGGCCATGACGGAAAGAAGGTATTATATATGTACAATTATATTGCAGAGGGAAAACTCAGGATGAATGAATGAATGGCAGAAAGGGGGAGTGTTTAGTTTCCTGGACTGACAGATTGACAGTTCGTTGGGTGGATTTCCCGGAAAAAGAAAGGAAGGAATGGCGGTGGACAGTCTGACGTTGGGCACAACCACCACCAACATCGCCCTGTTTTTGGCCTGAAGGAATTTGAGTGGGAAGGAATGCCGCGGATCAGTTCACCATTGACTAACAACTAACTATACTAAACTACCACTCACGCATACTGGCTACGGTTGTCCTTCCACCGGGGCTGCAAATATGACCAATCGCGACTAAACTCGAATCCGGTACGATAAACCCCGTATGCCACGAGCTCCACCTGATCCAAGCTGGCGCCCTGATCAGTCAATGCCCACATGCTCAGGGCGAGGGCATTCTCGCCGCGGTTATTGATCACGCCTGGCGGGAAGGGGAAGAGCGTCTGGGGCCCCAGATGGGGCAGGTAGTGCGCGAACATGTACCCGTTCATGAAGACCTGCACGACAGCCGCGGTGCCGTTGGGCGCGCCGAGCTGCAAACCGATGGGAACGTCCAGGTCGTCGGCCAGGTCCAGGCGGAAGGTCGTCGTGTAGAAGGCGCCAGCACCGCCGGCGACCCCCTCGAGGGGACTGGATGTGGGAGACGAGCCCGGCGCCTTGTAGCCTGGTAGGTGCCAGCCCATTCGCTCGCCGTACAGCGCGCCCTCGTTCATGGGACCGCGCACGGGATCGATGTTCGCCTCGCCGCCGGCATTGCCCTGGATGCGCCAGGAAGTGAAGTTGCCGTCGGACAGCGTGGCGCCGAGGATGCCGCGCGGATTCTGTGTGCCGGCGGGCTTGACGTTGTCTTCGTCGTGGCCCGTGTAGTCCATAAGGATGGTCAGGATGTTGTCAGTGTCGCGCAGTGTGGAGCCATTAAAGGGCAGGAGGGCTGATGTCGCGGCCAGACTGGGGCTGCCCAGAGCACCGCCGACGTATGCTCCGTTCAGCCAGGCGGCCCAGCCAGCTCCGGCACCGCTTTGGACGGTGATATTGGCGCTTGTGGCGGTGTGGCCGTCGAATCGGCCTCGGTAGAGCTTTGTGCCGGCGTGGTAGCCGTAGTCGCCGGAGTAGAGCACTGGGAGCGAGAGCGGCGCGACGGCATTGACGGTACTCGATTTGTTGCAGACTGTCCAGCGTGAGTCGTCGTAGTCGGGCTGGATCTCGGGGATGGTGTCCTGCGCCTTCCACGGCCCCAGGGCAGGGAGCGAGATCTTTGTATTTTCAGCTCCCTGGGCGGTCCCAATGAGACTGCCATAGGCTGTCCGTTTGGTTTGGATTTCCTTTCCGTTCCATTTGATTTTTCTGACCTTGGAAGACCCGACATATACTCTGCAATGCATCGTTAGTAGAGCTTCTTTGTGGGCAATCCAATGCACGGTATACTAACTCAAGGGAAGTAGTATTGGCGTTATCGCCAACAAGGCTAACGGTATCCCTGCTGACCGTAGCTTCACGAACCAGGTACGGACCTAGGGCAAGGATCTGCTCACTCGGAGCAACATTGGGGTTTGATGTCGTGGGAACGGCAAAGAAATTCCACGCCGTCTCCTTGTCGAGCAGGTAGATGAGCACATCATTGGAGAATTTGATAACTGTCGCGCCTTGCCCCTGGATGTACGAGTACTGGGCCCCATAATTTGCCTTCGCAGAGCTGACCTGTGAATTGCCGTAGGTCTGGTAGGTCAGATGGGCCGGTGCATCCTTGAAGGCGAAGTGGCCTTTCTGGCCGATATTCAGGTAAAACACAATAACGTCAGCATCAAGGGTGGCGTAGGTCAGAACCTCGGCGGAGGAGTACAGCAGGCTGGACTGCGTTCCGATCTGGTAGTCCGTGACAATGATCTTGCTCTGGCGGCCATCTAGTTGGATATCCGGGATGGTGAGGGCACCTATGTTCACGGAGTGTTAGCAAAGCCCTGTAACACATATAGACCACATACCAGCTGAAGTATTGACATTCAACGAAAAATCCGTCACATCGCGAGACGGACTCGAGTCATGCGCAAGAACATAGAACCCAGCATTCGTGCTCGGGTTCCGCAGGGCCCAAGTATAGATACTGCTGTCATCAGTATACCCCGTGCCATTCCCTTCCATCTCCGTGTGAAGCAAGCCACTCGAGACTCGGGTGAAAAGACCCAGCAACTTCGTCTGTTTCAACTTATCTCGAATCTCGCGAGTCTCACGCAATGGCGCATCGTAGTCGTACGATGTATAGACGACGGGCGTGGCGCTGTATCCCCAGTTTGTCCCACCGAAGGCCATGTAGAGGCTCTGCAATGTCACGCGAGAGCCGACGTTATTCTTGTAATACACGTCCGCGAACTCGGGGGACTGCTCTGCAGCGCACTGGTCGTAGAAATACCCGCCCCAGGGCTGGAACCAGCCGCCCTCAAACTCGGGGAGAAATCCCGGCTGCGTATAGGAGTAGTTCTGGAACCATTGGTAGTAGGTACGCACGAGATTGAATCCCGAGTCTGGGTTCGTGCAGGATAATCCCCCGGGATACGAATCCAACCCGTAGACATTGACCGCGCCGCCGACATCTTCATAGTCTGTGGACCAGCTTTCGGAGCGCATGCCCTTCTCATTATGGGTGCTGGGGACAATCACCCCCGCTTCATCAAACACAGCGGTGATCTGCTCCATATACTCCACGAGTGTATTGGTGGGACTGTGATCCGTCTCCTGCAATTCATTCTCATGCTGAACGAGAATAACAGGCCCGCCATTCGTGACCTGGTTTCTGGCGATGATCCGGCCGACATTTAGAATCCACGGCTGCCAGAGCGAATAGTACGACTCAGCGCTTGTGCGTTCCTTGCCCATCTGCCCGTTCGCAGCCCACAGCGCGAACCCGCCGGCGGAGGTCTCGCCGTTGCAGTACGGCCCTGCGCGGGCGATCACGTACAGACCGGCCTGTTTGGCGTAGTCGAAGACGCGTTGGATATCGTGGGCACCTGTTTCGAAGTCGAATGTGCCTTCTGAGGCGGAGTGGTAGCTCCAGAAGAAATAGACTAGTACGTAGTTGAGGTTAGTCATAGTCTATATAGGGCTATTTATTTTCGGGGGAAGACGCACTGGACACAGCATTGAATCCGTTCGCGCGCAGTTTCTGGAACACGTCCAGCCACATTTCCGGCACGGGGAGGCGCATGTAGTGGAATTCGCCTGAGAAGATGTACACCCGCTCACCGTTCACGGACAGGCTGTATGGGTCCCAGGTTACGGCGGTGGTGTTGCCATCGTTGGTGGCGGCGACCAGGCCGAGGCCCGAGAGGAACGCAACGAAAAGCAGAGGAACAATGCTGAAGATGCGCATTTTTGGCTGATGTTCTTCAATGGAGAGAAGATTTTCGTGTCTATTTATTTTGGTTTCGTTTTCTCGGTTCTCGCGGTAGCAATACCCCGGCTGTGATGCTATTGGTGGATGTTTTAGATGCGAGCAGGGGAGCTAAGGGCTTGTGGATTGCGGGGGAGGACACGCCGGAGACTTGAGCCCGGGGATACAGGCCCTCTATGTACATGGTTGATTAATGAACACACTTAGAGAATAGATCAGGGCGTAAGACAATCGATCCAGTCAATCATCTGTAATTGATTATAACCAAGCATGTTCTAGCGTATACATCATGGATTAGGTATACATTCGCTGCATGAGAGCGCGGACATAACGCTTTGAAACAACATTTCAATCACCACAAATTCAACATCTCAAGGATATCATGACGCGCAAAAAAGGACCGATTCCGTTTACCGAAGACATCTTGAATCCAGTTAGTGGTGGAGACGAGTGAATCGCGGAAACCACTTACACATGGGTATACTTAGCATACAAATTCCCACCTCGATGCTGCCGACGACGATCATCGTGTGTTTCACTCCGCCGTGGCTGAACCAGTCGTAGGCGTAGAAGGTTAAGACGAAGCTGAACATGTTCTTGAACACCAGTAGACAAGTAAACGCCTCGACGGCGATCTCCCCTGTACGAGCAGTCAGCAATAGTCCCCGACAATGATGTATGGGGGCACGTACGATGGGCATCGACGATGTATAGTGACCCGGCCACTGCACCCATGACCATGCCGATAATAACAAACATCAAGAAGACATCCGGCAGCAGCCAGTGGTAGTGCTCCACATCACCCGCCGTCCAGCCGAACCCGTACAGCCCGATGCCGGAGAAGATGAGCTGGAAGGCAACCAGCAAGATGCGGAACTCGGGCTCATATCGGCCGTTATTGAGGCGGATCATCAGTTTGTTTATCGCCTCGCTGAGCAGGCCGGACAACACAAGTCCCACCATGGAGCCGATGAAGGCACCCGTGTACAGATAGCCCGTTTGGACTTCGGAGAACCACAGAGGCGGGGTCAGGAAGACGATGGCCAGGATGACACCCAGAAAGACGGCCCAGCCGATGATGACACCTTGGATCAAGCACGCCTGCGTTTACCGTTAGTATCTGGTGTTCGTTCCATGCAGGTACTCGGCTACTCACCCAGATGATGCTTGGATGAAAGAACAGCGGAAACGGACGGAGGAGCAGCTTGAAAAAATTCTCGTCGGTCTTCCGTCCATTGAACGGCCTCAAGGTCTTGAGGAATGAATCCTTCTCCAGAACTGGCTGCTGCGCAGTAACCTGTGTGTTCGACGTGCCATTCAACGTGCCATTCAATCCCTGAATTGGGAGATCCTTGGGCTCTTCTCCATTGGACTCACGGCTCAGTGGCTGCTCAGCCTCCGGAGATCCGTTCCGGTTTCGGTTCTTGTGTCTGAAATCTGTATTCAGGTAATCCGCACGCCGGTACGCGGTCTCCGGCACAAAGAAGACCATGAGTGGTAGCGCGGCCGCGAGAAAAATCGCCACGAAATAAAATGTCCACTTCCAGCCCATGGTTGCGGTGATCTTGCCGACGGGCACAGGGGTCAAGAACGCGGCGCCGAACAGGGCGACGTTGGAGACGGCCATGCGTTTCCCGCGCTCATGCAGGAAGTATAGATCGCCGACGCAGGCATTGACCAGCGCTTCGAAGGGCGCCAATGCCACGCCCTGGAAGACCCGCGCCCAGAGCAGACTGGTGCCGTTTGAGCCGCTGGCCCCGGCCCAGGCACAGCTGACGATCATCAAGACGTGCCCGATGAGGAAGAGGTGGCGCTTGCCCCAGACGCGCGCGGTGGGCACGATCAGGATCCCCGCCACGCCCACGCCACACAGGTGGTAGCCGGTCAGCAGCGCGGCGTCGGTGATGGTGATCCCATCGTCCTCGGCGATGTTGAGCGTATTGGGAGCCAAGATGGAGCTCATAGAGGTACAGAGCACCGTCACCCAAGCCAGGACGGCGAGGATGAGGTCGCGCCGCCATAGTGGCCAGTTCTAGGTTTGGGTCAGCTCATGAACGTTTACGGGATGATTACATGCATACCAGTGGATCGTTGGGGTCGTCACTCGGCTGTGGCACGAGGATGATGGGCACTTTGCCGGAGTAGTCATACTTCAGGCCGGCGATGTTTGCATGTTCTCTGTTGATGCGGTCCTGCTCGTAGACATCGGATGTACCTTGACAGCCAAAATATTAGCAACGCTCTTCACCAGTTCGCAGGCACTCTCACCCGGCACCTGGTCGAGCTTCGTATCCTCCAGCACCCCGAGACCCATGGTGGGGAATGTAATATGTCAGAGAGAAAAGTGAAGAGTCGAGTGGAGAGGGGGAAGAACAAGGCTAAGCCAGCAACACGGTAGTTGGAGAGCTTGTTAGTCACACCAGGATTCTCCTAACGTTAGCTCTCCTCTAGTTGTCAGACCGACCGTGCGTGGGCCGTGTGACGGCGGTGAGGTGAAGCCCCTGAAGGCGATCGACAGTGGGACCGAAGTACCAAGTGGATGAACTATTCATTAGTGGCGACAGCCGAGGCATCACACTCGTCCAGGACCAATGGAGTGGATCATGACGCGGCACAGTTTGTGATTGCTTAGTCCCTGCCGAATCTGGGGAAGAACAGGGAAAGGGGTGGGTAAGAACGCGTATGAACCATGTATGAACCGGGTACGAGACGGAGAAAGCGTAGGTAACGGAGGTATCACAATGACCGGGTCCCTGAACGAACCGTGCCCTCTCGACCCAGTTTAAAAGGCGGGGACTGTTTAGCTGACTTTCTTTCTCTTTCTCTTTGTCTTTTCTCTTCCCCATCTTCATTTGCCTCACGTTCCCATTCCTCTCTCTACTTCTACTACTACACTCAACATGAAGTTCTTCCACATCACCGCTGTCGCTGCCCTCGCCGCCTCGGCTGCTGCCCAGGGCTTGATGAGCGATCTCCCATCTTGCGCCGTACGTGAAGCTCCCCATTGGACCCAGAACCTCCACTGACACCGTCCAGAAAGAGTGCGTCGCAAATGCCCTTCCCAAGGACTGCGGCCTGGACATTGGCTGCATCTGCAAGACCAAGTCGTTCATCAACAAGATGGCCTGCTGCGTGGAACCGGCGTGCGACATGGCGGACCAAAAGAGTATGTACCTGTCGTGAACGTTCATCAAGCGCATGGAACTCATCATCCACAGAAACCATCGAGGTCGCCAAGAAGATCTGCAAGACGGGCGGCGTGACCGACATCCCCAACAGCGTTCACTGCGACAAGGGCTCGTCCACTGGCGGAGAGAGCTCGAGCTCCACTACCGCCACGGGCTCCGAGGCCACCGGCAACACGACCATGACGCAGACCACTGCCTCGGGATCTAGCACGGCGTCTGGCACTACCTCGACTTCGGCCTCGGCCGCGGCCTCGACCACTACCAACGCCGCTGTGTTCGGCCAGAGCAAGGATAGCTCCTTGATGGCCGCGGCAGGTGCTGCTGCTGCCTTCGCCATCCTGGTTTAGACTCTGTACTAACTCAGAACGGTGAAGGAGAGTGAGATCATGATAGTTTGAAAAGAAGGGGTTCCGGTCCTTTTGTTGCTCGTCACTGCGCGTACCTCGGGGAAAGTAATGGCTGTGGATATTTTTTTCTTCATCGGGATAATATGTGTCAATAGCATTGTCTTGATCCAGACTACCTCAATAATAATCACGGTTGGATGAACAAGACGTTTTCTTTCTATAAGTACAATTCGACGGACAGGGAGATTCAATTCTCGCGAGCGTCTTCCAGGAGCTTGGTCAATCGCTCCTGTCGCTCGTCACGGAGCGTGCTGAAGATCTGAGCCGTGTCAGCCGGTCGAATGTGAAGAGAGTGGTGCAGAGAACCACTTACCCAGAACCAGGTCATCATCTCCATGAACCCAAACGAAAACACCACACGATGCTTCAAACGGTTCAAGCCCGAAGTCGCCACCGCAGAGGTATACGACGACAGCATGTACTCGCCACGGCCATAGTAAACAAAGAACGCAAGGGCGCCGTACACCAGGAACCGACAGCCGGAAATGGCAACCCAGACGTTCCAATAGACCGTCAAGGACTTGGTGATGTACTCGGGTAGCGTTTCCAGAACGCGGAGATCCTCCGAAGGGAGGTTGGTGTTTCGCAGGGGTCGGATGAAGGGTAGGGCCTCGTCGAGAGCTTCGTGGAAGGGGATGTTGGAGAGGAGGACTAGGTCGATAAGGGCCTCGACGAAAAGCAGCACGGCGCAGAAGGTGAATGGGTTGGACTGTTGGGGGCTGGAGATGGAGGGGAAGTTCTATTGTAGGAGTTAGCTCGTTGGTTCTCGGCGAGAGAGGGTTGGCGGCGTAGTTACAATCTTCAGGCTCTCGCCTAGCATAAACACCAGGTCGGAGTCGGTGATCGTCTCGGGGTTCTTGACGAGGTAACCCGCAATGACCAGCAGGAGCACGGCATGTGCCTGGATGAGGGTTTTGGATGAGATCAAAACCATGGTTGTGGTGTGCGACAAATGTGAGAGAAGAGTGAAGGGAAAAAACAAGGGAGGAAGGAAAAGAGAGGGACAGACCATGTGGGGAAGATCCGCGGGCTCGACTTGCTTTCCTCAACATCATCTCCGGCCCTCATATCATGGCCTTCCACACCGACCGCCATGTCAAGTACTACCTACGCTGTCTCAAGACCTTCCTACCCTCCCTCTACACCTCCAATGACTCCAATCGCATGCTCCTCGCCTACCTAACCCTCTCGGGACTCGACGTCTTGGGCGTCCTCCACGACAAAACCACCCCAACTGAACGACAAGGCTATATCGAGTGGATCTACCACTGTCAGGTACCATCGGGCGGGTTCCGCGGGTTCTCCGGCACGGATTTCGGGCGCGAGAAGCTCAATCGCGTGAATGCAGTCTGGGATCCGGCCAATGTGCCCGCCACTTTCTTTGCGCTGGTGAATCTCCTCGTGCTGGGCGATGACCTGTCGCGAGTTGACCGGAGGGCGTGTCTGCAGTGGCTGCCGAAGACTCAGCGCGCAGATGGGAGTTTTGGAGAAGTGCTCGGCGTGGATGGGAGGGTGGAGGGTGGGCGGGACTTGCGATATTGTTGCTGCGCGGCGGGGACACGGTATATCCTTCGCGGGCGAAGTGGGAAAGGGCTCGAGGGCGTGGAGGACATAAATGTGGCGCAATTGGTCTCTTTCATTGAGGCGTGTCAGGTCTGTTCTTCTTGTCTGATCTTGCGCGGTCGGAAACTGATCCGCCTCGAATAGACATACGATGGCGGCATGGCCGAGTCTCCCTTTCGGGAAGCGCATGGTTGGTGATTGATTTATATTTGGTTTACATACTGTTTCTAACATGATCCAGGTGGCCACACATATTGCGCCATTGGCTCATTGACCCTGCTGGAGCGAATATCCAATGACTTACCACCGACGCCGCTCCTGACACCTGGCACCAGACAGTATGAGGCATTGCTGGCCTTTTTGGTGTCAAGGCAGACAGCGATGCTTAGCGACGAGCCGGAGGATGAGGTACTGGACGAACTCCCCGGCACATCGCTCGACGAAAAGATCCAAAGCCTGCCCGACATCACACCACGGGATGGCGACGCAATACCCTGTGCCGGCTTCAACGGCCGGTGCAACAAGGTCGCAGATACCTGCTATTCCTTTTGGAATGAGGCATCTCTCCTGGTAAGTGAGCCTTGTTCTCACACGTGGCCATCCGCTGATTCCCCAAGATGCTGGATCGACTATCTCTGGTCGACGAAACGCGCAACCGGCGATATCTCCTCGAGAAGACGCAACATATCATCGGCGGCTTTGGGAAGTGTGCTGGGGAACCGCCAGGTCAGTGCCGGAATTTTATTGAATTGACTTGTGTGCTGAATTAATTGGATCTAGATCTGCTTCATGCGTACTTCGGGATGGTGTCGCTTGCTTTCCAGGGTGAGCCGGGATTAGGTCGCGTCGATCCCTCGCTGGGAGCCAGTGAGAGCGCTGTTCGACACTTAGAGTCTCTGCCCTGGTGGTAGTAGCCTTGACCGAGGCATCTATTGGCCGGACGGCCAGTCAATTGCCGGTCAGCGGGCCACGCGACGGCCACCTCGATTAGGCATCGGCGGAGCGAAGTCAGTGCCTGACTGAGGGCCGGCTGTGTATCTTTGAATAAATAAATATCGAATCTCCATTAGACATCAATAGTCTACAGCGGAAGAACTAGTTGTACGAGAAATAATTCTATTGTTGTCGGACAAAGAGGTTAGTCAGAAAGGGGCCTCAGGGGCGTCATTGATTGATGGAAACGCAACAGATCCACTCCACCGTTATCCCTTGGCTTCGACTCCGAATGTCTGACTGACTGACTTCACGATACCTACTCTGACCAACACACCTGGCGCACTGCTTGCCCTTGACACATGCCGCCCAGGACGAGAGCGGGGGTTCAAAGCCAGCAACAGAAGGAAAAGGTATGTGTGTGTTTGTGTGGTTACCAGTGAAGTCGGGCCACTAACCACTTCGTCCAACAGCTTGCCAGCTCTTACAATGAATTGCTCAAGTACGCATCCCCGACCGCCCATCATCACCCACCTCTGACCCATACTCCACAGGGAATTCTCCTCCAAGGACCTCCGCAGCGTAGGGAACTACACGTTGGGCCGGCTGATCGGGAAAGGCTCCTTCGGCAAAGTCTACCTGGCGTCGCACAAGCTCACCAATGGCTCCAAGGTCGTGCTCAAGTCATCCAGCAAGGAGGATACCAATCTCGTGCGCGAAATCCACCATCACCGCCAATTCCGCCATCCGCATATCGCCCGCCTGTACGAGGTCATTGTCACTGAGAGCTTGGTCTGGCTGGTGCTCGAGTATTGTCCTGGTACGACACATTCTCCAGAGGGGAAGAAAGACGCTGACAATGGACTCACCCCGATGGTTTAGGCGACGAACTCTACAACTACCTCCTCCGCCACGGCCCACTCCCGGTCGAGAAAGTGAAACGGATCTTTACACAGCTGGTGGGAGCGGTGGCCTATGTCCACAGTAAATCATGTGTGCATCGGGATCTCAAGCTGGAAAATATTCTCCTGGACAAGCATGAGAGCGTCAAGTTGTGCGACTTTGGGTTCACGCGCGAGTATGAAGGGAAGGCGAGCTATCTCCAGACGTTCTGCGGCACCATCTGCTACAGCGCGCCGGAGATGCTCAAGGGAGAGAAATATGCAGGCGAGAAGGTGGACGTGTGGAGCTTGGGCATTATCCTCTATGCACTTCTAGCGGGGAGCTCCCCTTTGACGAGGATGACGACCAAGTGACCAAAACCCGGATCCTCTCGGAGGAACCGGTGTTCAAGGACGACAAGTTCCCGGATGATGCCAAGGCGTTGATCAATCTGCTCCTTTCCAAACGGCCGTTGATCCGTCCCAGTTTAGATGAGATTCTAGCTCACCCGTTTCTCGCGGAGCACGCGGCGGAGCAGTTAGCCATTCTGAAAATCCCGCAATCATCCCCATTCACCACACCATTGGAGAAGACGACATTGCAGCGAATGAAAAGTGCCGGTGTCAACATCGACGAGGTCATTGAGAATGTGTTGGCTCAGCGATGCGATCCGCTTGCTGGATGGTGGGCACTGTTGATTGAGAAGGAGCAGCGGAAGGAGGCCAAGAGAGAGCGCAGACGACGGGAACGGGAAGCCGACACGAAGAACCTCCGCCGTCTCAGTGCTGCAAGTAGCCGGTTCGAGAAACGGTCGTCAGCCCTGATGGATGTGGCCGAAGAAGGTCAAGAAGCAAACTCAAGCAGCAACCTCCAGGAACGCGGACGCCGAGACAGACGAAGCTTACCCTCTCAGCTGGCCGTTCCAGAACTTCCCGCGCTCCCTGAACCTCTACCAGAACCGATGGAATTACCACGGCCTGCGGATGCCCAATCTATCAAGTCTGTTAACACACACGCATCAATACGACGACGCCCTGTTCCACCACCGAAAGACAAGCGACGATCGCGAGGCAGCATGCTTCCCGTCAGTGCCTCACAGCCGGAACTGGCGCAACATGGGGGTATCTTTCGACGTCGCACCAAGCGTCACCAATATCCGATTATTAGCCAGCTGGCCTCACTCAAACATTGGTTCGTCGAGTCGGCCAAGAGGGCCAAGTCTCCGAATGCAAAGGCGGTCTCCCGCAAATTTATGTCTGAGAAGAACAGCCCTGCAAAGAGCCAGGATAGCGGAAAGAATCCCGTCACGTCGTCTTCGGCTGGCGAAGCTACAGGAGAGGAGGTCGTGACTCCAACCCAGGCCAAACGGATCTCCACGGCCAGCAGTCTTGCTCCCAGCAGCGCGTCATACCGTCAGAACCGCAACTCTTATGGGCGTCAAACGCGGGCATTGAACACAGGGCACTCTAGCAATCGCAACTCGCTTTCGCCCTCACCGATCACGCCGCGGGGTTCATACTACCGACATTCATCGACCGGGTTACGAGGTCGCAAATCCACCTCGTCTTCAGTCTCCTCGATCCGTAGTATTCATCACACTCGTGCCCACTCAAAAGCATCATCTCTCTCATCCAACAGCTTAGAAACTGCACACACCCCAACCGGCAGGCTTTCCAAATCTCCCCATTCATCCCTCAAGGTTCTGCCCACCACCCCAGGCCCTTCAGCTCGCTTCCCAAGCAATATCCGACTAGTACGAGGGTCTGGCGGGACGGCCCGGGATTTTGATGATCGGGCCGCGGGACAGTCGGGATCGGTCTTCAACGAGCCGGCACCTGCACCCATGCTATTTTCACCGTCTTCGAGCCTCGTCTTTGCTCGACGCAAACGGTCCGCGTTCAAAGGCCCCATGCTTCACACGGCCAACCTGATGGTATCAGGCGGGATGGGGACGGTCAGCTCGCCTCCCCCAGGCAAGCAACCAAACAACAGCGCTCTGGATCTCGCAGCTGCACGACCCGGCACACGAAAGAGCCAGATAATCGAAGAGGAAGAGGACGGCGAGGATATGGAAGAAGAAGACATTGAGGAAGTCGATGAATTTGACCCTGCCGATGAGGTGATTCCTGGTTCGCCGGCCGAAATTATCAAACCCCAGACTCCAATCATGGATTACCCCGAGCATGAGCATGCCGTGGAGACCGGATCTCCCTCCTCAACCCGCAAGCCGGCTCTTGCCCCTGCTCCCGACCTCGAATCAAGCCCTCTGTGTCCTCCGCGGTCTTCGTCGCTTCGTGCACCGCGTCGTCCGGGAACCGCCACTACTGTTTCTGAAGATGGCCTCGAGAGCAGCGAACCCGCTCCACAGGACAACGATAAGGAGAACGCTGGTTCTGAAAATGCTGCTGTTACTGCTGCTGTTGATTATGACGTTGCTGCTGCCAAACCAGCGACTTGAGCGGGAGCTTATCGTTTGACACTCTGTTCCCGCCACGATTCTCATTCCCGCCGTGTTGGCTAGACGATAGACCCTTTTTTTGTTTTGTCTCTTTTGCCCGATTCTTGTTCTTGCTGGTTTCCTTCCTATCTATACCCCCGATCGATCGATGCAGTTCCCATACACAGCGCGTGCCCTTTTTCTGTTATCATTATTTCCACATCTCCTTTACCAACCAGCCATGAGAACGGACACTGCATTGCCGTTATTTTGTGTGCCTCTTCCATTGGTCTTTTTCTTCCTGATTGTAAAGCCGCTTTGTGAAGCGCTTGGACTCCCGATAATTTTCTCTTTTCTTGTGATCTGATTCACACACTCGCTCCCTTCTGCTTCCCTATCTACTTCTTCGCTGCATGTCCACCCTCATCTTCACCTTACCTTCTCCATTGCCCTTTATAGAATACTGTTTCTCTATTGTCATCTGGTATCCACGCCCACATAACGATATTGCATTCTTCTTACATTTCCAGGTCTTCTATGTCTTGTCTAAGGCTATGGTAAGGCCTTGGTTTGTGTTTGGCTTATCCTAAGAATGAGCCCTATATAATTAACATCAAATCCAATTCTATGCAGGATAATTTCGTCAATTGACTTAGGCGGATCTAACCCTCGTTCCAACATCTATTAAGATCAAACAGCCAACCCAATCTCGTAATGAAGGAGGGAAACAATTTGTTCTCGCTCGACTACCATCACCGTCTCACTTTTCCTCTGCATTTGAAATCCCCTTCAACCTGGTACTTGGCAAAGTGTCTGGCGGGCACTTTGTTCTCGAACAAGTAGTCGATCTCTGCGTATGTGCGGCCTGATGTTTCCGGTATGCGAAAGTAGGCCCAGATGAGTGTGGCCAGAGACGTTCCTCCAAATACGAACCAGACCTTGCCCCGCAAGTCCGCAGCACCTGGATTAACAGCCATATCGAGAATGGCAGTACTTTGTAGTCCTGTAAAGGCGTCCCCGGCACTATTCGCGAAGAGCTATTCACGGAAGAGCAGTAGAGATATGAAAGCTAGCAGTCTAAGCATAACAAAAATACTCGCTGCTATGGGAAATTGCCTGTCTATAAATGTAAACTTACTAAGGGCACAACTTTGTCTATAATCACGAGCGGCTGACCCGACTAAAGCGTTGGCTATAGTCCCACAATCAAATAGTTAGATATTAGATTAGCTTAGTATCGACGGAGCTCGAGATGTGGCCGTGAGGGAATATAGTGCATAGTAAGAAACTAATGTTATTGACGACAATTTAAAGCCGGCAAGCGCACGATGTGGTGCTAGCGAATGGTCTATATCGATCTCGAATAGACCCATAAGGACCAAGATCCGGCATTTCTCATTAGAAAAAGGAATTGTGGTGGCTATCGGACGCCGCAGATATTAATAAATAGTTATTTCATCCAGGTTCCTATACTTAAGAAAGAGGTCTGGCGTAGGCGTGGTGCTAGAATGTCCCGAACCCACTGAGATAGATTAGGTAAACTGTGCGAGAGTGCTTGACTTGGGATTGGCAATGGGGTCCCCACCAAAATTGGACGCCTAAAGGGGCGAAGGGATTTCGCTTTAAAGACGAGGGCCCTATTACCATGATTACATCTTTGGTCTCTGCCTCTGTTATTCGATAAGATGCCCTTCCATCAGGTTAAGATCGGCCAATATGAGCGTCCTTTCGACACCCTCGAGCTCCTATATCGTGGCATTGCAGCAATCGGCACACCTTATCAGAAGGAGCAATACCTAGTATCCAGTGGTATTCGGCTTAAAAATGCACCCGCTGTGACGGAATTGCACCAGGCTTGGAAGGCATTACGGCACCAACACCCGCAGATCGCAGCTGTTCCTGACCAGACAGGCTCTCGATTGATCTATACAGTTCCTTCCTCGGAAAGCCTCAACGAATGGCTACAGAATACGTTTATTGTGCACTCCAATGAGACTCGCTCCGCGGAGAGTCTGGATGCATCTCTTCGGCCATCCTCCCTATTCATGCTTCATTATCTGCCACAGTCAAGGGAGTTATTATTCCGTACACCTCACTGGCGCACCGACGGGATAGGCCTAATCCTATTGCAGCACGACTTCTTGACATTGCTTGTTCGAGGTTTTCAATCTGCCTTAGAATTCAATGGCTCTGAAGTGTCACGCATACCTCCAAGCTTGGATGAGGTCGCTTGTATCTCCTTGGACATTACCGACGAAATGAAACGAGCTACCGAGGCTGAGCTGTCCGTTCTTGCCACTGGCTCAGCACCAGCTTCCATCAGCAGAACTCTTCCAAATACTTCACCTGGGAATTCGCGCCGCGTGAGTGCTCGTCTTTCCAAAGATCTCAGTCAGCAACTCGTAGCGGCGAGCAAGTCTCGTGGCCTGACAGTCACGACAGCTGTCCAATCCGCTCTTATCGTCACTGCACGACGGCATATGGCTCCCGCGGACGGTCGCTTAATCTGCTTCAACACATATAATGTCCGCGATCGGGTTCCGGTGCCCTGGAGTGGACCTCAGGGAGCGACTGGTCTGTACCATACAGGTCGACCCTGTAGCGTTGAATTGGGTGTCAACAAGGATTACAATGCTATAGCTGCAACCTTGTCTGCCCATTACCAGCGCGATCTACAGCCACTGTTCGAAATGATGCCATATTACGTACAGAGCATCGGCGCATTGCTGGCGACGCCACTAGAACTAGCAATCCAAGCACCGGGTGCCGCGCACCCCGAGCTCAGCTCACTTGGTATCATCGACGACCATTTGCCCGCAGTTCATGCTGGTCCCGCAGGCACAGCGGAGATCGAAGACTGGTGGCTCGGTGTCCAAATAATCAACCGACTTTTGCAAACCTATCTATGGACACGAGTGGGTCAGCTGCATCTTTCCTGCCATTTTAATGACGCTTTTTATGAGCAGGATTTTGTCGAGGGCCTTTTGAAGGAGTGGGAATCAGTATTAGTGCGAGAGTTGATGGCCTAACCGCGAGCCTATGAACCAATTATAAACACGCACATACAAGTCGAGGTTCTAAATGTGGGTGCTCCCCTTAGCGCCGGGGGCCTAACATGACGAAGGGACCCAAGTATAAGAGCGTAGCAGTCTAATTTGAAATTCCTCGATTTTGGTCATATTCAAAAGTGTCATTCGACAATAAAAGCCATGACTGACCAACAAACCTGGCTTGTGACTGGCTGCTCCTCTGGTCTGGGAGAATGTCTAGTCCGGGCAATCCTTGCGGCAGTATGCTATTGGGTTCTACCCACTTTTTAGTTAAATCTAGATTGCTAACGAACGGCAAATAGGGCGATCAAGTGATCGCAACGGCTCGAGCGCGAGACAAGAGCGCCCTTGAACGTCTAGCTCCTCTGAAAGAGGCAGGGGCCGCTGTGTTGGAGCTAGACGTGACGGCACCAGCAGAAGTGCTCAATGCCAAAGCTAAAGAAGCATGGTCAATCTACGGGAAAGTCGATGTCCTGGTCAATAATGCCGCCTATATTGACGCAGGCGTTTTTGAAGAGATCGAGTGAGACTTGAGAAAGCCCATTCATTGTGCATGTTTATAACCTAACACGGCCGCTAGCGAAGCATTCCTGACTCGTGCCCTTCGCAACAACGCCTTTGGGCCTCTTAACCTTACGCGCGCCTTTCTACCATACATGCGGAGTCGGCAGATGGGAACCATTGTGTTCATGTCATCCGTTGGCGCTTATTATGGTGCACCAGGCGCGAGCGCATACGCAGCGTCGAAGGGTCTACTTGAAGGACTGGTGCCCAGCCTCGCCCTTGAAATCGAGCCATTTGGCCTCCGAACTTGCATGGTCACGCCTGGGTATTTTCGTACCAGTGTTATGTCATCGGGAAATATTCTATACCGAGCCCCAAATCCATTGCCGGAATACGCGGAGATGAATAAACTAATTCAGGCGGGTTGCAGTGCCACCGATGGCAATCAGCCAGGGGATCCTTCCAAAGCAGCAGCCCTGGTTGTGGATGCTGTTAAGTGTCAGGGTCGTTGTGCTAGCAAACTGCTTCCTGCCCTACTTCCGGTTGGACCGGATGCATTGAAGGCAATCAGGGATAACTCCCAAGCCAAGTTAAAGATATGCGACGACTGGGAGGATATGGCATCCGCTACCAATTTGTAAAGTATGCTGCCGTGCGAAATGTCCTACTCCATCCCAGGTTACAATTTTTGTTCCTTTAGAATAGAAAGCAAATACCACGTACTACCGTGGTCTTTCCGTTGTCACCTAGGCGAAAGTCGAGCCATGCACGCGGCGTGTTGGAAGATTGTCGAGAGCCTCTGAGGCAAATATGAGTTTACAATGGCTGAATTAGATGGCTTTCTCGATATTTCATCTGATCTTGCACCTTTCCTGCCTGAAATGCCCTACACGGTGACTCTGATCGAGATCGACACGGATCTTAGGTCTCATCAAAATAGCACTACGACTCCCCCTGCAGATGAAAATTTGTTCACCACCCTAGAAGAAAGGGGCTGCAAAAGTCTCCTCGCTAATTGACGTTTCTAGACATATCGAGCTATCATGGTGTTGGACCAAAATACCGGCAGAAAAAAGAAAACTTCAACTCGGAGCAAATTAAAAGAACTCTTTAAATTGTTCTAAAGCTAAGGAACAAGCATTATCTTTGTGGCTGCCATCTCCAACACAAGAGCACAATCCAGCCAAGTATATAACCTCCATGGCACAGTATAGCTTAAATACCGGAGCATCCTTCTTCATACTATTTAAAGGGTAGGTATAATGGCACAACAAAAACACCTCTGGACCAATCAAGCTCCTCATAGATATTGCTATGTAAGAAAAAGACAAACGTGAACTAGAGAGTGATACAGCCCTCCATAACCTGTACAGCGGAACCTTCAAGCATCAAACGTTCGACACTAGTTCTTGAGCCATCCAAGGTGACATCTAACAGTATATGGCTCTCACGTCCCATTTCGACACCCTGTGTAATCTCAAATCTCCTGCGCTCCGATACATTTTCCTTCTCAGGATAGAACAGGGAAAGATAAGCGACAAGCGCACAAGAGGCAGCCCCAGTGGCCGGATCCTCCGTCGAACCAAAGACGACTCTAGTCCTTAGCTTAGTTGAGCCGTCTGAAGATTTCCCCAGGCGAACAAAGAAAGCAAAAGCAGTAAATGTCCCATCAGGGTGCCATTCTGTATCCAATTGGCCGTCGACATTGACGTCTCGGAGGCCAGCACGGACCTCTCCCAGGATCTCTAGAGAGGGTAATTCGACCAGAATAAATGTCATTCCTTTTACCAGGGACACAAAGGGTGGCGGATGCACCATATTCTGGGCGATTCCAGGTGGGAGACCGTACGATAGTGCCTCATTGACAGTGAGCACCTTATCATGGAGATGAAAGTTCTGTGGAACTTCAACGGAGCTCGTCCTCGACTTTGGATCGTAGGTGAAAGGGATAGGGCCAGCTTTCGCTATAACTTTTCCGTGGATAGGGCCTTTCGAGGATTCCAGCTGACTGCGCGCTGCCTGGATTTGGGCGCCTAGGTAACACGTCGTCCCGATGGTTGGATGACCAGCAAAAGGGATTTCCGCTGTTGTTAAAAAGATTCCGATTTTCCACTCGGGCAACTTGACGTCCGCTGTGTCTCTAACGCTAGCTAGCTCCTGGTCATTGTCGTGTAGAATGATCGTCTCCGAATAATTGAATTCCCGAGCAATTGTTTGCTTCTCGTCCTGGGTCAGAGTCACTGATGCCGGAACCTTGACTACAGCAAGTGGATTGCCTTTGAATCTAGTTGTGGTGAATACATCGAAGGTAAGGTAGGCTAGCTTGCGAGGAGATGGTGAGGCCATTGTGTTTGGTTGTGGACACGCTTTGATGGGGAGAAAAAATGCAGCTGAAAGCCGACAATTTGCTTTTAACACCAAAGAGCAGAATATTTGTCCTGGATCCCGCGAGAGGCAGGCAAGTCTTTAAGACTCGGAAGAAGTGACTCAGAATACGAGCTCACTCGGAATACGAGGCCCGAAGGACAGTCAGAAGATGGCCAAGTGAATTGGCAAGTTAGCCTCCAACTTGGCACTATCAGATGAAACCCTTCTTCTCTTGGCGACGTCTTCCCGGCGACAGGACACGGTTCCCCTCAATATTTCAGACCATAAGAAAAGACTCCCAGACCCGCCAGATTATCTCCCAGGAAGACAGCCTTGATTCTACCCAACTGAACGAGTGGCATGCGGTTTGATATACGGGCCGAGCTTCTCGCACCGCCGCGTCTATGCGCAAGGCATCAAGCACGCGACGCACTGGTACAGGTATCGCCATCGCGAGCACCCGAAGCTCTACGCGCATTGAATACCCCTCGACCTGACTTACTGTCGCCAAAGCAGCCTGGCCCCATGCAGGGTGTGGGAAGGTTTTTGGCGTGGTCAAAACAGAGCGAGAACATCTAGCTTATTTTTGCTAGAAGAGTTTGAATCAATATGCAGTTTCCATTTCTCGTCTATGGAAATGTAGGAAAATGGAGATGAGAAGCACATGCGCGTCTTCCGATTGCTCAGGACAATGTCTATCTCTAATCGCGCCTCTTGACGTTCGACGACAGTCTCAACGTCTCATTCTTCACGCCCGCTTCGGCTTCCCCGCGACGCCATTCTGCGTCACCTTGATGGGAGCAACGTGCGTAGTGTATAGACGACGCTCCACAAACTTAAGAGCCTCATCAATCAATCTAAATCCAGATTAGTATGGCCGTTCGTTTCACAGTGAAAGGAAGATGGATCTTACATCACAGGTGCACTAATGGCCAGCACGGCTTCCCATTCGATCACGCCGAGAGGCAAGATCGAGAACAAGCTCTGGAGGAAGGGGATATAGAGGATGGCGAAATGTAGGGCCATCGAGAGGGTGATGGCGTATACGAGCATGGGATTGTTGCCCAGGAAGAAAGTAAACAAGGACTCGCTGGAGGACAGGGCGTTCATGGCGTTCAACATCTCGATCACCACCAGGATGGAGAGCGACACCGTGGATGCGGACTTGGCCATGTCGTTGCTGAACATCTCGCAGCCGATCTCGGGGAACTGCGAGGAGCACTTGTGGAAGTGCGACTAGACGGGGTTAGTATGACACTTGGGGATTGTCCAAAAGGAAAACGTACCAGCTGCCACATGGTAATATGCGGGCCTTCGGGATTATACACGAACCACCACACGTAACCAAACACAGTGGCAACACCAACGTAGATACCAATGACCATATACCGGAACAACAGCCAGCCACCGACAAGGGGCTCGTCGCGCCGACGTGGAGGGCGGCGCATCACATCGTGGTCAGGAGGGTTGAAGGATAGTGCCGTGGCTGGCAGACCGTCTGTAACCAAGTTCACCCACAAGAGTTGCACGGGAATTAGAGCCTCGGGCATGCCCAGCGCGGCGGTCAGGAAGATCGAGACGACTTCACCGATATTCGACGAAATCAGGTACCGGATGAACTGCTGGGTGTTGCTATAGATAGAGCGACCTTCCTCGACGGCCACGGTAATGGTCGCAAAGTTGTCATCGGCCAGAACCATATCCGCCGCCAGCTTGGCCACGTCCGTACCCGTGCCCATGGCGACACCGATATCAGACTTCTTCAGGGCAGGGGCGTCGTTGACGCCGTCACCGGTCATGGCGACGACGTGGTTCATGGACTGAAGAATATCCACGAGCTTAGACTTGTGACTGGGCTCGGTACGGGAGAAGAGCGAAGCGGTCTGCACGGCTTTGATCTTCTCGGTCTCGCTGAGGCTGTCGAACTCGCGGCCCGTGAAGCTCTTGCCCGTGAGATCCTCGTCCGCACCAAACACGCCGATCTGGCGACAGATGGACTCGGCAGTGTTGGGGTTGTCACCTGTGATCACGATAACGCGGATCCCGGCAGCATGGCATTTCCTGATGGACTCGGCCACCTCGACACGAGGGGGGTCCAGCATGCCAACGAGACCAATGAGGGTCATGTTCTGCTCAAGTTTCTCATAGTCCTCAGACGAGGTAGCGTTCTTCAGAAGAGGGTTTCCGGAAATATTGTCCACACTCGCCATCGCCATCACGCGCAGTCCTCGGTTGCCGTATTCGACAATTTCCTCGGAGATCAGCTTCGCGTGGCTCTTGGACAGAGGGATGCGGGAACCGTTAGAGCCTTGTATGATGTGAGAGCAGCGCTCCAAAATGGACTCGGGGGCACCCTTGACCAGTAGCTTCTGCTGCATGCCCTCGCCCACGAGGACTGACATGCTCTTACGGTCGCGCGAGAATTCATAGGTAGCCTTGAGTGGCAGACGGGACTCGTAGTGAGCGCTAGCCGCGTGAAGTCTCTCGGACGCGGGGAGGCGGAACAGTTTCTGGTTCACGCCCACGTCGTTGGTACCAATCTTCTCGACCAAAGCGCGCAGAGCACCCTCAGTCGGCTCGCCAATGCTGGAGAATACGCCGCTTTTGACGTCGTGAGAGAGAGTTGCAGCGTTACAGCGCGCGATGACCTGGGCCAACTGGTCCACAGTCGACGACGACACAGCCAGGTTATCCACAACTTTGCCGTCGCGCGATAGCTTGCCTTCGGGAGCAAAAGTGGTGCCCTCGATGTCAATCTCCTCCAGACCACGGCCGGACTCGGACAAGTAGACAATCTTCTCTACGCTCATCTGGTTTGTGGTCAAGGTGCCCGTCTTGTCGGAACAGATGACGCTGCAGCTACCCAGAGTTTCCACGGAGGGAAGAGACCGCACTACGGCATTCTTCTGGGCCATCTTGCGAGTTCCCAAAGCCAGACACGTAGTGATAACCACGGCGAGACCCTCCGGAATGGCAGCCACGCCAAGAGAGACGGCGATCTTGAGGTAGTAGATCGCACCCTTGGCCCAGCCCCCGAACGCAGGGTCATTGAAGTGCTCGATGTTGATCAGCCAAACCAGAATGCAGATAACCGTGATCACCTTGGCCAGCATGTCACCGAAGTCGTTCAGCTTCTGCTTCAGCGGAGTTGGCTCCGAGATCTGGGACGTGATGCTCTCATGGATGTCACCAATTGCGGTCGACGCACCGGTCAGGGCGACCAGAGCGGTGGCGTGGCCATTGACAACAGTAGTACCGGAGAAGATCATGTTGA